TTCCTGATTTAAAACAAACGTACCCGTGTAATTAAAAACAACTCCAAGGTAATTAAAATTACTAACAATTTCGAGTTTTTCACCATTATACAAAAATTCCTCATTAGATAACAACCCACCACGTTTTCTAAAAACCATTGCTTTAAATTAGTTTTATCAATATTAACATTCAGACTCCATTTTTCACAATATGAATAGAGAAGATTTAAACTTTTGTTAATCTGTTCTGGTGAATCACCCAAAATTACCATGTCATCAGCAAAAAGTAGAAGCATAAGTATAATATCATTTAATTGAAGTCCACTGTTTATATCCTGCTCTAAGAATAACTCGACGTCATCAATAAACAGAGAAAACATTATCGGTGAAATTACCTCCCCTTGACGGAGACCTACAGCATATTCAAAAAAATCAGAATAACAATTACAATGTTTTATACAAGATTTAACCTTATCGTACATATCTCTAACAATACGTAGCAATTTACCTCTAATACCAATATTATATAACTTGAGCCATAGGGCATTTCTGTAAATACTATCAAAGGCCTTTTTGAAATCCACAAATACACAGTATAGACGCTTTTTCTCATTTAGGTATTTTTGAATAACAGACAATAAAATATACAGGGCATCTACAGTTGAATTCCCTTTCCGAAAACCAAACTGTGCATCAGACAACAAGTTATTTTGTTCACAATAATCCATAATCCTTTTATTTAAAATCGTTGTAAATAATTTAGACAAGCAACTAACTAGTGTAATACCTCTATAGTTATTAACATTATTTACGTCTCCCTTTTTATGCAGTGGGATAATAACACCCTCAGTCCAGGATTCGGGGAAAAAACCACTATCTAATATACAATTAAAAATATCGCAAATATGACACCCTAATATATCAATAGATTCAATGAAGTATTCATTTAAAAGAAAATCATTCCCAGGAGATTTATTCCTTTTCAATGTTTTAACAGCCGCTGTAATTTCTTCAATAGTAAAATGCCTATCTAAAATTTCATCACCATTGTCAGTATTATTAAAATCATACATTGTTTCAAAATTTTCAGATTCATCATTTGTTGACTGAAAAATGTCGTTTCCAATAGACGAAAAGTATTCAAAAAATTCATCCACTGAAATATTATTCTTCGAACTAGTGTTATGTTTAAAATATTTCCAAAATTCTCTAGGATTGGAAAAACGTAACTTTTCGATTTCACGCTCCTTTAAAGCAATATGACGTCGACGCTTTAATCTAACAGTATGTTTATAATTGCTTTTTAAAAGACAAAGCTCATCCCTATTTTCATAACTTTTTACTCTGTTAAAGTTACGTAAAGCATTTAAATATGCATGTTTTGCCTGCACACATTCTTGGTCAAACCAAACCTTATTTTTATCATTAAATGTATTACAAAAATCAACACTATTATTTACACAATAAGATTTACAAAACAAAGGGCTAGCTACATCTTGTATCAGACAGGTAAAATCAGAAACTAGCGCATTAATAGATAATTTACTACAAATATCTACATTATTTAACAACGTATTAAAAACCGGCAGTTTAGTTATTAACTTTGCTTTGAATTCCTCCCGTAGGTTATTTGACCAAACATATTTGCAAAAATTTTCCTTGCATTGGTTTTTTTAGCTCACCTGTCACAAAGTGACAGGGTGAGCTTTTGTGATCGCTTTTCGTCCGGCGTCCGTCCGTCGTCCGTCCGTAAACTTTTACTTTAAATGACATCTCCTCATAAACCACCAAGCCAATTTCATCCAAACTTCACAGGAATGTTCCTTTGGTGGTCACCTTTAAAAATTGTTCAAAGAATTTAATTCCATGCAGAACTCTGGTTGCCATGGCAACCGAAAGAAAAAACTTTAAATATCTTCTTTTAAAAAACCCAAAGAGCTAGAGCTTAGATATTTGGCATATAACATCTTCTAGTGAGTGTCTACCAAGTTTGTTCAAATAAATGCCCTGGGGTCAAAATTGGCCCCGCCCCAGGGGGTCATTGATTTTCCCTATATGCATATAGTAAAAACTTAAAAAATCTTCTTTTAAAGAACCCAAAGAGCTAGAGCTAAGATATTTAGCATGAAACATCTTCTAGTGAGTGTCTACCAAGTTTGTTCAAATAAAAGCCCTGGAGTCAAAATTGGCCCCGCCCCAGGGGGTCATTGATTTTCCCTATATGCACATAGTAAAAACTTAAAAATCTTTTTTTAAAGAACCCAAAGAGCTAGAGCTAAGATATTTAGCATGAAACATCTTCTCATGAGTGTCTACCAAGGTTGTTCAAATAAAAGCCCTGGGGTCAAAATTGGCCCCGCCCCAGAGGGTCATTGATTTTCCCTATATGCATATAGTAAAAACTTAACAAAATCTTCTTTTAAAGAACTCAAAGAGCTAGAGCTAAGATATTTAGCATGAAACATGTTCTGATGGGTGTCTACCAAGTTTGTTCAAATAAAAGCCCTGGGGTCAATATTGGCTCCGCCCCGGGGGTCATTGATTTTCCTTATATGTGTATAGCAAAAACTTAAAAAATCTTCTTTGAAAAAACGAAAATAGCTACAGTTTAGATATTAAGCATGAAACATCTTCTAGTGAGTGTCTACAAAGTTTGTTCAAATAAAAGCCCTAGGGTCAAAATTGGCCCCGCCCCGGGGGTCATTGATTTTCCTTATATGTGTATAGCAAAAACTTAAAAATCTTCTTTGAAAAAACCCAAATAGCTAGAGTTTAGATATTAAGCATGAAACATCTTCTACTAAGTGTCTACAAAGTTTGTTCAAATAAAAGCCCTGGGGTCAAAACTGGCCCCGCCCCAGGGGTGTCATTGTTTTTAACTATATGTGTATAGTAAAAAATTAAAAAATCTTCTTTTAAAAAACCCAATGAGCTAGAGCTTAGATGTTAAGCATGAAACATCTTCTTATAGGTGTCTACCAAGTTTGTTCAAATAAAAGCCCTTGGGTTAAAATTAGCCCTGCCAGGGGGGGGGGGGTCATTGTTTTTCATTATATCTATAGTAAAAACTTAACATCATGAAACATCTTCTAATGGGTGTCTTCCAAGTTTGTTCAAATAAAAGCCCTTGGGTTTAAACTGGCCTCGCTCCGGGGGCCTATATACAGGTGAGCGACCTCAGGGCCATCATGGCCCTCTTGTTCAATATTTTGTGATTTATTACAAAATAAATTAAAAGAAATAGGGCAGTGGTCACTCCATACCGTATAATCATGAACTGTAAAATTACTAATTCTGGAAAAATTACAATTCAAAGTAAGTAAGTAGTCAATACTGTCTCGAAATAAACGTAAAATTACCGTTACGATCGTGATCTATTCGACCGTTAATAATAAAGCAAGACAAGTCCATTACACAAATTCAGGATATCGTCAAGGATGATATTTTACTTACATTTTAGCAGATTTGTTAGTCAATTATTTATTGTAAAGATTACAACATAAATAGCGGAAACATAATTTGGTTTAGCTCAATTATGATGAAAACTTGGGATGTTAATTGAACCATTCTCGAAATAGATTCTTGGAACTAACCCGTGTTTGTGTCATAGGACAACCTTACCCAAGTAAGGTTGAAATCTACAAGCTAGGATTGAGAGGCAATCTCCACCACAACCCAACATGACAAAAATGGCTAGCAGAGAAAATTGCTTCGAAAAATTCACGTTGCAGGGTTATTAAGTAATTACCTTTCTGTCAATGTTACCACGACTGCTGTCATTGTTATCACAATTGCATTTAAACATTTTTGAAGCAAAAGGTTTCGTATTATGTTAAGCTTATAGACGGTAACTGCAGTGCAGGGAAACAATAAATTCAGTTACTTTCAACCCTTAACCTGCTAGAACAGAAAGTGATTAGCCTACGACACCAATATAGAGCCAGGCCAGCATGCACATCAATGCTGCAGTCTGGATTAACCTTTGACACCAGTATGCATGTGAGGCCATGCCAAGCTGTCTGACTAAGCTCTTTATTGCTGGTAGCTCTGTTTTTGCATTTTGGTACTTATATCCCATAAACTTTGGAAGGACAGTTCCAAAGTCAAACAGGGCTAATCAATGTCAGAAAATCTGCAGTTAAATTACAGACTATCAAACTGCATACAAGAATGTCAGTTATCTATATTGGTTTATATAACTGTTTATATGATAATTTTAATGGAATTTATTGCCTAGTAGCAAAAAAACTAGGATGAACTGTAAATGTAACTGCATCATGTCATGAGTATATAAACTATTTTAACCTATTTATGAGGCAAGATCAATAATATAGGGGTGTAACACTTAACTGAAAAAGCAATATAGTAAATACACTGTCCTCCAAAACATATAAAGTTGTTTAAATAAAATGTGATTGAACTTTAAATATTTGACATTACAAGTATATTGAAATCACTCTTCATCAGATATATTCAAGTTGCTTTTTTTTCATTTATTTATTTTTTATATTTTTTTTGTAAATGAAAGTATCTACCCATGCCCCATCCACTTTCTATTTGTTACAGCAATGTAAAATAATTATCAAACCATTCCCCTCCCACTTTCTTTTCTGTCATTGCAAGACTTACCCAAGCCATATTAAACACTATATATATTTAATAAAAGTGAGCTTTTCCATGACAAAACCAAGGTAATGCGTTTGCGACCAGCATGGATCCACACAAGCCTGTGCATCCGCGCAGTCTGATCAGGATCCATGATGTTCGCTATAAGTTTCTCAACTTGTTTTAGTGTTTGTAAGGGAACAGTATGGATCCTGATCAAACTGCGCAGATGCAGACTGGTCTGGACCCATGCTGGTTGCAAACACATTATGTTGGTTTTGTCATGGCTTGGCTCAAATAATTCTTTCCCATAAATTCTATAAATTACAGTACATTTAAAAAACAAGCAAATAAAATGATAAACAAGACATCGTGACATATAATAAATTCTGTTTAATTCCTCTGTTATAAAACAACATTATAAATAATATTATTATAACTAACAACGATTTTGTAAGTAAATAGAATCACTGGTGGAATTATAAACGTTAAATAATACATTCTGTTAAGTGATTTGTTACTGATAAGTTAGAAAAATAATTTGAATCATGCAGATCCCTAAAAAATATAATCTAAATTTAATGGTTTGACCGTTTCATACATATGCTTTATCAATGTCAACCTAATTTCACAATTTTAATGTTTAATTTTACTAACAGATCTGTCCTGTGTTGGGTTTTTTCCATCCTTAATCATAAATATTAAAGGTTAGACAAATACATTCTGGGAAGTAATTTGTTACTGGTAAGTTAGAAAATAATTTTTTATTGTGCATGCAATTCTCCAGAATATAATTTCAATTTATCAGTTTCATACATATGCTATGTTAATGTTGACAAAATTTCATTATTTCACTGTCGCTTTAATGTCACTAACAACTCTTTCATTGTGTTCTTTTTTCAACAAAGTTTGTATGTCCTTAAATCATAAATATTTAATGTAACACAATACATTTTAATAACATTAAATGTTAGACAATACGTTCTGATAAGTTATTTCTTACTTGAAAGTTAATAATTTGTTATTTAGTATGCCATTCCCCAGAACATAATTTGAAATCTAACAGCTTCATACATATGCTTTTCCAATGTTAACCAAAATTTCACTATTTCAATGTCTTTTTAATTTCACTAACAATTCTTTCCTATTTTTTCCGCCATCAGTTTGTATGTCCTACTCAAAGTAAGGTTTATCCTTGCTCCACAGCTCTTCAATTATGTTATCAACATCAGTGTTGGGGAATCTATCCACCCAGGATTGGATCAGACCCCCTGGACTGGCCTCGTAACTCGCCAGGCTGATGCTGCCATCTAAAATTATATAGGAAACATAACATATTACATACATTCATTAAAGCCGCGTCACGACAAAACCAACATAGTGCGTTTGCGACCAGCATGGATCCAGACCAGCCTGCGCATCCGTGCAGTCTGATCAGGATCCATGCTGTTCGCTTACCAACTCTATTACAAGTAGAGAAACTGATAGCGTACAGCATGGATCCTGATCAGACTGTGCAGATGCGCAGGCTGGTCTGGATCCATGCTGGTCGCAAACGCATTACGTTGGTTTTGTCATAACGCGGCTCATTTTATGGTTTATTTTCTAAATAGTTTTCAAATAAGCCACAATTTTCACAACTAAGCATTCTGTGTAATATAATGTAAAATGATGTTATCAGGAACTTGGCAATTGTGGGTTTTTCCTAGCTAATCTGTTGGTCCCGACAGGGACTTTGGATTCTTTCATGTGAGGAAGCTATCCAGCTAGCTTACCGAACGTTGGTGGTTCTACTCAGGTACCCATTGGTGCCTGAAATAATGCAGGGAAGGGCATCTGAGGTCTTCCTCCACCAGTAAAGCTGGAACATCGCAATATGACCTATACTGTGTCGGTGTGATGTAAAAACCAAATTAAACAAACAAACAAACAATCTGTAAGTACAAACAAACTTTTACCATTATAGCTTCACGGTGCACTTCCCGTCAAGATTATTCAGCCTGTCGCACTTATTTTTAAAGCTGTAACTGTAAAAGATTGTTTGTACCTATCCATTAGCTGGGAAAAACCCAAATATTCTAAATTCAGGAGTTGGTCTTCTGTAAACCTTGTTCTGTGAGTAATATACATTGTTAATTCAAACTATCTGAATAGTTGCAGCAGTGTTAAAATGTATTCCCTGTAAGAAGAACCCTATTACCAACATTTCATTTTTTTTTGCTCTGGTTTTTAGTTACAAAACACTTTCAAGGCAAATTTAACAGAAATGAGGTCAATTTTTCTTCTTTAGAAAGGGCAAACATGTGTCTTATTATGGTGTAATAAAGGATTTAGAGCATGTTAGATGTTTATCACCTTAATAAATTAGTGCTAAATGTGAAATAATTTACCGTAAAAATAGCAAAATGTAATTTAAGTGGTAAATTAACTTCCAAACCAAAAACTGAATCACTATAATGGTACTGATAACCAAAAAGCAATTGTATTTCAATGAAACAAATCTTGAAATGCCGTTGGCGATTTTACACAAACAAGATATGTTTGTAAAACATGTATGCCCCCTATCGGCAGCCAATTAGTCATGTGATCAGGTTATTATGCATGACTTCTGACCCAGTGAACAAACAATTAATAAGGGTTATCTAGTATCTACTGGTCATGACTAGTCACAAGGTAATAATTATTGTGACCCCATGGAGGTTGTGTGCAGCAATTTAAGTTATTACAAATCTTACCAAATGATATATGCATAAATTTTATGAATCATGTAGGCCTCATTAATGACAGCCAAGTTGTTATATTACATTAGACCTTCAAATGTGTATACCAATAGCATTTTTAGTTTAATATAAAAATATCAACCAAGGCAACTTGAGTTGTTGAGTTATTGGTCAGAAACCTTCATTAAGTACAATGTCAATATGACATTGACCCCTTGACCCAAAAATCAATAGGGGTCATCTACTGATCATGACCAATCACCATACCAAGTTAGAAGTTCCTAGGCCTAAGGGTTCTTTAGTTATTGATCGGAAACCGTTTTTGCTTACAAGGTCAATGTGACCTTGACCTTTGACCCCAAAATCATTAGGGGTCATCTACTGGTCATGACCAATGACCATACCAAGTTTGAAGTTCCTAGGCCTAAGGGTTCTTTAGTTATCACTCGGAGACCATTTGGTCTACAGACCAACGGACCGACAAGTGCAAAGCAATATACCCCCTCTTCTTCGAAGTGGGGGCATAAATATTACTGAACAGCAATAGCATACCTCAATTTGTCTTTTTTATTAAAGAATCATGGAATAAAATGAGTATAAAAACAACATGTGTTTTGGAAGAAGGTAGGAAAAAACAAAGGTAAAAGAAAATGCACTGAGAAAGCAAAAACTTCTTTAAAACACTTTTAATGTCCCACTGTGACATAATCAATATTACTGTGACAATTTCAAGGTCATTGTGAAGTTTCAAGTTCACTTTAACGGTCCCTTTGGAAGTTTCAAGGTCAACATTGCACTATCAAGGTCACAGTGACAATTTCAAGGTAACTGTAACCATGACAACCAAAATAAACAAACCTCCACATAATGATGTGTTGTGCTGCACAAACATTTTTCTAGGCTGCTTTCTGGCTAGAACTATTTCTCGGAGGGATATAAAATGTGGTTCATCACTATCATGTACATCAGAGTATCTGTCATACATTTCCTTGCCATTTTTAACGTCTGCTGTTGCTTTGTATACCTGTATAATTTATAAATGAGACATCATTGTTTTTTTTTATATAACAATACTTTAAAAGCCTTAGAAAAAATTTATTTTGATTCAATATAGACTATAAGCGATAAGTGTTACAAAGCAAATTCAAAAATTACCATTAAAGTAATGAAAACCGGAATGAGAAAGACCAAGTGGCTATGTAAATAATAAGGACATCATTATTTCTCCTGCTTTTTTCTCAGCGTTATCTATTCAAGCTTAAAATCAACATTTGCTAAATTCGTGAATATGGATAAAATATGTTGACACCTGTCAAAAAAGTAAAATTCATGATTTTCAGGTCCTACAAAATAGTGCTAAAAACTCACACAACTTATCCCCTGATTTTCATGAATCTTTTTGGTAGAAGCATTGACATAAAGTGAATCAAGAGAACAATACTACACACAAAGTTGGTAACAGTTGAGAAAAGTGTTATTTGTATAGAGATCTATGTACTTCATTTGAAGAAAATCCATTCAGTATAAAAGATGACATTCACAAAAAGAATCTAAATGGGGCTATTTTTTTGTTACTTTCAACCCTACATTTCAACCAAAAGACACATGGGTTTGCCACCCTGCGAAAGTACATTACAAATGTGATCCCAAGTAAGACAGCAAACAAAAAAACAATCAATTACAGAGTATAGGTACTCAGTATTACATTTAGTATATACCTACCTGCAGTTTTCTAAGGAAGTCACCAATTGCGGGTTTACCCACAGAGATGATCTTTGACCTATCTAAGGTTATACGAATGTCTGGATTACCATCTTCACCTTTTATCTTCTCAACTTTCACGAGGTCTTCACCGGCTTCCAACAGCACACGAAGTATCACAAACCTGTAACAGGTAATTTTGTTTGTCAGCTTACCCTTCTAAATTTATATAATGGATTTGCCCTGCTATGATTTGAAAGAGTATAATGCTAAGTAAACCCATAACCTGCTGAATATCTTAAATGGACTTGTCCAGCTTACATTTTTGCAATTGTCAATTATCAATTTTGGGGATATTAAGATGAAAATTTGAAGTTTGGCAGTAATGCATGAACGTGTAGGCTGGCCTGGATCTATACAGGTGGCAAAGGCTAATCCAGGATGGACAGAGTTATGGAAAGTAGTATATTATTACTAAATTTGTGTAAGAAATTTAATGGCCCAACAGAATTTATATACATGCTGGTTCTGCTTTTCTATTCTGTACTAATGCTTAAAAAGTTTAGTTTAAGATTTTATATTTCTTTAAACTCAAAAGTTAAACGAATAATTGTAACTTATAATTAACTCTTTTGAGTCTGTTTTTACAAGACCAAAAATGTTTCTGAGTCAGCAAAATTTAACAACCATGAAAATCATGGTAGAAATCAAAATATCATATGAAATCAAATATTACTGGGTTAGCAATATTTTACAACCATGACAATGAGACATTTCACATTAAAATGATTATTATCAACGGTTATTCACATATTATTAATATTATGATGAGTTGGCATGGCCAAGTAGTGAACATGTTATACCAGAAATCTTTGATTAACTAGATGCATTGGTTCAAACCCCATTAGTACAAGTCATTGTTTCCTTGATTCAGAATCTTTACACTCATTGCCTCCAACTATTTAATTTATACAAATTTATTTTAGTTTGATTGTGTTGGAAACTACATGTATAAGTTTATAGAAACACTCTAGAGTTAGTCCATGCCTGGAACCAACCCATACTAAGAAAAATGAATGTAAAGTTTCTAGCTCAAGAATACAATAGCTTGCCCCCAACTATTTTATCACTCTCATTAAAATCTTACCTCGCATTCATATGAGCTTGCCTCCATGCACGAGTCTCGGGAGAATAGAATTCCAGGGCTAGAAGTCCAGCACGTACCATGTTTAACCAGTTTATATAGACAATGTCATCCCCATCATCATCTTCATGACCAAATATCCTGTAATAAATAAAAGAAGAATGTTGGTGCAAAACATGTTGATGTATATTTTATGTTTCAGACAACCAAAGGCTTCAAACATCTTTCATCCAATTAAAGATTAAACATCTTAGCCTATATTATAAAGCATTGAAATATTAAACTTGGTCTTGATCTTATATTCTAAATGAACCTTTGTCCTATCGCTGTATGAAGAGATTACATGAAGAAAGTACATAGTTAACCTAACATGCTGCAGAGAAATCTGATTATGAATATTTAACTTAAATTAAATCTATAGCTTAAATCTTTATTGTAGAAAGTAAAAGCACAGTATACAAATATTTGCACCAAAAAATTTCTTTCATATTTTCATGCATCCATAAAACTAAAAGTTAAGATATTTTCCTTCTAATGTGTTTCATTGGAAAATGTAAGTGAATTTAATGCAAGAAACCCTATATTGCTCCCCTTAGTAAATGGCAAAGTATAATAAAAGTTTCTAAGAGCAAGGCCATCTTAGACCAACAGCATAATTAATACAGATTTGAAAAGGAGCCATGCCTACTAGATAAAGCCACATATCGTACATCTTAGCTTATGTTTAAGAAGAGAATACATGTAATTAAAAACATTCTTACTCCTATGTAAGTCTTCGTAACAACTGTTACCCAAGAACTTGATTACACATACTAATATTAACTTATATATTAAATAAAATGTTTAGAGCCTTTATTTTTATTACTCCACATAAATTGTGACCCCTAGGTAACAGACATTTTTCACCCCATGATTTACATAACTTGGAGATAACCACTTTGATTGCTTGATGCCTAACATCTGAGCACTAGGCAATAGAAAAGATTTTAATGTTTACTTTTATTTACATATCAAATCAATAAAAAATCAAACCTCCAAGGTGGGCTATTTTTGACAATAGGGTGGAATGATTAATATAAAACTTTGTTGAGGACCACTAAGCAATGATACATACTTAATACTTAAGATCTTGACCTTATATTTTCTGACAAGATTTTATTTGATCTTTAAATATATATCTTAGTTTCCATTAACAACTTATGTATAAGTCTTACACCATTTTATTAACTTTTGTACAGGATCATCTAGCAAGCATTCCTGAAAACACTGGTCAAAATCTACTACAATGTCTGGGAAAAGATGTTGTTTAAAGAAATTAAGAATACATGTTTCAACATGCAACTGACAAAATATTATCACAACAGCAGACTTGTGGGCACCTCATACTCGAGTGTACTACAAAAGGAACAAACAACAACAACAACAACACAAGAAATACCGCAGAGCTTCTGTAGCCAAGCACAAATAAATTCCAACACACTCAGCTCTGCATTCCTCATATGTGGGAGCAATAGTGGAAAACTGGCTTTCCCAAGTCTCGCCAGCCTTGTACCATTTATCTATCTGTGAAATATAAAGTATCAAAATTACCTCAGCGCATCTGTAGACAGACATAAATACAGTCCGACACATTCAGCCCTACACTCCTCATATGTCGACGCCACAGTAGAAAATTTACTGTCCCATGTTTCACCTGACTTGTACCAACTAGTAACCTGTGGTATTAGTGGCACATATGAGAAAATGTTGCAGAAATGAACATAACAACTTAATGGTCAGGTTGTTATATGCAAGTGTCCTAACAGTGTTTTGCAATGGTTCTATCCTGTTTTTTATTTAACAAGAAATTTAAGTACAAAAGGAATACAAATATAACAGCATTAAAAAACGTTGTATGGGTTGTTGTTTTTCTCCTCAAAATTACTCTAGCTTTGCAAAAAGACTGATCATGTAAGACCAGATGATTTTAGATGAATTTGTCCATCTAACAATCAAAACAAAACCATTCATTCATTTTTTTTCAGGAAAATTTCAAAATATGTACTGACTAAAAAGTGAACAGTGCTGACTGATTTTCAGTTGGGTAATGGCTAAAATGATCTCATCAGTGATGAGTGTTGTTGTATTTTTCTGGTCCTTTGGGATCATTGATTTGTTGAAATCTGAGTACCACTCAAGCCGTTGCTAGGGGCGTGAGCGATGCTGCACTCTTTCATTATACCTCATGTACAGACTCAAACCAAGTTTACAACGTCCAGAATTTTGAATGTTAATCGTAACTAGAAATAAACATTAAATAGTTACAAACCTTTCCACCTGTCTCTGTATGTGTCACTGAGTTAATGTCAAAATTAAACTTCCCATTCTCATCCTAAAATAACACAAATGATACTTCTGCCACTTTTCCATTTAAGAAATTATCTTTTAAAAAATACTGTTCTCATTAAAGTGTATGAAAGAATCTAATTTGCTAAGTTTTGCTTAAGTTCTTTCATGATTTAATATTTCAATATTTCAATCTCATTTGGCTTTAAGAAAAATTAGTAAAACATGTAAATTTTGGAGAAAGACCATTGAAAAGAAAATAGGAGTGGTCTTTACTGACAGGTAGACTCTAGTATAAAATTTAAGTCTGCACTATATTCAATCAAAAGATGTAAAATTTAGAATTTGATATCTTGCAATTTATAATCATAAAATGTGTATTGTTAAATTTTTACTTCTTGTGCATTTCATTGTTAACACTATATTGCTTTATTTGATATTTGTTGACCCAAAGCCTTTCACTGCAATAAATTTAAAAGTTTTTATCAACAAAACATCATTGCAATATGTTTTTTTTCTCTACAAAAATTAAACACGGAAAAGAGTTACTCAGCCAAAGATGTCTATGATAAAAAAAAGTACCTGATGAAAAAGTTTTCCACTTCCATGTCCCAGTAACTCGTGTAGTCCCACTTGAACTTCAAATGATGGTATCTTCAACTTGGTATACAACTCCTATATAAACAAAATGATATCCAGTTTAACGAGGGGTGATCAATAAATAATGAAAATACCTTATCTCTGATGTTTATTGTCTAATATTTACAAGACTATTTACATTATATACTGAACATCCCTGATAATAGAAGATGTAAGAATAAACTTACACTTGTTTTTTCTTTCAGTGACCATAAAATGCAACTAATGTAATAAAAATTTTGCCTTATTTTTTTTTTCGAGAGGGTAGAAAAGAGTGACAATGCTGTTCAGGTCATATATAGCAACTCTGTTTAATTCCAAAAACAAAATAATCATATTGTTTTCAAAGAATATTTAAAAAAAAAACCCACAAAAAACAACATTATTTAAACTACACAAGTATCATAAATTAACAGAATAAAACATTACTGTATGTAATATTCCATTGGTGTTATTTTAAGCAGTGTTTGTCAGTGATTCAATATATACATGTCATTCACTGTCACATAAAATTACAAACATTATTCTTAAATTATAGGTACTCTGGCATGATTCTTGCGTTATTTCTGGCACAAGCAGGTATATGAGTAGAACCAATGACTTTCCAAATTCCAAATGCTACCTTAATAGCTCTCATATGAAACAACAATCACTATGATACCCACCTTGTCAGCATCAGAGAGGAATGTAACTTTTGTATCCTTATAACCAGCTGTTAGTACATTTCCCAGAGATACATTCTTGAACCCTTCATCTTGACGAATTTCATTATCTGCAAGCAAGATAAAGTCATTCAGATTCTATTCTTATCATATGTAAAACTTTGTACCATCTCTACAAAACTCGTTTTAACTACTACATGCATATGGTCTAACTAGACTGCTTTGACAGATATCAAAAGCATTAAGAGTAGTCTTTTTGTAAACAATAATTAAGTGTTTGAAGCTTGTAATTTTTGGTATAGATAAATCTAATTTACCCATGGCATATTGCTTTTAATCATTACTTGTAAAACAGATGTTAGCTTACAAATGTTGGTATATCAATAAATCTTCAATCTTTTAAAATTTTAATAATTATTTGACAAAAAAAAATACAAGGGGAGTCACGTTTATCTGTTTAAATGGGTTTAGTTGGTTTATAACCAAAAACCAGTTAGAAAATTCAATAACCAATATTTGAGGTTAGTATAAGACAGCCAAAGAAGTTTAAAAAGTTTTATATATTACCTTTGTTTTACTATGATAAGATCAGACATTTTGTTTTTAATTAAGATGTACAGACATGTGTTTTCATTGTGTATGGTAAAGTCCTAGTGGAAAATAATTACTCTTTTGTAATCTTGATGAGCACAATAAAATCAGAACTAAATGTCATATCTTGTCATAAAGAAACAAAGTTAAAATGTTGTTTGTGTACGGTTAGTTTACCGTTTAAAATGGCTATTAGGTTCCATTTAAATGGTTAGCATTTTTGCTAACCTTGACACCTCTAAATTTATCTCAGAATTGTCACTGTTTAAACTATTAGCATTTTTGCTAACCTTGACACCCGTACATTAAACTTACAATTTGGTATGTTGATACCAGCTGGAATTCCTGATCCACCAAATGTTAGCACTTCCAAAGATGTAAAATCTGGTCTGAGAAACTTGTCTTTCTCGTAGGACTGTGGCCATGGTAACTTGGCCAGTAGATGTTCAGCATTTTCTACCAGTGCACCAAATTTCGCACTCATTTCCTTGTTCACAACAGCAACAAAGCCTGTAGAAAATATAGTTGTATTTATCTAACATTTAATAAGGTCAAAGGTCATAATTTATTTCTACAAGGTTGGAAGTCCTAACTTGGGATGGAATTTAGAAGTTAATAAACCAAAGTCCTCACTAAGGATGGCAGTGTGGCATCTACAAAAAAAATCCTGTCCATGCTAATATTTCTTGAACATTATCAAATTTAAGCATATAAACTTTACAAAATACTGCATTTTGTTGTTGTTGTTTTTTTTCTTTAATTTTTTAGCTTACTTGATCCAAGTCATATAACAACTTTTTAACTAGTGGTAGACAAGCATAGGTGACAACACACTTTATTTAGAAACATACAGGTTCCAGAGTAAAACCAAACAAGAGCCACCGCCGGGCGGGGGCAACGCTCGACTTTTTACTTTTTCTAAACGCAAACATAGAAAGGTTTGAACATATATTAACGTTTCCTTTTTATAAATTTAGTTTGTCTGTCTTGTCACATTAGTTTTCTTTATATATTTTGTATATATATGAATAGAAACATTAAGCATATTTCTAAAAATAGCAACAGTACGCAATTTCTTAAAATAGCAACATGACGCAATTTCTCAATATAGAAAAAATGACGCAATTTCTAAAAATACAAAAAATGACATAATTTCTAAAAATAAAAAAGTGATGCAATTTCTAAAAATAGCAACAATGATGCAATTTCTAAAAATAGAAAAATTGACGCAATTTCTAAAAATAGAAAAAATGAAGCAATTTCTAAAAAAAGAAAAAAATGACGCAATTTCTAGATATACTAAAATAGAAATTATGACGCAATATCTAAAAATAGAAATTATGACGCAATTTCTAAAAGTAGAAAAAATGACGCAATTTCTAAAAATAGCACCAATGACGCAATTTCTAAAAATAGAAATGATGACGCAATTTCTAAAAATAGAAATTATGACGCAATTTCTAAAAAATGACGCAATTTCTAAAAATAGCACCAATGACGCAATTTCTAAAAATAGAAAAAATGACGCAATTTCTAAAAATAGAAATTATGACGCAATTTCTAAAAATAGAAAAAATGACGCAATTTCTAAAAATAGCACCAATGACGCAATTTCTAAAAATAGAAATTATGACGCAATTTCTAAAAATAGAAAAAATGACGCAATTTCTAAAAATAGAAAAAATGACGCAATTTCTAAAAATAGAAATTATGACGCAATTTCTAAAAATAGAAATTATGACGCAATTTCTAAAAATAGAAAAAATGACACAATCTCTAAAATTAGAAACAATGACGCATTTTCTAAAAATAGCAACAATGACGCAAATTCTAAAAATAGCACCAATGATGCAATTTCTAAAAACAGAAATTATGACGCAATTTCTAAAAATAGCAAAAATGATGCAATCTCTAAAAATACTAAAAATAGAAATTATGACGCAATTTCTAAAAATAGAAAAAATGACGCAATATCTAAAAATAGCACCAATGACGCAATTTCTAAAAATAGAAATTACGACGCAATTTATAAAAATAGAAATTATGACACAGTTTCTAAAAATAGCACCAATGATGCAATTTCTAAAAATAGAAATTATGACGCAATTTCTAAAAATAGAAAAAATGATGCAATCTCTAAAAATACTAAAAATAGAAATTATGACGCAATTTCTAAAAATAGAAAAAATGACGCAATATCTAAAAATAGCACCAATGACGCAATTTCTAAAAATAGAAATTATGACGCAATTTCTAAAAATAGAAAAAATGACGCAATTTCTAAAAATAGCACCAATGACGCAATTTCTAAAAATAGAAATTATGACGCAATTTCTAAAAATAGAAATTATGACACAATTTCTAAAAATAGAAAAAATGATGCAATCTCTAAAAATACTAAAAATAGAAATTATGACGCAATATCTAAAAATAGAAAAAAATGATGCAATTTCTAAAAATAGAAATTATGATGCAATTTCTAAAAATAGAAAAAATGATGCAATCTCTAAAAATAGAAACAATGACGCATTTCTATAAAAAAACCCCAAAAAAACAATGACCCAATTTCTCTAAATAGAAACAATGACGCAATTCTATAAATAGAAACAATGACGCAATTCTATAAATAGAAACAATGACACAATTTTAGTTATTGTTGTTGTTGTTGTAAATATATATATATAGACACACACACACCAATAAATATTTAAATATGGTCATTTACTGCACAAATCTGAGAAAATTCAGTAATTTAACCTTCAAGGTCAAGGTCATTTAAGAGCCCAAGCAAAGTTGGGTTTGATAAACAACAAGGTCTGGTCCTTAAGAATGTTCTCTTATAATATGAAGTTGATCCCTTCAATAATAGCAAAGTTACAGTCAGTGACTGCCAAAACAATGAAAATTTCAATAATTTGACCTTCAAAGACAATGTCATTAATGTGTGAAGGTCAAGGTCTTTCGGTATATCTTTAACAGAAATCTTTGAAGATTATTATGTTCAAGTTTCAGGACAATCCATTCAAAAATAACAAACTTACAGCCAAAAAAAGCCAAAAAAATGAAAATTTCAATAATTTGACCTTCAAAGTCAAGGTCATTTATGAGTGAAGGTCAAGGTCTGGCTGGTTATTTTTAAGGGATATCCTTAAAGATTATTATGTTCAAGTTTGAAGACATTCCATTCAAAAATAACAAAGTTACAGCCAATAACAGCATGAACAAGCAAAAATTGGACTTTTAACCTTGAAGGTCAATGTCATTTATGGATGAAGGTCAAGGTTAGTGTGGTCTACTGAAAGGTCTTGTCCCAAGGGTTGTTGTGGCCAAGTATGAAGACAATACACAAAGAAATAAAAAAGTTATGATCCAGGTACAAGTTTTCAGACGGCAACGGCAACGGCAACGGCAACGCCGACCTGACTGTAGCAATACCTCTATTTTTTTTTCAAAAAAAAAAGTCGAGCTAAAAAACATCTGTTATATAGATTTTTGACATAACATAATTCAATGCTACTGTTAGGATGAAAACTCATAGACAGTGAGGGGAAATAAATCTGACATCAGAAAAGATGTAATAATTATACCTTCAAACTCTCCTCTCACACCAAAGGGATCTCTGTATGATTCAATAAAGCCAATGTACCTAAATATGACCCAAAAAAAAACAGTTATACTAAAATCAATACAAACAAAATCTTAAAACTCAAACATGGTTAAATATGCAAATTAAAAGTATTGTACACCTAACAGAAACTACCTTAAACTAGAACTATCACTAAATGTGATTAATACCCCCACAAGTCTGCTTCGGAAATGAGGATGTTGCTAGTAACAGAATACCTTGTAAAAGAATTGAAACATAGAGTTATGGTTGTGGGCAATTAAAGATAATTGTGGTTTATGTATGTTGCATTTCCTTTCAATGTGGTTGGCCATTGATGAAGTTTAATTGAATTACTCTGTAATAAGTCCAGAAAGACAAAGAAAAAGAACAAAGGGCAATAACTCTATAAATACTGAAGATAGAGTTATAGTTCTTGTGCACTGCACTTCCTCTTATTGTGCTTGACCATTGTATGAAGTTGTTTTGAATTCCAACCAGTACGTTTTAAGTTATGCTCCGGACAAGGAAAAGTATCAAAGGGCAGTAACTCTGTATTTTGTCAAAATGGAGTTATGGCTCTTGTGCACTGCACTTCCTTTGAATGTCCTTGACAACTGTATGAAGTTGTACTGAATTCCAAACAGTAGTTTTCAAGTTATGCTCTGGACAAGGAAAAGTAACAAAGGGCAATAACTCTGTAATTAGTCAAGATGAAGTTATGGTTCTTGTGCATTGCACTTCCCCTTATTGTGCTTGACCATTGTATGAAGTTGTTTTGAATTCCAACCAGTAGTTTTCAAGTCATGCTCTGGACAAGGTAAAGTAACAAAGGGCAGTTACTCTGTAATTAGTCAAGATGGAGTTATGGTTCTTATGCACTGCACTTTCTCTCAATGTGCTTGACCATTGTATGAAGTTATAATGAATTCCAACTATACGTCTTCAAGTTATGGTCCGGACAAAAGAAAGCAATGGAAAAGTAACACAGGGCAATAACTCTGTAATTAGTCAAGATGGAGTTATGGTTCTTGTGCACTGCAGTTCCCCTTATTGTGCTTGACCATTGTATGAAGTTGTTTTAAATTCCAACCAGTAGCTTTAAAGTCATGCTCTGGACAAGGAAAAGAAACAAAGGGCAGTAACTCTGTAATAAGTCAAAATGGAGTTATGGTTCTTGTGCACTGCACTTCCTCTCAATGTGCTGGACCATTGTATGAAGTTATAATGAATTCCAACAATTAGTCTTCAAGTTATGGTCCGGACAAAAGAAAGCAATGGAAAAGTAATAAAGGGCAATAACTCTGTAATTACTTTAGATAGAGTTATGGTTCTTATGCACTGCACTTCCTCTCAATGTGCTTGACCATTGTATGTAGTTATATTGAATTCCAACCATTAGTCTTCAAGTTATGCTCCGGACAAAAAAAAGAAGGCAATTGAAAAGCAACAAAGGGCAATAACTCTGTAATTACTTTAGATAGAGTTATGGTTCTTGTGCAATGCACTTCCCCTTATTGTGTTTGACAATTGTATGAAGTTGTTTTGAATTCCAACCAGTAGTTTTCAAGTTATGCCACGGACAAGGAAAAGTAACAAAGGGCAATAACTCTGTAATTAGTCAAGATAGAGTTATGTTTCTTACGCACTGCACTTCCTCTCAATGTGCTTGACCATTGTATGTAGTTATATTGAATTCCAACCATTAGTCTTCAAGTTATGCTCCGGACAAGGAAAATGCAACGGACAAAAAAAAAAGCAATGGAAAAGCAACAAAGGGCAATAACTCTGTAATTACTTAAGATAGAGTTATGGTTCTTGTGCAATGCACTTCCCCTTATTGTGTTTGACAATTGTATGAAGTTGTTTTGAATTCCAACCAGTAGTTTTCAAGTTATGCCCCGGACAAGGAAAAGTAACAAAGGGCAATAACTCTGTAATTAGTCAAGATAGAGTTATGGTTCTTGTGCACTGCACTTCCTCTCAATGTGCTTGACCATTGTATGTAGTTATATTGAATTCCAACCATTAGTTTTCAAGTTATGCTCTGGACAAGGAAAATGCAACGGACGCCTGGACCGACCGACCGACCGACCGCCCGACAGACAGACCACCGGGTGACTCCTATATACCCCCCCAAACTTCGTTTTTGGGGGTATAAAGAGTGTTGGCTATGATTTATTTTAGTTTTACAGGTAAGACAAGCAAATATGTTTTGCAACTCTTAATATGCCAACTTTTCAGCTTTGGAGGATGACCATCAGTTACCACTTCTTTTATGAACCATCAACCTTATGTAAGCAAACTAGATAGCTTCCTCCAATAGTTTTCAAAGACACTGACTGACAAGATTATAACTGACAGCATTGAGAGGAAAGTGATTTAAAGTCAGCAATGTTTACCCATGAACTCTTCCTCTTAAATGATTGATTGATATATCTTATCATAATGAAAACTAATATACTTACGTTTCGACTACAGGGCCTGTATTTCTAATCCAGTACCTTGAACCATCTTTGTGGGCAGGTATTGACCCCGTTTTAAAACTCTTTATATACTCTTCCAACATTTTTACCTCATTATCATTGGCAGCAGCACTCTAAAAATACATTATTTATATCACCTTTACACTATAGTTGATTTTTAATATTGCCTTTATGCTATTGATATGAAATAGCGAATATTATCTATCATTCGCTTTCTGTAAATTCATTTTAATACTGCACATTTGTAACATCAATTTAAAATGGATAACTGTGACCATTTTATCATTTATATGAATACTACACTCAATTTCTTTTAATCATCAAAAAAAGTTATTTCAAGACAAATTACCTTTGCTTTTTCCAAAGCTTGAGCTACATGGGCCATCAGTTTAGAGTAATCTCCCCTTGTAACATTGAATGTCACAGGAGTGGACCAGCCTTTTGGTGTAAACTTGTGACTGCCCAACATACCATCTGGACAACCAGGAAGGGGTCCATCTGTAAAATATATCCAAATAAATTACCTATAAAAGTTTATCAAGATTTAACATTATATCACAGGTTTTATTTTATATTTTGAAAATATTAAATATGAAGCCATGTTGTATCAATGCAAAAGTGGCCGCCTGCAGAGCATTTAACTCTTTACATGATCTTTCATATAGGGGCATGGCCAAGTGGTTAAGGCGTCAGACTAGTAATCTAATGATGGCTAGCCGCATGGGTTCAAACCCTATAAAGTAAAGGGCAGGACATTGTTTCCTTTACACTCATTGCTCAGTACTGGTTGGTTCCAGGAACGGATTTGAAAGTGTGTCTATAAGCTTAAAGCTTCCTACACAATCAAACTAAAATAAATTCTGTATAAACCAAACTCTTTACAACAACAGTACTGATTCTTCCTCAATTAAGATTTAACAGTAAATTCAACTTTTTTAGAGAAACATCTCCCAACTATAACAAATCTATGGTATGCAGAGGTTTTGACTAATTTCAAATGAGAAACAACATTGTTGATGATATCATATTCTTAGAATTAAGATTCTTTAGTAGCTTTCAGGTTGAGGTTATTTTATAAAAACATCTCATGTCTGTATTTTTTATAACTGTCTATGTTCTGCATGCTACGCTATTCTCAGTGCTTGATAGTGGAATAAGAGCAGGTTAAAGTAAAAAAGGAGGTAAATTTATGTAACCTTAACTACTAGTGGATATAAAAGTATTAAACCTTAAGTTTCATATCAATACCTCAATGGAGTCAGTGAAAAAGGTGCAATAGAAAAAATATAACTAAAGTGTTATGTTGATGTAAACACTGATGTCACAGTGACAGAGAGAAGAATAGCCCTTCCCTTTCTTTAGAAAATCAAGTGAATGGTGACTCCTTAAAAATGACTAAGCCAAAACTAACTATTCACTCATATACTTACTTTCTGTCTCTACTGAAGCCAGCCTAACTTCATATTCAACAGGGCCTGATCCCTGTGCACACTTTTTGAACAGTCTGGTATTATAGGCACTGAGATTCTTGGCAGTAAGGAATTCTTGAGCTACTTCTGCATCTTGTAAGTCACAGTTGCTTGAGAAATATGTGGTAGTTCCCTGTGAATAAACATTAATAATTCAGACGTATGTAATGATGAATAATACTCAATCAAGGTCATAAATGTACACTAACTGGACAATCTGAAGATATTTGTGAAGATGTATTTTTTAAAGATAATAAGAATTTAATACTATATTCAAATATTCACTTTCAAAGGTAATTTCAAAGAAAAATTCAATATAAACTAAAAGAAATTGGTATGATAAATCCATTTAGAGGAAAATATCAAATCCTATCGGAATATTAACAAAATTGGCTTTTTAAAGTAAGCTCAAGTTTTTACAATCACACAATTTTTTTTTAATTCTTCAAAAAAAAGCACAAAAATTACTGTTAAAGAACCTCGTTAAAATGACGTTATTTCGGAGCATTTTAGAATGGAACTATGTGCTAAGGATGACGTCATTTTGCTGTTGTTATTAAAGTTGTAAATTCATACACTACTGTAAGAAAATAGTTATGAATGAAATGAAATAAATTTCCATGAACAAATTATCTTATTGAGGTAAACTATTCTAAATATGAAAGAATATGGCAGAATAGGCACACAAAAAAATATCAGGCATATGTCTGTGATTCAGATCAGGAGATATCTGTCCCTCACATACCTGCCAATTGAGCATTAACAAGGCTTGCCAAATATTTCGATCCAAACCGTAACATATGACAGATATTATTAAATTCAAAATCACCTTTTCTCCAAGTCCAAGTTCTCTCTGCCTATTTTCCAAGGAATACAATCTATCAGATACAGCATTCCATAGCGCCTTCATCTTGTCTGGGTCAGATTTGCATGCAGCACTGCCAAGGACAACAGCTTCAAATTTTTCCTACACAAAGTTGTCAAATTTATATACAAAATGTATAGATTTTGTTTGTTTGTTTGTTTCATTTTACGCCTTTTCCCACAAAATGTATAGAAATAAATATTAAAAATATTTTATACTTTATCCAAAAAAGAAAAGAAAAAAAAGCTGTTTACTAGTACAAAAAAGTAAAGTTCAAGCTATGCAGCATGTTTTTTCATAGTAAAATTTTACGTCGCTCATCAATATTCTAGAATCAATTATCAAAGCAATTCTAAACCATAAACTTCTAAATAGGTTATACATGTTATCTTATTTCATGGCAGTATCATCACTTCATACCGTCAATACAATAGTTGTTAAGTGCTAATGAGTTTAAAACAATATACCTTTGGTAGATTAGGAATGAATTTGCTGTCACCAAATGACTTGTAGTTTCCCATATTAGCGTAGAAACCTGATGCATAGATTAAAATGGCCTGAAATAGGAAAAGGAACATGTTTATACATATTTAACTGTTAAATATCACAAAGCCATCTGGTTAGCTCAATAGGTAGTGTGTTGGACTATGAATCTGGCGGCCCAGGTTTGAATGACAGATAGTACAGGTCACTTTCGTTGTGACTGATCATGAAGTCCTTTCTATAGTCATTCCCACTGTAATTCTGCTCAGGCATGTACAGAAGTTTCAGTTCCTTGTGAAAGTAAAAGCAATCAGTACTAGCAAACTGCTTGACAGCTTGCCCATGAACAAAAAGGTGGCTGGTAAATTCAATGTGGACTACTGCCGTGATCCGGAGTGAAAACTACCAACACCACCACCACATCACAGAATAGGACCATGCTATTTCTTTTGGAGTGAGACTAAAAACAGGATTGGAGCACGACACTAAATACCGTGTTCCGGTATATACCGGGCAAGGCGCTTGAATCGTAAAATGCCAAAATCTTGCTTTTTCACGCAACGGAATGAACTTTAATAGGTCTAATTCATCTTTTCACACCGATTTAAGTATGATAACGAATGAAAAATGTAAAAATCAGCGAAAAAAACGATATTTGTCTATTTTGTGATCATGATTTCTGCAAGCGTCTAGAGGTACTGCTCCAATCCTGTATTGAGTTAAATCCTTTCTTTTGTACATTTATTATGATTCAATGAAAATCATAGATTGACTACTGATATTTTGTTATTAAAATCTGACTACCAGTTAGAGACAAAGTGCAGATGGCTCTATTAATTCTACAAGCAAACCAATTTGGATTATGAAAGTTTGATGTCCATCAAGTTACCTAAAAATGAGACAAAAACTGGAAAATAACAAAAGGTGACCAAATTTAAAATTGCCACCAAAATCAGATATTTTCAAAGACATTATAATACATTTTGTAAACATTTGGTTTTAGATTTATCAATTATTCTAAATAAAAGTCTCACATAACCCCCATTTCCTTACATCATTTTTATATATTTCACATATTTCAATTGCTAGATATTGCAGGAATTATTAATAAATTTTAAATCATTTATCATCATTAGACTAAAACTCACATCAAACTCTTCAGGTGAGAGCCCAAGTTCAGTTGTTGCCAATGTTTTAAGCTCATCTACAGACTGAGCTCTGAACATTTTCTGCAGAAGAAGGAATATGCCAGGTGACTCGGGGGATGTCTGAAATAAAATTGAAATTATAAAAACAAAATATTTATCACAGATATTTATGTTTTTAATGGACCATTTGGCATTCAGTTCAGCAAATATTCATCTTTGAAACATGTATTGTGCTTAATTACAAAAATCTAATTTCAATTTAGAATCTGGAAAAAAAAAACATTGATATAAAAAAAACTAAAATTGAATGCCAGCATGAGAAAACAACACTTTAATAACGCCATTCGCTATATTCTTTTTAAATTGACATTTTGAGCTCTTTAAGTTATTCTATTCTTTAGCTCATAAATTTTTTTTTTAAACTTCTGAAATTTGCTTATCATTACCTTTTTATATCTATTTTTAACATTTCAAGGGTAATTCACTTTTTTATTTTTAACGTCTTTGACAATGTTAATGTCTTTTGACGTCATTTTGGCATTCATTATTATTTTATTTTGATAAATATGAATCATCCTGAGTGTGGATTGTAATTGTAAAAGTATGACTAAACCATTACCTGTACAAGTACAATAAGTCCCCCATACCATGCTGCCTGTGACACATGATGGGCATATCTCTTCTCTTGGTCTGTGAGATTCTTGAATGCTGTCATACAGTCTAACAGACAAACATCTGTACTGTTTGGTAGTGTGTACTGAGACAAGTCTGCCATTTTTGCTGAAAGATATTAATCACATGTTTAATGTTTATTTTTTAAAAAAAAGAGAACATACCTGTTGTTAAAAAACAACAACAACAAGAACTGTCACCAAAGTGATGAATGCCCCCGAAAAGGTTTCTTAAGCATGCAGGTATTATGAAAAGAAAAGAGAATGAAAGTAACTAATTGCTTAATATTGTTCTTTGTATTATTGTACCTGTAATCTCTAATTGTGATAGAGTGAACCTTCAAAATATAAGTGTGACCTTGACCTTTGAAGAAGGGACGTGGTTCCTGGACACGACAGAATGTTGTTAAGAGATAGACATTTGTGCAAAGTTATTTCAAAATCCCTCAATGCATGACAAAGCTACAATCTGGACATGATTGTTGTGTAAGTCACTAGTGGAGACACACGGATGGACAGACGGACATAAGCCTTAGACACACTGTCTTGATGTGGTAGACATTTGTGCCAAGTTATTTTAAAATCCTTCCATGCATGACAAAGTTACAGTCCGGACATGAATGTGTATTTTCAAACTCTTCTCGAGAGAATAAGTACCTTCAAACTATAAGTGTGACCTTGACCTTGAAGGTAGGGATATGGGTCTTAGTCGTGACATGTTGCCTTGATGTGGTAGACATTTATGCCTAGTTATTTTAAAATCCTTCAATGCATGACAAAGTTACAGTCCGGACACGGATGTGTGTACCTATAAACTCTAATTGTGATAAAGTGAACTTCAAAATGGCAGTGTGACCTTGACCATTGAGGAAGGTATGTGATTATTGGACGTGACACATTGTCTTGATGTGGCTGACATTTATGCCAAGTTATTCTAAAATCCTTCAATGTATGACGAAGTTACAATCCGGACACAAATATATGTACCTATAAACTCTAATTGTGATAAAGTGAAACTTCAAAATGTTAGTGTGACCTTGACCTTTGAGGAATGGTTGTAATTCTTGGACACGACACATCCTTTTGATGTGGTAGACATTTATGCCTAGTTATTTTAAAATCATTCAATGCATGACAAAGTGACAGTCCGGACACGAATGTGTGTACCATTTTACTCTTATTGGGATAATGTGAAACTTCAAAATGATAGTGTGACCTTGACCTTTGAAGTAGGGACAAGGTTCTTAGATGCTACACATTGTCTTGATGTGGTTGACATATGTGCCAAGTTATTTCAAAATCCCTCAATGTATGACAAAGTTACAGTCCGGATACGAATGAAGTGGGGACGCACAGACGATTAGTTCTAACAGGAGAGTAATAATGTGGCTACTCTATTGTTCATTTTAGCCACACAAAAGAAAATAGCCACATAAAAGCATTACGGAATGAATGACATCAAAGAGAAAGAACAGTTACCTATTGTCCCTCTGGCCACATAATTACTGTCCTGTGAGTGCGGACAGACAGACAGACATGTTCTAACAGGACAGTAATAATGTGGCTACTCTATAGACCCTTTCATTTAAGACCATATTCAAGTTGTCGCCCTTGGATGACGTCATTGGGGGATACGGTGGACAATGCCGATACGATAAAGTACAATAATAGAGGGATATAAAGATCTTAATCATTTCTCTTGTAAGGTTGGCAGATTGAAATTGCCAAAATTTGTGTAATTGAATAAGATATTACATAAAAAGGATGGTGAAATGAATAAAAATGTTTACTTTAATAAGGTTAACGATTTGTTTTAATAGTAGACCATATTGCTGGGTAACTGACCATTTTCGTTAGATTCTTAATAATGAAAATTTTTCCAGGCAATTAATCGTACTAACTTTTCCAGAGATATAGATAATGTATCTATGTCTCTGCTAATATACAATACCCAAAAGAGTTTCAAAAATGTAAGGATTCTGTGGTTTCGAAAAACGGCTGCGTAATACTTAAATGCAAGATACTGGTTTATTAAAAATCATTTTGATTCAAGCATGACTTAGACAAAGAAAAACAACAATATTATTTTTTGTAATTTAAAAAAAAAAATCAAAAGGCATAAAAATTAAAAATTCTTTTGAATGTACATGACTGTATACTATTTGTGTCGGCAAAAAATGCACTCTAAAAAATCGTACATCCCACCAATATATTTAAGCTGCTAAAGTGATATTTTCAAATTGATACTTTTTAATTCATATTCTGCTTATCAAATATTCAAAAAAATAATAATAATTTTACGTATTTTTGACTGTGCCAGTTGGTAGGACTCTGGATCGAGTGTCAAATCGGTAAGGCATGACCTATAAAGTCCCTAGGATGATCCATAACAAAACTCGGACTATAAAAATTTTGACAACTAACAAAAGTGACGTAATCTGATGTAATGTTATAACTCTAAAAAATGCACCCTGGTGATTTATGATATCACAGGCAAGTGCCGCTTGTATATACAACATATGCACCCTTTTAATTAATATGTTACGGCCCAGTGGCGCTTATATATACACATCTATATATCTATGAAATAAGTTACTAGGAAAAGGTCTTTATTTTTATAACCATAAGAATAATTTTTAATATCAAAATTATCTTATTATCGTCTGTTGCGAATCTAAAATTATAAAAGTCAATGCCTCATGGTTTTCGTTCTTCCCAGACTATTTATAAAATTATATCCTTCACTGGTTCTTTGAAATATTTTTATACGGCATAGGCCTAATGAAAAAGAATCAGTAACTATCGACAGAATGAATTCTGTTGTTGTTCTATTAAAGCTTGAAAAACAGGACATTGGCAATCTTATTTTCATGTTTGTCACAAATACGCCAGAATTTTCTAAATGGCAGAAAATATCACAGAAAACTAGAAAATGGCCATTTAAATTTATAATAGGCAATTTCAGTGCGTATGGGTGTTTATAAAATATCAAAATTTGTTTTAGTTACTAGCTTTTTATCCTGGCATTAGAGAAAATCTAGATCTTATTAATAAATATACTGTATTCACTATGAAATTTCACTGTTTCACTCCGTAGCGAGAATTAATCTCAATCTTTGTTTTTGTATTTTTTTTCTATTGTCTTGATATTGAATATATGTATGCATGCGTAAATTTTTACATGTTATAATCATAATTGAACGATCAGTATTTACGCATTTAACTTTTCAATAAGCTAACATTCTATGCGGCCTGCATAGTTTTATCCCCCATTTACGTCACATCCGGTAAGGGAAGTGACTCTTCCCTGACTGTTATCGCTTAAATGAAAGGGTCTATTGTTCTCTCTATTTTTCTTTTTAGCCACAGAAAAGAAAATAGCCACATAAAAGCATTACGGAATGAATGACATCAAAGAGAAAGAACAGTTACCTTATGTCCCTCTAGCCACATTATTACTGTCCCGTGAGAGCGGACAGACGGATGAACAGACAGAGAGTGCGATTTTAATATGCCTCCCTTCTGGGGCATAAAAACACAGAATTTGAGCATGTCATAGTTAGATTTTAATGTACTCTTGTTAAGTTCCTCTACAATCTTTTGATTATAAACATGTACATATGTATGATGGAGAGAAAATCTGTAGACAGAGAGCTGTCTCTAACTATCCAAACTGATGTAAACATAAATTAAGGTGTAATGACAGTAGAACTGAGTATTCTGGTCAAACAAAACAGTTATTTGATTAATGTTTAACCTTTACTGTACTTAATATCTTAACGGACTTGTCCATCTTCCATTCTTGACTTAAACCATTTTAAGGATAATTTTCAAAATATGGTTAGCCTGAAAAGCGAACAGTTTAGAATGTGATCTGATGGCACAGCTGTTGGCAGTTGATCTTAGTCTGTTCTGGTTGAATGCACAGAAACAGGTGCCAAAGCAAGTGTTCAAATTATCAATTTATAGACTCATAGGATCATCTTAATGATATTTGTGACTATGGGAAGTATGCTTTGAAATACTTTTTTGTCGAGTTTAAAGTCAGGCCAACTATGTCATGTCTGATAATTACTTTCTTAAATTAATGTTGGAAAAAGATTTAAGTCATTTGGTGGATTATTGTCAGCATAACAGACATGGCACCATTGGTAGAACCACTGACCTTACATACATGTAGCTAGATAATTTGATAGCATCTCCAAAAGAAAAGATTCCAAATCCAGTGCAATAATCAAGCCCACAGTGTAAGTTGCAACTGGTTAAAAATCAGTGATCTTTACTATTCTTAATCATACAGCTAAAAAGGTCCACCAGATAAAAAAATGTTAACAAATTAATATCTATATAGTATAATTATTTACTTGTTTATTTAACTATTGTCATAGTTTGCGGATAAAAAAACAATGATATCAGACAGGAGCACTACATGCTGTGTCAACGCTTATTTGTTAAAGGCAACAACTATCAAAAACCAATTTTCTAAAATATTAAAGTTAAAAAAGGACATGAAAAGGTCAGTATTTACAAATAATAAAATCTTTGTACTGTTAGTTACAATGTAGTAACGTTTTCTTTCTGTTACATAAAAATAGTAAGACATAAAGCTCAGCTGATATCTAGGTCCCCTAAAAGGGGTTTTGACAGTTTGGCAGTTGTATATATGCTCTACACATTTTTAATGTTTAAATGTATCATAACTGACAGAAATGTAATGTTATGGGCTTTGTTAAGGAATTAAAACCAAAGAGAAATTCAGGTCATAAAACATGAATAACAATATGTACTTAAATTGTACATTAGTAAGTAATAAGACGTTTAGAACAGTAAAAAGATAGATATGATGTAAAAAGATTCAAGTAATAATTTACATGTGTGCGATTAATGACTTACTGCAGTATTTATCACCAAATTTCTAATGCGTGACTAACGAAGTAAAGGCTATTTTTCACATATTTTGACTTTTGTAGTTATTTATGTGGATTGTAACTGCAATGTGTAAACTGGGACATAGTTATCTTATGTCCCAGGTGTAAATTACTTCCTTTGATTACTTCACTTATGCAAAGAATAGCCTTTACTTTTAAATATATTCTCGGAATACCATTCCAGTTTCCACAGCTCTACTGACTGAGCCATTTGGCCACTTACACATTTTTCTCCCTGTAAAAGTGAACAGTTCTGAACTGTGACACTACTTTAATGTTCTGATACCCGGTCTGGTTTTTCCATGTTATAGTGGGGAAATTCTAAATTTTGAAAGAGAAACTGTTAACAAAATCACACTCATTCTGGTATTGTTGCATGATTTACTTGGTTTCAAAATAAAACGGACATCAACTTAATCAAATAACATATTAAAACAAGTTCAAATATGTGTGAAAATAAAAAAGAGAATGATTAAATTTAATAATGAAAGTAATTGTTTACCAGCTTATACTTTTTGTTTTCCTTGCCCGGCGTATCAGCAAGACGCTTGTGTTGATGCGTCGAAATCCAAGCGTCTATAGTCACACTGGTTTCCGTTTTCTTAGAAAGAAGTATATTAGACACCGGGAATAAGTCGAGATAAATAACATTTGTACATGTTCTGATATTTCCATTGACGTGGTACATTACAAAACATGTTGAATGTCAAAACTCATATTTTCGAGAATGTTTATGAGGGGTCAGTATGGTGACATGACAGCATGAGCAATCCATCAAGCATTTGATATGAAAGTTATTCTGCCAGCTAAATTTTCACAAACCGTAATCAGTTTTTGCAACATATTCCATGTGATGCAATTTTGTAAAAACTGCTGTTGACTGGTTGACTGTCCTGTTTGATGAACTTTACATTTACTACAGAAAAACCTGTTTGTCAGGTGGCTTATTTTTTTTGTGAAATTTTGATTTGAACTTTTCAAAGTTTATCATAACCAGCAAAATGTATGTAACACTTTTATCAAAAGGGTTCTATCGTTCAGGGGTGACATGTTACAGTTTCAAACAAGGACTGATTCTTCAAACAAAGGCATGTTTGAGGGAATCCTTATTTAAAAGAAACTTTGTGACAACACGCTCTAGATTTTGCAAAAATGGGGAAAGAGCTAAAACTGATACAAAGTCTACAAAAAGTGTCCCAAAAGTTTCTGAATTGAGAAGATTATTCAAAGCTGCATATCCAGAACGATGGAAAATAGCAGGTACATATAATTTGGATCTGATATATGCGCACATATGTTAAATTTTATGATGGATAATGCATTATTTCATTGCGGTTATATATGTTATGTATTCATTCAAAGGTAATGGCATAAGATAAACAATTAATAATGCTTTGCAAAAACAATATTGAAAGTTATTTATGATACAGTACTGTCATTTCCACACCATATTAGGATTAAAAATCATGTAACTTGGGTTTGAATTATATATCATATGGCTGCTTTTGCACTCTCACATTACTGCAGCTAGATGAAGGAGCAAAACTTAGATATAATGTTTTCTGTTAAAAACATTATATATATTTCATCAGCTGGTAGTCCAACTGATTGGAATATGCGATGAGATATTGTGCTATTTTGTGTATCCATGGGCAATATTTCCTCTGTAGAAGCGAGAACAAAAATATCTCAGAATCTAGTTTTGGCATGTCAAAATATTTTGACTATTCAGCTGGATGGTTAGCCTTGTTCATGATTTTTGCCTTTAAATGCCTGGCAGTATTAAGTCTTCAAATTCTATTTTGATTGCTTTGAAAAACATATTTGTTTTATTTATAATCTTTAGGGTGCAACAATAATATGCCCTTAATGTATTATGCAATACAAGGACCAGGGTTAAAATGTTAATTTGGATAGCATATTTTAACACAGCTTTAATTACAAAGCAGTGCTTTGAAGGATGGCTTACTAATTTTTGAACTTAATTAGATAAATATAGTTAACCTAATTATATTGCAAATTATGATTATCTTACACAGGTGCTGTTGGTTTTCTGGTGATCTCAAGTTCTGTAACTCTTGCAGTTCCATTCTGTATGGGTAAAGTGATAGACGTAATAAACACATCAGCAAAGGATGGAACTATAATGGAGAAACTGACATCTATTTGTTCTGTTCTGTTAGTTGTGTTTGTGATAGGAGGTCTAGCAAATTTTGGAAGATTTTATTTGATGCAAATATCAGGTATAATAGAATATGATATAACTTTGTTAAATCTTTATAAATCATGAATGTTACATTCTTATTTCTTGCTATATTTCCTTTTGAAAATAACCATTAATTTACATCATGAATATAAGCATGCTTCATTAAGAAATTCTTATCTCTCACTTCATTGTCTTATTCATTTCCACATTTTTCAATCTAGCATGCTGGATGTCCATTATTTCATTTAAGCCCATCTCACACAAAACACGGGTGGGCACACGGTTCCCATACGGTATACTCGGTTATACACGGATTGACTGGTACGAGTATTTAGCTCCAACCGTGCCTGGGGATTAGTTGGTAGGAGTTAGACTCGAATGAAGCACGAGCACGTACGAATAAAGGACGGATATACTCGGTCAAGCAAGGTTTGAACACGATTTGCATACGAATACATACGATTGTTGCACGGTTCCAAGTACGGTCTAGTACGGCCTGGTACGATTAAACACGACTTTACTCGATTTACTCGACTTTCACAGGGTTTACATAGGGTCCCGCCGACTTTTGTTCGAGTTATGCTCGAATTATCACATATTTGTGTATGTTTTGATATAAATTGACCCATTCTGATGGCTTGGCTTCATAAATTTTCGAACTTTCAACGAAGAACACCTATATATGTGAATATTGGTTATATAAAACAATGCCAGATGCAACAGATGACAGGATAAGGGAATTAGAAATCATGATAAGACTGATAGACATTGGTGGGTCCCCCTGCTCATCAGGCTCGGCAGGGTCAGAAGGTTGGAGTGGTCGGCGGGCCTGGATGGCCCTTCTTGCATTCCTTCTGTGCGTGGGAACCTTCTTCTTTGGATACATTCTAGTATGATGCAGCAAGTACTCTGGGTAGATCTAGCAATTGAGGGTGGCAGCAGGTAGTTGTGGTTTTCGTTGTTAAGTTAATATTGAGGTAGAGGCTGTGTAAGACCGTAAGAGGCCGTGTGAGACCGTGTTTACCCGTACTATACCGTGTCTGCCATGTATGATTCGTACTTAAACCATATTGGTCGTATGGCGATCGTATGAAACCGTGTGTGCACTCGAGTGAATCGTTCCGGTATCGTGTGACATTCGGGTGTTAATCGGGTGTTGGATGTAGGACTTGGGGACGGTCTCGTACGATTCCATACGATTTATATACGATTTTGGCACGGCCAGGCTCACTCGTGGAGTGTTCTTCAAATACGGTCGTATATACGGTCTCATACGGTCTCACACGGTCTCTTACGGTCTTGTACGGTCGTTTATACGATCTTACACGGACATTACATCCGTACCAGTTTTTTAAAAGTTTTAAAAATCATACACGGCTTACACGGATACACTCGAATGGCCCGAGTGTAACTCGGTTAAACTCACGGTTAGTTCGGTTGTATGTACGGTTTACACGGGTGGCCAACCGTATAAGCCGTGTGTCCTGTGTGAGATGGGCTTAAGGAAAGTTTATTATTATCTATTTGCCCCCCTCTGACAGTTAAGCTGAAATTTCTCCATATGGCAATAGCAGTGGCATTGTGAGTTAAAACCCAAATACTTGGTCTTGTTGATTTATTTCAAAGAACTCTGTTTTTAAAAGCCTTGTTGACAAGAGAAAATATTGATTATGTTGATTAAGTGAAACCTCTTTGGACAATTTATCATATGTATATAATGCATCTCTTTCATAATTATCTTTTTTTTTTCTGTTTTAAGAACAGAGAATAGTTCTGCAGATTAGGGAAAAACTATTTTCGTCCATCATGAAACAAGAAATAGGATTTTTTGATAAGACTAAAACAGGGGAGATAATAAGTCGTCTGTCGTCTGATGCTACAATGATAGGTAACTCTGTAACTTTCAACATATCTGATGGTCTGAGAGCTTTTGCACAGGCTGGAGGTTCTATAGGAATGATGGTAAGACATTGAAAATATTAGATCTCATAATGTATTCTAAAGTTGCCATGGATATATACTATAGGGGTTCTCTTTAGCCAAGAGTTTAAGGAAATTTATTTAGAATCATTCACCACTGTGAGTTTGATTTCAGTTAGGATCACAAATCCTTTATGTGCGGAACTGAGCTTGCAGACGGGCTTTCGTTCTACAAAGGTGTTCAGCTGAAATGATTCATACAGTGTGCTGTTAGTAACAATGTATAATACATGCTCTGCCTATATATTATTATTAACCAGGTTTTCCGAAGGAAAAAACTGGTTATTAGATTGAGGTATGTCGGCGGGCGGGCGGATGGGCGGACGGGCGGGCGTAAACAATTTCTTCTGTGCGCAACTCCTCCTACATTTCTCAACGGATTTTGACCAAACTTTCACAGAAGCTTTGTCATCAAGTGCCCTGGCGCATATTGTCAGGGTTTTGCGATTAGATAATATTTGACCTAATTATGGCCCTTTGTTTTTTTTCCTTATATAAAATATATAGTGAACAATTTCTTCTGTGCGCAACTCCTCCTACATTTCTCAACGGATTTTGACCAAACTTTCTCAGAAGCTTTGTCATCAAGTGCCCTGTCACAGATTGCCAGGGTTTTGCATATGGTATATATTTGACCTAATTATGGCCCTTTGTTTTTTTTCCTTATATAGAATATATAGTGAACAATTTCTTCTGTGCGCAACTCCTCCTACATTTCTCAACGGATTTTGACCAAACTTTCTTAGAAGCTTTGTTATCAAGTGCCTGGCACATATTGTCGGGGTTTTGTGATTGGATAATATTTGACCGAATTATGGCCCTTTGTATATTTTTTCCTTATACAGAATATATAGAGAACAATTTCTTCTGTGCTCAACTCCTCCTACATTTCTCAACGGATTTTGACCAAACTTTCTTAGAAGCTTTGTTATCAAGTGCCTGGCACATATTGTCGGGGTTTTGTGATTGGATAATATTTGACCGAATTATGGCCCTTTGTATATTTTTTCCTTATACAGAATATATAGTGAACAATTTCTACAGTGCGCAACTTCTCCTACATTTCTCAATGGATTTTGACCAAACTTTCACAGAAGCTTTGTCATCAAGTGCCCAGGCGCTCACTAAATTCCCATGTTTCTTCCAAGACATCATTCAAGTATTTTTTTAAAATTGTGAACATACTTTTCTTGATATCGCACAAAACACCACACGCCAATATTGTTGACAAAAGAAAATGACAAGAGACGCAAAAATGCAAAAATTAAGCAAAAATAAAGTACTGTTTACCTTTCTAAAATATTTGGGGAAAAAAGGCGAATAGACAACATAAAATTTCTCAATCATTTTTGTTTGAGGAATATTAAAAAAGCCATAATTCCTCCTAAAAGTTCAATTAAAAACAAATGCCCCTTCATGACAAAGCTTCTGTGAAATATTTTGCTGAAAACCTGGTTGCATCGCATTGCGATGTTCCTTGTTATATATATTATTGGAAATAAGCTTTTAGCTTAATGGGCAATCCTAGGGTTACATAGAACATACTCATTAATTAATCTTATAATTATTTTTGTTGCATTTATGTGTGTGTTTTTATATATATGCAAGTTGATATATGAGATAACATTGTATGTGTATATGTCTATTCCCTGAATAAATCGATACGATATGTTACTGTACATTTATATATACATGTACATGTATATTGCACATGCTCAGTAACATGTCTAGCCAGTGTTTGATGTTAAGGATTTTAGGAAAATTAATTTTCATCTTGTAGAGTATTCACATGTATTAAATCAATATTTTATGAAGTCTACTTGATTAATATATGATAATTTCCAATAACAAAATAATTTTCTTTTGATTTCAGTTATATGTTTCCCCAAAGCTTGCAATGGTTGCCTTAGGGATAGTACCACCTATTGCTGTGATGTCTATTATTTATGGAAGATATGTTAAAAAAATTACAAGAAAAGTGCAAGATTCCTTGGCAGGTGCTACCTCTGTAAGTCACAGTCTTCTTACAACATTATGATTCCAGGGTAACAATATACAAGTCATAAGTTTATATACTTTACTTTTTCATTCTTGATATTTGTAAAAATAGTATCAAACTTTATGTGAGTAAATGATTTAAAAACTTTTTTTTCTTTGACTTTTCTAATATGTTTTGATTTTAAGACATGATATACATTGTACTTTCACCATAAATCTTAATCAATAATATGGCCATTTAAGACAATTGGAAAAAATACCTTCATATATTTTTATAATTTATGATATATGTATAATTATAGAATATTATGTACTTTTATGTAGTCAAGTATGTAAAGGGAGATAATATTATCAAGAATAAACTCTTTATATTCTTGGTATCTTACAAGAAGTACAGTTCCGTAAGCATCTAGGGGAGTTTTCAAATATTTCTGCTTTATGAAATGACTAAGAATATATTAATATTTATTTTTTTTGTTGTTTTAAAGAAAAATCATTGAAAATCATAACTCACAATACATATTGTTGAAGTCTTGACATGTTATATTATAAGATCATCAAAATCTGAACAATAGGATACAATATTTATTATGTTTGTCAGACAATATGAGACAGAAATCAAATTTTCACAAAGAGCTCTTGAAGAAATAAATGTATTCTAACTGTTTACCTCATAGTCGGGCAAATTTATGATACGTAACATGGTATTTTCTTTATTTTTATGAACATACAGGTTGCAGAAGAGAAGATAAGCAATATTCGAACTGTGAGATCTTTCACAAAGGAAGATTTGGAGATAGCTACTTACAATAGTTCCCTAGATAAAGTTCTACAGTTGGCATATAAACAGGCTCTAGCTGGGGCTGTGTTCTGGGGATCTGTAAGTTTATTATTGAGTTATCTAAAAGGACTGATAAGAGATTAATACACAGCAGAGTGGGGCCTGAGGGTGATAATCCGCCCAAAAAATGAATAATGGACCCAATGGCTTCAGTCGAGGGCATTATTCATTTCAGGACTGATTATCACCGCAAACTCATGATCGGTCATGTGAAACTCATAATCAGTTGAAATGATAAGCAATTTTGTTACTAGATATAGAAACAAGTGTATTAAATAACTTTACAAGTTTGATTTACAATAGCTATTTAACTCTGAATGTAAAAAGCAATAATAATTTTCCTGTCCCACGGATATATTTAGTAAAGGCAACCTGCTTTCCTGTGCAGTCTAACCAGACTCTATATTTTTGCCTGATCAATTTTTGGGTTTTTGATATTTGAACCCCTTCATATGATAATGGATAGTTCAAAATTTGAAGCAGGGGAAAGTCCATAATGCAAGTTAGCATGGGTTGAATTGGTATTTACTTTACATTAGCGATTTTCTTCAAGGCATTTATTAGAATGTTAAATCAAACTTTCTTAGATTTTGTATTTTCACTTATCTTTATCCCACAAATAACAAGCCATTCGCCTCCATGGTCGAGGGGTTAGAGTCGATGGCTTCTAATCCAGTTACCTCTCTGGCGTGGGTTCGATCCCCGGGAGATGCTTCGGCAGTTAAGCACGGAGGAAGGTACTCTAGTACTTGTGTAACTCTCCAGGAACGATGGTTAGGAAACTACCCGCCTATATGACTGAAATACCGTTAGGAAAAGGCGTAAAATGAAACAAACAAACAAACAAACATTCAAAATTATGAAAAAAGATTGAAAATCTGTATTACGATTGTTTGTGAAGTATATACATGTATAAGTGGTATTTTTAATTTCGAGTTGTAATAAAATGATTTCTGTCATTTTTTAGACTGGTTTATCAGGAAATGTGATTGTATTATCTGTGTTCTATGGAGGAGGATATATGATGAGCCAGTCTATGTTAACTATTGGCGACTTGTCCGCATTTATTCTCTATGCAGCTTATGTTGGTGTTGCCATGGGAGGTAACTCTATTTTATAAATATGTTGTTTTTTTGTTGTTTTTTTGGGGGGGTTAAAGAAAATTATGTGTTTAAAAAGTCAAAATATAAATTGTTTGTGTGTAAAGTCAATGAATGTTTAGGATATGTTGCAGGATTGTGGTTCAATATTTAATTTAAGTTTAATTTTGAAGTAAAAAAGACAGTGGTATAAATAAAGGGAAAAAAAGTTATATTCATTGACTTTCATTGACTTTTAATCAATATGTAAGATTCAGCTCACAAATGAAAAGCTTGTAAAAGTAAATATTATTTAACTACTAAGCCATGTTTTATAAGGTGTATTCTTATCATTTACACTATTTAGTTAGTTAATAAAGTTAGTGCCATGATTTCTAAACAATGTTATATCTGCTAAGATTAAATTAAAGGTAAAACTTTTTGTATTCATATTCGCAAATAAAGGAAAAAGAATATCTTAAGGTGAAATATATTCATGAAAGCACTTTGTAATATACAGTTTTGTGTATGTTTTGTGTGTGTTGTTCATGTTATTTCTCTGTTATATCTTAAGGTATGACATCATTTTACTCTGAATTAATGAAAGGACTTGGTGCATCAACAAGAATTTGGGAACTGACCGATAGAACCCCTCTAGTGCCGTTCTCAGGTAAACTTCAAACTGTGTAGTAATACAAGTTATTGAAAGGGCTTCCCATAGCTAAGTATATAAGGACTTGACTTCAAATCTCTTAATCCTGACAGCCTGCTCAGGTACAATGTGGGTGGTGAACTGCGCTGTGGTAAATTCAGTGTGGCTTTCTGCCATGATCCAGAGGTTAAACTACCAACACCACCAACTCTTTCCCTCCAGCTATTGGAATCAAAACCAACCAGTATAATTAGAAATTAACTGTAAGAGCAATAGATTTTGGGGACAAAAAGTAAAAAAAAAAGAAGAAATTTGGGCAATTGTGAGTTTATACATGAAAATAATGAAACCATGCAGTTGTCATTTATTAGTTTGAAACAATGAATAATTTTTGAAACATTTTTGATTAATAGTATTCTACAGAAGTTATCTTTGTCATTTTAGCGTGAAAGGTCAAGTATATTTTGAATGTTTCATACGATGTCATTATCTGGAGGAAGTTTAGGTAGAAATTGCTTTATCTTGAAAGATTGATATTTCTTGATATTTCTTGATAGTTAAGTCTATGTTTTATTTACATCCAGGTGGTTTAAAACCACAGAGCCCTGTTCAAGGTGAGATTGAATTTCGAGATGTAAATTTCAACTACCCCACCAGACAAGAAGCAAAGGTGCTGTCAGGTTTGAACCTCAGTATACCAGCAGGTACAGTGACAGCTGTGGTTGGTTCTAGTGGCTCAGGGAAGTCAACCATTGGTACCCTGCTCTTAAGGTTTTATGATCCAGATGCTGGTAAGTAAAATAAGTTGGTAAGTGACAGTCAACATGTAGAAATGTGTCAGTATTAGGGCACATTACTCATATACTGCAAAATCATTTTTATTCATGGGGCACTAATTTTTGCGGTTTTTGTGCATAGGTCAATCCATGAATTCTAGATCAAACAAAATTGTATTGCATGCCATATGATTATTGTTATAATAGTATTTGCATGATTTAGTTTGTACAAAAACAGAAAATCCACAAATTTAAGAACCGGCAGAAATGATGATTATGTCCATTTTGACAAAACCATGAAATTCCATGCACACAAAATTAAGTGAATTGACGGTACCTTCCAATACAAGAACAGAAGTAACAATTACATTGCTATCAGTATACTGCCAGGCATTTATCTTTTGTGAGCAAGGTTATGTTTTGTAAATGTCTGTTTCAAATGATAAAAAGTTAAATTAAGGAACTGTAATGTTTTGTCCAGTAACCTTTACTGAATTATCTCTAAGCAACCATTAGTTTTGTGTGCTTTACTCTGTGATGGTTCGGATAACTAACAATTGAGAAAGTTTAAATGATGGAAAAAAAAATTAGATCAAAATCTCATGCTCATAGGGCATTACATTGAAATATCTTATTTTATACTAAAGATTAATGTTATGATTTCAGGGTCAGTATATTTGGATGGACAGGATATTAAAAGTATAGATCCAGGCTGGCTCAGAAATCAGATAGGAGTGGTTAGTCAGGTAAATAAAATCAAAATTTCATTTGATTATGTCTACATACAGTTCTCGTGTATGTAAAATTTCATTTGATTATGTCTACATACAGTTCTCGTATATGTAAAATTTCATTTGATTATGTTTACATACCGTTCTTGTGTATGTAAAATTTCATTTGATTATGTCTACATACAGTTCTTATGTATATAAAATCTCATCAGATTATGTCTACATACAGTACTCATGTACTTTGCTAAAAGTTTTCACTTGAAACTTGTCTTTAGGATCATTATCAGGTTTCTTGTTGTAGGCCCATATTTTGACTGAATTATAACCTTTTGTGAACACAGAAAATTATTGGTTAAAGTTTTACATGAATTATTAATCTTCAAAAGAACTGAAGGTATCCAATATGTTTTTGAGATCATTATTACTGCAAGTAAAAAAATACTGAATAATCATCATAGTTATAACATTGTCTAATGGGTGTCTTAAAGTTGAATGATACCAAAAAATGTTTTACAAACCTAATAGGAATCTTTTGTCATCTGCAGGAACCAGCCTTATTTTCATGTTCAATAGCAGACAACATTAAATACGGAGCCAGTGATCCTAGCACAGTTACCATGGAGATGATAGAAGATGCTGCACGGAAAGCTAATGCCTATATGTTTATCAGAAACTTTCCTCAACAATTTGACACACTTGTTGGTGAACGAGGACTTTCATTGTCAGGTATGATAACTTGTATAAACTATCAATATCATTTAATGCATTTTAAATCATTGAATTACAAGTGCTTGGTAATAATGATTCTTCATTTTTGTCAAAGAATATAAGTGTATGCTAGAGAACTATTTGAAAAATACATGTCCAATACTGTTTTTAACGTTTTTATGTTTGTAAGATTTTATAGAACATACATTATTAAATGAAAGTTTTAGAGCAAAATTTTGTGACTGGTTGGGTTTCTTGTACTGGAGTAGATAATATGCCATATTTGAATGAATTGCTATTTCTGATCCTCCTCCAATGAAGCCTGTTATCAAGCATGCCTAGCTTCAATACCTACTGCATTTACAAATCTAGTTATATAACTTGCAGTTACATTGTATATTCTATGATGTAAACCATAATTATATTTTCCAGGAGGGCAAAAACAAAGGATAGCCTTAGCTAGAGCTATCATAAAGGTAAGTTATATATTTTATTTATACTTTCTGAAATTTTCTTATAAATCCCCAAGTAAGTGGTTGGCCATTCCATCCTTCTGTCGGACTTAGTCTTCTCTCATAGTAGTTTTATCATTGCAGTTTTTAGCTCGACTATACAAAGTATATGGAGAGCTGTCCTACTCGCCCCGGCGTCGGCGTCCAGATTTTAGATTAAAGTTTTGGTGCAGTAAAATATTTTTCACTATAACTTTGTCATTTCTAAAGGTATCAACTTCAAACTTCAAATATATGTTCCTTATCATCAACCACATCTTATGTGACAAGGTTCATAACTCTAGCACCAATATTTTCAGATTTATCTCCCCTTGAACTTAGAATTTTTCTTAAAATATACTATTTTTTAATGTTACTTCTTTATTTCTTTGGGGATCAACCTCATACTTCAAATATATGTACCTTATCATCATCCCCATCTTATGTGACAAGGTTCATAACTCTAGCACCAATATTTTCAGATTTATTTCCCCTTGAACTTAGAATTTTCCTCAAAAAGTACTATTTCTTACTGTTTCTTCTTTATTATACCCCCACCACAAAATGTGGGGGGGGCTATAATGGATTTGCTTTGTCGCGTCGGTCGGTCGGTCGGTCCGTCCGTCGGTCGGTCGGTCCGTCCGTCCGTCTCCACTTTCGTGTCCGCTCTATAACTCCTATACCAATTGAAGGATTTTCTTCAAACTTGGCTCAAATGTTCACCTCAACAAGGGGATGTGCAGAACCCATATTGCCCATGTGTCAGTTCAAGGTCAAGGTCACAATTGAAGGTCAAATATCAAACACTATCAAATATTACACAGTATGTCGTGTCCGCTCTGTAAGTCCTACACTACTTGAAAGATTTTCTTTAAACTTGGCTCAAATGTTTACCTCAACAAGGGGATGTGCAGAACCCATGTTGCCCATGTGCCAGCTCAAGGTCAAGGTCACAAGGTCAAATATCAAACACTATCAAATATTTCACAGTATGTTGTGTCCGCTCTGTAAGTCCTACACTACTTGAAAGATTTTCTTCAAACTTGGCTCAAATGTTCACCTCAACAAGGGGATGTGCAGAACCCATGTCGCCCATGTGTCAGCTCAAGGTCAAGGTCACAATTGAAGGTCAAATATCAAACAATTAAATATTACACAGTATGTCATGTCCGCTCTGTAAGTCCTACACTTCTTGAAAGATTTTCTTCAAACTTGGCTCAAATGTTCACCTCAACAAGGGGATGTGCAGAACCCATGTTGCCTATGTGCCAGTTCAAGGTCAAGGTCACAATTGAAGGTCAAATATCAAACACTATCAAATATTACACAGTATGTCGTGTCCGCTCTGTAAGACCTACACTAATTGAAAGATTTTCTTCCAACTTGGCTCAAATATTCACCTCAACAAGGGGATGTGCAGAATCCATGTTGCCCATGTGTCAGCTCATGGTCAAGGTCACAATTGAAGGTCAAATATCAAACAATCTAATATTACACAGTATGTCATGTCCGCTCTGTAAGTCCTACATTAATTGAAAGATTTTCTTCAATCTTGGCTCAAATGTTCATCTCAACCAAGGGATGTGCAGAACTTATGTCACTCTTTTGCTGGCTTAAGGTCAAGGTCACACTTTAAGGTTTAAAAATTGACTTAGAAAATATTCTTAAATTTTAACATTTATTTGAATATTTCTAAATCTAGATATTTTTGAGGGGTCACAATTCCGATATGCTGTACGTTCAAGTTTCATAACTCTGTATTGCATTTTACCAAAGTTACGCCCCTTTTTAAGTCTTCAAATTTACATACAATTAAATATTAGACAATATGTTGTGTCTGCATTATAAATCCTATACTAATGGAAGAATTTTCTTCAAACTTTACTCAAATTTTCACCTCAACAAGGTTATGTGCAGAATCCATGTCACCTTTGTGCCGGCTAAATATCAAGGTCACACTTGAAAGTCAAAAATTGACTTAGAAAATGTTCTTAAATTTTAACATGTACTTGAATAATTCTGAAACTAGCGCAGGCATTTGCTTGAAACTTAAAAGATATATGAGGTGTGGCAAATAAGATATGCAGGTCAAGTTTCATTATTCTGTATTGCATTTTGACAAAGTTATGCCCCTTTTTAAGTCTTCAAATTTACATACAACCAATACTAGACAATATATTGTGTCTACTCTATAAATTCTATACTATTGGAAGGATTTTCTTCAAACTTTGTCTTTACTCAAATGTTCAACCAAACTGGGTGATGTGCAAAACCCATCTTACCCTTGTGCCAGATTAAGGTCAAGGCCACACTTGAAGGTCAAAAATTGACTTATAAATAAAATGTTTAATACATTGGGAAAATGAAAGGTTATTTGTAACTGTTTCGAACATGATTTGATAATATATATTTATACTATTACCTGTACAATTGGTCTTTTTTTCACCAGAGATAATTTCTTTTTATGTATTTGTGCCACATAAGTTATTCCCTTAACCACCTTTCCAAGTGGTCTTCTGTCAAGGACATTGGTGGGGGTATGAATCGCATTCAGCGATAGTTCTAGTTTCTTAAGGGATCAACCTCATACTTCAAATATATTTATGTTATCATCATCCCCATCTTATGTGACAAGGTTCATAACTCTAGCACCAATATTTTCAGATTTATCTCCCTTTGAACTTAGAATTTTCCATAAAAAATATTATTTTTTACTGTTACTTATTTATTTCTAAAGGGATCAACTTCATACTTCAAATATATTTACGTTATCATCATCCACATCTTATGTGACAAGGTTCATAACTCTAGCACCAATATTGCAAGAATTATCTCCCCATAAACTTAGATTTTTTTACTAGAAAAATGTTATTTTTTATTATAACTTTTTTATTTTTAAAGGTATCTACCTCAAACTTCAAATACTTATTCCTTATCATCAATTACATTTTATGTGACAATGTTCATAACTCTTGAAGCAATATTTACACATTTATCTCTCTTTGAACTTAGGATTTTCTTTAAGAAATATAATAACTTCTTTACTTTTTAAGGTATCTACTTCAAACTTCAAATATATATTTCTTATCATTACACAAATGTTGTGTGACAAGGTCAAAAACTCTAGCATGACTATTTCTAGAATTATTCCCCTTGATCTTGGAATTTATGTTAACAAATATAATTTTTTACTATAACTTAATACATAATTATACATAATTGATTTTTCTTTCATAGTTTTGTCCTCCTTACTGCGTCCAGTATTTTATTAGTCGAGCTTGGCTGTCTCCTGTGACAGCTCTTGTTAACCAGGTTTTCCGAAGGAAAAATCTGGTTATTAGATTGAGGTATGTCGGCGGGCGGGCGGATGGGCGGATGGGCGGGCGTAAACAATTTCTTCTGTGCGCAACTCCTCCTACGTTTCTCAACGGATTTTGACCAAACTTTCACAGAAGCTTTGTCATCAAGTGCCCTGGTGCATATTGTCAGGGTTTTGTGATTGAATAATATTTGACCTAATTATGGCCCTTTGTTTTTTTCCCTTATAAAGAATATATAGTGAACAATTTCTTCTGTGCGCAACTTCTTCTAAATTTCTCAAAGGATTTTGTTCAAACTTTTACAGAAGCTTTGTCATAAAGTGTCCTGATGCATACTGTTGGGGTTTTGTGATTGGATAATTTTTGACCTAATTATGGCCCTTTGTGTTTTTTCTTATACAGAATATATAGTGAACAATTTCTTCTGTTGCCCAACTGCTTCTACATTCTCAAAGGATTTTATTCAAATTTTCACAGATTAGCTTTATCTCCAAGTGCCCTGATGTGTATTGTCAGGGTTTTATGATTAGTTTTTACCTTATTTTGGCCCTTTGTTTTGCCATAAAATTTAATTATTAGTGTAATATATCTAATTGATTACAACAAACTTTATTTAGTTATAAAACAGAAACTTATAATCTAGGTTGTTGCATGCCTGCCAGCTCATCTGCCTGTTTTTGGGTCCTGTAGAGTCAAGGTCATTGTTGCTAAAAATAGAAAATCTGTTTCCAGTCAGGTCACTGTTACTAAAAATAGAAAATAGGTTTCCGGTCAATAACTAGTTTGGAATAAGATATTTTTATGAAATTTGGTATAAAGCAAGTTTCTATGAAGACCTCACTTGGGATGGCGTTTTGGCCTCCTAGGGTCAAGGTTACAGTTACTAAAAATAGAAAATTCATTATTCATGATTTACATTGCACATAGTTACATTGTTTGTTGCTTGTATTTGTATTTCAGCTACTACATATTTATCTACAATGGTGATAATTGAAAACCTGGTTTCGTGGCATTGCCATGTTTCTTGTATCATAATTGTTTTATCATAGCAGTTTTGTTTATAGATGGATATCTTAAATATTTGTTTTTGGGTACATTCTGTGGACCTCTACAATTAAATTGTGCTAAGGTTGATAGGTTGTATTTTTAGCCGTATTTTTAGAGAAAATCGAAAGTAATAGTCACTGTGAATTTACTGAGGTTATTTTATTAATGCCTCTATTTTTTTTTATTAATGCCTCTGGTTTTGTGCGAGTAAGGGAATTTGTATTTTAAGATTATTTGTTATCTGTTTTCAGGACCCCAAAATTTTATTGCTGGATGAAGCAACAAGGTAAGTTAATTAACCTAATTAACCGACCATCCTATATATCTTAAATGGACTTTTCCATATATCAATCTGGACAAAACCATTAATCATTTTAGGGAAAATTTCAAAATAAGTACTTACTGAACAGGGAACAGTGCAGACAATGATCAGACACTGATGAGCTGGCTGATCGTGGTCTGCACTGGTCACATAAGTAGAAACTGTTGATTCCAGCAGGCTACAATTTTAACGTAATCTCAACATTACTTATACAAATTTTAAGGTTAACATCCTGATGTTATATGACATGCATGCAAATCATCTAGATCGAGATTGTATATTGAAAAACTTAATCTATATGGCATCGTCATATTTTCCAGTTTGATAATAACAGTGCAGAATTACATGTCTGTTGAGACCACAGCTCTAAATGTATGTGTGTCTACACAACTTGTTTTGTTCTTGAAACTAATAGTTAATAAAGATAATAGTAATTACTAAAATTGCAAGAATTTAAGCTAATGTTAGGTTATTTTCCTTATTTAGTGCACTAGATTCGGAGAGTGAATATTATGTAAAGGAAGCCTTGAATCGACTTATGGTCGGCAGAACTGTTATAACAATAGCACATCGACTGTCAACAATCAAAACGGCCAATCAGATCGCAGTACTCGACCATGGACGTGTTCTTGAACTCGGATCTTATGAACAGCTTGCAGCAATGGATGATGGCATTTTTAGAAAACTTGTAGAAAAGCAGACTATAATGTCTTGATGTTAATAAACGGGTATAAATATTGGCATTATACACAGCTGTTTTATTTAAATTACTTTCATAATCAAAATTTAAAGATCATTCCATTTTGTTCAAGTTATGAGCCAGTAACAGTGGTGCTACTTCTGGTGAAATGAATGACTGATATTGTGTATGTGCCATTTGTTTCATTTCAAGCATTTCATACATGATGCCATACTTAAAATTTAAGTAAAACGTAATTGTTGATATTGAAAAATTAAGGGTGTAATATTTAATGACATTAGATTAAATTTGTTTTGAAAGAGGAGTAGGAACATAATTATTAAAGTGTCTGTCTTTCAACACAGGGCTAGTTCAATAATTTAATTGGGTTCACAACTATATTTCCACATTTTATGCAAGTCCATGAATTAGACAATAATTATTATCAGAGTTTCATATTTGAACTTAAGGGTTGTAAAGTTATACTCGACTGATTTGTATTGTGAGGAGAAAGTAATAATTACCTAGATGTCTTTCATGCTATTAATTGTAAATATGGTGGTAGTATGAATTATTGTTTTTAATTATGTGTATAATTTAATATTTGGGTTCTTTCATGTGAGGAAGCTATAGAGCTAGCTTACAGGTGGGTGGTTCTACTTAAAGGCTCACTCCTGCCTGAATTATTGTACAAAGGGGCACCAGAGGTCTTGCTCCACCATTAAAGCTGGAAAGTTACCATATGAACGTATGGTGTTGGTGCAACTTAAAACCCAATTAAGGAAAAACTATCATAGATTTAAGTTGCATAGTATCTTACATGCATAGTTTAAGATGAATTATTGGAAAGGTGAACAGAGGTTGTAAAGCAAGTCGAAAGAGGATCTTTTTTTCAGGAGAACCTGTTAAAAATTTAAGTTAATTGTACTTTGTGTAATGTGGCATTATTTAACAATCTTGATATTAAATTAGCAGTACATGTGTATATACATGTACATGTATGATTCACACAATGTTAAGGGTTGTTGGTCTTTTTTTCAGCTTGGTTATTCGAGGGCCATCTTATTCACTTCTTACCTGGAGTGACACTTGCCTTTAAGGTTTTGTGAATAACTTCATATCTCACTAACAACTTGATTTAATAAATACACAAATGTTCTTTGAATTGGATTAATTGCCTTTGTAAACTTAAAAAGATCCTGTTCATTGTAAAAGTTCTTGTTTCACTATCAAGCATTTAATATAGTTGAAAGCATTGGTTTTCTTGCTGTTCTTGTATAGTACTAAATATGATATACTATCACAAGTCAATTTAGACTATACGTGTTGAGAATTTAGCTGTGTGAACCAGTTTGAATAATTTTATATAATGGTTCATAATTATAAATAAGTGACTTGGTGTAAGATTTGTTAATTTTCATACAGGTAGCTTAGCTAATGACTGCCAAAACATCTTTAGATATACATTTTAATGTTACATATGATAAAGTTGATGTTTTTCGAAATTTTATATTTTGATTTCATGACTTGTAAAAATAAAATGGATGAATTATATTATGTTTTAATATGTTTCAATTTTCCTTACAATCCTTGGCTAGAAATTAATAAAATCAAATAAAACAAAAGATAATTAGAACCAAGTCTCGTTTTATCATTTTTAATTTTTATCAATTTTTATTTGCTTATTACCATCAAGTTATGACCTCCATGTTTACTAGAGTTATGGGTATTACCTGTCTGCTCACTGAAGCACTTTTCTTTTACATTGCACTTTTGCTCTTCTTGACATCAAAAGACCAGCAGTAAATTTAAGTCTTAATAAAAGATTATTATGTATCAAAGCTTGTTGTTTATATAGTTTAAACATTTATTGCTTTGTACAAAATAGACTTGCTTTGCTATGAGCTTGGAAATTCCAGTAGTATTGGTTAAGGATTTGGTATCGAAACTGAGCAGTCAATAGTATATTCTGGTTGGACTGCAAAGGTGAACAAGCTGCTTGTGGCACAGGTAAGTTGTTAAAATTGCTAGCTGTTGGTGCAGAAGAAGACTAATTTTAGAAATATAAGTGACAAAGCAATCTGTCGTATGTGCTATGGGTGACGACATAAATTTCATGAACAACTAAAGTAAATCCCTTAAGTTATCAAAAAGGTAGGGAAAAATGATACAAGAGAAACCAGAGTTACAAACCTTGAGTTAGACTTAAGGAACAGCTACATAAAGTTAAATTCTGTAGAAATAAAGAAGAAACAGTAAAAATTTGTAAAATATTTTACTATACATAATCATAAATCTGGAAGCGGATGTCATGGTGAGTAAGACAACACTCATATACTTTGTATAGCTGCTGAACAATATGATACCATACTGCATAAAAACTTCATCTACAAGTATGAACGAAGACACAGACACTGACGTGGGGATGTGGACAGGTCTCCATTTTATAGAACCAAGCCAATAAGTCACAGACTGTCTATCATTCCTCTGGGAGAGGATCAAAGCCAACCGGGCTATGGGAACAGTGTTTATTTAATATAGCAAGAAATTTAAATCTTTCTCCCATCTGTTCAGGATTTGTTAACATGTTGAAGGCAGACAAGAGATCTTTCTTTCCATCCGCATCAGCTTTCTCGTACAACATCTGAAGAAGATAGAAAATTATATACTATTATATTTTATGGAGTTTTAAAGTGACATTATGCCCATCCAAGGATATTTAGTGACAGAACAGGTGAGAGTGAAAATAACTTGGCATTTTGCCATAATTCCTTTTAATTTTATAAATTATTTTGCATCGATGATAAATAACTTGGGTGGCCAAAATAATTTTTTGTAAATATCCATTGAAATTTACCTGTAAAGTTCAATTTATAAAAAGAGCAGGGCAGTCTTTTTATATTTTAGGCAGATATATACTTTTTCCTCCAGATGTAACTGCTGGTCAATCATCATTATAACTGTCAATCTTTTCAAATATACATGAGCCACGTCACTACAAAACCAACATAATGGGTTTGTGACCAGCATCCGCGCAGTCTGATCAGGATCTATGCTGTTCGCTTACCAACTCTATTACAAGTAGAGAAACTGATAGCAAACAGCATGGATCCTGATCAGACTGCGCGGATGCGCAGGCTGGTCTGGATCCATGCTGGTCGCAAACGCACTATGTTGGCTTTGTCATGACGCGGCTCAGTCATGTGTACACAGTCAATTCTACCAAACTTCACAATGAGAATAATGTAACTTAAAGTCACTGTCACATGACCTTCCAGTAGAACTATCAGAAAATCAAGTCTATATCACTACCATATATTGTTTGATTTCCCACATAAATTTATTCAACAACTGAGTTTCAAAGCTTTGCTTCTTAAAACTGTTTTTCCTTCAACAATATGAGTTCATTTTTGGACAATGAGTGCCATTTACACAACAAACACAAAATAATGCCTCATCTAGAGATAAATTAAATTGTTGATCAAAGCTTTTTGTACTACATATGGTATCATTGACATGATTGTTTCCAACCAATCCAGTATCAATGCAGGTGAAATTATACAATTTCAAGTAAACAATTAGCAACCTATTCAAAGGAAGAAATGGTGACCTTTTAATATTTATTAATATTTACTTATACAAAGAAAACTGAAAAATAGCAGCTCATTAAGTCTTAAAAGACATGTATATTACCTTTAATCTGTAGGCTATACCCATATTTTGTAAGAAATGTGATTGTGTTACAGGTCCAAATGATTTAACTGAAACAAAAAGAAATCTTGTGTTAACTGATTCTGCCAAAAAAATAAAAATAATAGTTAGAGTAAGATTTATTTTGTTTTAATATAGCAAAAACAAAGTTATTTGCTATTCAACAATGGCCATAAATATAGATCTACAATCCGAACAATTTGACAGACAAGCTAGTTTCATCATCCAATGCTAGAATGTTTCTGGAATAGGTAATATTGCAAGTATCAAAGATACAAGGTCCTGTTATTGCAAGATCTGATCAGTAATGATAGTAATAGCTCTTTCTCAATAAAGTATGTAATGTATTATTCAAAGATCTTGTACAGAAGGTAAGCATATAACTGTCCTATCATTTAAAATTACTTGTATCAATGTGCAAAATGGTATGTTTCGTAAAAAAAAAAAATCAAACTCACCCCTATCCCCTGCTTGTTTTTTGATGTATGAAAAGTCAACATCTGCTGTTAGATCTGCAGTTCCTGGGTCTTCCAGCACGTCATGTAACTCATGATTACGAAAACCCTAAAAGTTGTACAAGAACCTTCATTCAGTAAACATCTAATAATCTGAAGCTGTTGAACTTTATGTTTGTTACTTGTTTGATATGGTCAGTGGTCACCTATGAAGCAGATGCAAGAGTCCTTTACTAAGGCAAAGTTATAGACAAATAAATTGAAATCAAAAATTCAATTTCAGCAAAATGATTTGACCAATGCAGGAGGGAAAAGTTTGGCTCAAAGGCCATGACTAATTAAAATATGACCTAAAACACTAGGCTTTGTTGCATGGAAAATTATCAAGTGCTTCCTATGTATATTTATGAAATAGAAAATCAACTCTTAATTTGGACACCCTGTCCATGATTTCAGCACATCTGTTACAGGCTCACTAGGTCATATTTGTAATAAAATCGAGTTGAATATTAGTTATAATCAAGGATATGGGTTTAATATTACATGTAGTGTTACCAAAAGGGTCACTTGCTTTTATAATAAAGATTTGCACACGAAATAAACTTCAGTTTTTTATACCTTAAAACTTTGCATATATTGGATATACAAGTTACTCACCCTAAAAGTATCTTCTTTTGTGCCATCATGCCCATAGTCTATAAGTAACGCAGATCCACCATGATTGTCTAATACATCAACTATATGTTGAACTGTTACACCAGTACCAGGACTAACTTCAATATGCTCTCTCTTATCATCTGCTGATACCTGATACAATATAAGTATATAGTTCATCTTTAATTACAAGACTATTGGTCAACATTGAATTTTCAGTTCTGACAAGCTTGCACTGCTTTCATAAAAAATTTCAGTATATTTTCAAGCATAACATTATTAACTTTTTTTTAGAGATCTAAATTCACATTAAGGAACGTGCCTTTGCAAAGAACATACAAAACAACTACTACCGTATAAGTGGTTTTTTCTGCGGGCTCCAAATTCTGCGGTTTTTCCAAATTTTGGCATGTTTTTATTTCTGCGGACTTTATTTCTGCGGCACTTTCTTTGGACAAAACGTGATTAAAATTCTGCGACTCGTCTTATCAAGAGACTATGAGACTATAATAAAGAATAAATATATATCAAAGTCTAAGGCACATTACCCTATCTATTATATTTGCATGTACACGTTCGCATTTGTTTATTGTCGTCACCGCAAAACTGTATAGTAATTACAAACAATTATATTGTTTGCTTGCAAACAAAGATAATGCACAACAATAGAAAGGTATACATCTTTGATCAGCGTGAAGTGACGTGTGAAAAATATACCCCGGTAGTATCTTTAATTTAATAAAATTGAAATAAATTAACCGTGAATCAGATGACAATTAAAGTATACAACGATTATTTAGCAGTATAAGGGTTGAAATCGTTTGAAATATTTTCATTCTTAGATTAGCATAATTAGCAATAAGTACATTCTTACAAACACAGATTACATACTTAGCCGTCAGCAATTTTATACAATTCGAAAACCCGCTAACCGTTATAATCTGTTAGTCGTTATTACTTTAGACGAAACAGGTCACAATGTAGGATACATATCGTAGCAGGTAAGAGAAATATTCTGCGGTTTTTATTTCTGCGGTGCCGAAACTGACCGCAGAAAACGCAGAAATAAAGTCACCGCAGAAAAAACCACTTATACGGTATGTCATATACTGTTCCATAAATGGGTGTTTTTAAAGATAAGTACAGAAATCTATTAATACCAATAGTGATAACATATCCAGAGACCTAAAGGGGTCATATACCTTATGTCATTATGTGGCTGATCAAATTGATAAATTATAAGGCTTTAGGTCATGAAACTGGACAAAAGAAACTAATTTTTACATAGTCCCACCCTGACAGATCAATAGACTGGGCAAATACAATGTCTCTCCAAGAAAGATGGATATACATACACTTGTAATAAACTAACCTTGAGATAAACTTTAGAAGCAGCAGTTTCACCAGGAGCTAACACATACCTCAGTTTGTTGTCTGCGGCTGGATCTATATCAACTAGAATTTCCCGCCATCCTTTGTCTACTTTCTGAAATAAGAATATACATGTACTTAAGTTGATGAAACCCTAAGGAGTATGTGCTAAAATAAATTGCATGTAAAATTTGCAGTTCATATCAGGAAGTAGGAGTAACAAAAATATATTTGTAATGACACTAAATATAACTATGATGTATTTCTGTGTATTGTACACTAGAAGAATATATAACTTCGGCTATGTTAGTAGCATTTCTCTAATTTATACATGTATATAAATCATACTTTTTGTTGATTTCAAAACAAATTCAAAATAAAACAAAACGAATCATTAGATTTTACAATTATCTTGATTGTAAATTTTACCTCCAATTACTTGTTTAACTTTAATTTATATTCTTAAATATGCTTTGTAATCTTTAACTAATATATAACCCTTGTAAATTAAAGCACCTTCTTATACATGTGTATTAATAAATATTTTCACAAGTATGAAAATGATCTATTGTGAAAATAATATACTAAAATAATATAGAGGCCAGGCTTACTTACTTGAAATTTATGTATAGGTAAAGCATCAAAGAATTCATGTGCCACAAACATAGTATACCCCGCTGGAATCTCACTTATATCTCTATACCAGTAAACATTAGGACCATGTTTTGATTTACAACTTTTATAGTGGGGATCATTTTCAGAACAAGCAATAGTTGAATTATCTCCACCAGCTGACAACTTCTCCTCTTGCATTTCACTTAATTTTTCACTTATCTCCACCAAATGTAATGACAGGGCTTTTTTCAGTTCAGGAAAATTTGAAAATGCCTGAAAGAAAAACAAAAAGCAACATTTTAACATGTATAACTGGTAAAAGAACATTTTTTTTTAATTAAAAACATTTCATTCTAACACGACCCACATTTTTCCCTATTGAACATTGAAAGACCAAAAGTGTGTGTTATTATGCAACAAAATCACTGTTGACATTCTATATTTAGACATGTGACGTAACCATTTGACATAATGAAGTAACCATTAAAAATGTGATGCACTGAAAATATGTACCGAAACAAATCAGAGGCAATGCAGATTTATATCAGGTTTGGCAGCAGTTTTTTGTTAATATCGTGTTAGAATCGAAATAATATATCCAAATCAGTGATTTTATCGATTGATATAATGATGCATATCTGAACGACAAACAATGATTTATTTAGCGATAGATAAAATCACTGTTTGGGACATATTATTTCTTAAATATATATTACTTGCATTTGAGAATTTCTGAAGTAAATACATTTCAAAATTTTAATAAACATTTGCTAGTTAAATAAATAACAGAGATGAAATTTTGGATACAACGCAATTTCCGACATATATAAAATGTATTTATTCACCATAGCTATAAATTCACAAGAAAGTTGATTTGCAAATATTAGTGAAAAAAAAAAATCTAACATGTATAAAACCAGTTCAAAAGTATAAAAACATCTTTAACAATTCCATACCCTTAACATATCATCAGCCATGGTTCCACGTCCTGGGCCAAGTTCTACTAGCTTGATATCTTCTGGGGAACCAGCCATCATCCATTCATTAACAAACCATAATGCAACAAGCTGAAGTGTAGAAACTACAAGTATAACCAATAATGAATAACTGTTGCAAATACATACTTATTCTTATGACAAGCTACCATATTTAAAAAGGCATAGCTGGTAACTCCGAACTGGTATACAGTGAAACATTGCAAATATTTTCAAAACATAGTAACAGTTTTAGAAATCCTCTTATCAGGTGTAGAATATACTTGTGGCCCTGGCTTAGTGGACTTCTCTCAGAGCCTTTGTTTATTAAAGGTTTTTGTTATGTAGATACATGTATCATATAGACACGGATCTCTACACTTACGCGGCATTTGAGGTAACTATGGTCAAAGGTCAACAAGCTTAAAATGTGATTTCTACCTTCTTATAAACTAAAGCTATGATAGCATCAAATAACACCAAATCATTGATTGCCATTACTGTGATGTCATGTAACCATCAAACTCCATACTAACCTCTCCAAACATCTGACTGATCTCTGGTGAAGTTGTAAAATCTCCATCTTTTCCAAATACATCTCTGTGTATATAATAACCCTGCATGATAAAAGTTCATTATTATCATAGCCAAGAATGAATTACTTAAAACAAAATAAACAAGAGATGTCAGTTTATGCTCTACCCCCATAATGTTCAAAGGTGAAATTGAGCTAAAAATAGGACCTTATAAAATCGTTATTTGAACAAAGAACATAGAACCAAGTTTAAGGAGACTTACTTATAGTTGAAGTGATGTTCATATTAAAGTACAAAAGAAGGTTTTTATTAACCCCTAACCAGCTAGAATTTAGCTTTTGCCATTAGCATAGAGCCAGGCCATCTGGAAGCTTAACTTTTTTATTTTTAATATTGAAATCTCTTAAACTTTGAACACACTCTTCCTTATTCAAAGCAGGTCACATCCATTACATAAATTTAGCAGGTAATGGTTCAACAATGGATAAATGGTATTGTACCTCTGTGCAATTTGTTAATGCTTCTTTCATATAATCTGCTACAGTTAAAGGCCCATTGAATTTAATCTTAGCCTGCAGCTGTGACATCAACTGTCCTGAATATTCTCTTGAACAAAGTCTATGCTGACTGTTTGTCAAATTTCCTGTAAATAAATGAATATTTCATATTTTGAATGTGATTTATAAAATATCAAAAGACAGAATATTTGTAGAAGTGTATAATGGAGACTCTCCATTATATATTACAATTAGTTTATATTAATTTAATAACAGTCTAAATGACATGATGTTTATTATAATAATTTTTTAACATTTGAATACAGTTTTTGAATACAGTTGTCACAGTTCAGAACTGTTCACTATTTAGAGGAGAAGATGTGTAAGGGGTCAGATACATGTAGCTCAGTTGGTAGAGCCACAGTATTCCGTGGGTCCTAGGTTTGAGTCCCAGTCAGGCTGCACATTTTTCTCACCCTAATTGTACTACATTGAGATATTACGTTATTTTGTGTATGACCAATATCTTTCCTCTAAAGCCAGATTCTGACCAAATACAAAAATATTTCAGAATCTTGCTTTGACACATTAAAACATTTTGACTAAGATATTATAAGCATAATTACATCGTTTTTGGTCCAGCAAAGATGATTTCATAATTCCAAGGCAGATTATTGAAACGATTTATATCTAAATTATTTTACATACTATGTTATTACGGAAAGTTAAAAGACCTAACTTGGTCCTCCTGCAATTCTGTGGTCTCTTTGAGGGGACAGACTATTTTTGTACTGTGGTACGAATCGCTTTGAGGACGAAAATCTTGCAATGAATATCTTATCATTTCGACTTCTAACGTTGCTTTATACAATAATTATTATCAAGTGCAAACATAAAATATTCTTACTATGCTTCAAAGCATCAAATATCTGACGCCTGCAAAACTGTCGCAAAACATTCATCCCTTTCGCCTCTCCTTTAGTGAATATCACATGCGTGTTATTTTTACGCTGCAGCTTGTGAATTCGCTCTAGTAGCTATTCGAAACATAACGTTTCGTCCCAGTTAAAAAACGTCCTTCTCACTAAAACAAGTTGTCGATAGGTCGGCATGCTCTTCTATCTTCAGTGCATGTGGTAAATAAGAGCCTGGATAATGTTGAATTTTCTTAGGTTAAAAAGGGCCATAATTCTGTCAAAATCCATGTTAGAGTTTTGGGCCTAAGGCAGTGACACACTATAAATATTCTACCAAATAAGTGTGTCAAGTTTCAACCCTTTCCTTTCTGTAGCTATGGAGATACCAGCTAACATGTGAAACTTCAACCAATAATTTGTAAGTAAAAAAAGAAGCATAAATATGCAAAAATGCAAATCAGAGTTATGGGACTTATATCAATAATGTTAGATGTTCACAGAGAATAAGCGTGCAAATTTTCAATCCATTCCCATCAGTAGTAATGAAGATACCAGCTAACATGTGAAACTTCAACCAATAATTTGTAAGTCAAAAAAGAAGCATAAATATGCACAAAAGCAAACCAGAGTTATCGGACTTAAGTCAATCATGTGAGATAATCACAGAGGACAACCATGTGAAGTTTCAACTCATTCCCTTCAGAACTTTTGGAGATACCACCTTGTATGCAACCAAATTGTGACACAGACAGGCATCTTTTACACTTAATTCAGTTTGACATTCGGCTTTCTTTTTCTTTTTTACCAAATGGGTAACATATAAACCAAGCAAGAGTCTTTTAATACATGAAGTATATGATTTGTCAGCATCAAAAAATGATTCAAACATAATTCAACTGTTTCAAACTTGTGTTGTTCATAGAACAGTGGTGCAATAAAAAAGAAGGCGATACTGTATTTATTTTCTATATTATATATTGTGATGCAAAGACAGTAACATAAACAAAGTTAACATGTAACACATTCAATGTACTATACATTTTTAAGATTCATTTGAAAAACTTTCATAACATACTCCACTACAAATCACAGTTCATACACAAAAGCTGAAGATTTATAAAAATAAAAATGCCATAATGCTATTTTATTGCTCAAATCATGTACTTTAAATTTAATTCAAAATGTTTCGATCTGACCTAATTAATGCTATGCTATATGTAAAACATAAGATCTGATCTTTAATCAAACTTGTTTTGTTTAATATTCTTGAGAAACATGAGTTGCAGTTTGCTTTATTCAAAGACTTGTCAAAAAGATTATTCCTCGACTTCTTGAGTTGTCAATTGAGTTATCCATGAAGAGAAAAAAATATGCCAAGTGTGGCCAAAATTTAATAGTATTTTACAGAATAATAACATTTTATTTCTTTATCTGTTTCTTTTAAAGCATGATCAGTATAATAAATAACAAGAAACATGGCAATGCCACGAAACCAGGTTTTCAATTATCACCATTGTAGATAAGTATGTTATAGTTGAAATACAAATAAAAGCAACAAACAATGTAACTATGTGCAATGTAAATCATGAATAATGAATTTTCCATTTTAATAATTGTAACCTTGACCCTGAAGGCCCAAAAGCCATCCCAAGTGAGGTCTTTATAAAAACTTGCTTTACACCAAATTTCATAAAAATATCTTATTCCAAACTAGTTATTGACTGGAAACCTATTTTCTATTTTTATTAACAGTGACCTGACTGGAAACAGATATTCTATTTTTAGCAACAATGACCTTGACTCTACAGGACCCAAAAGCAGGCAGATGAGCTGACATTGAGAAATGTAGAAGGAGTTGCCCACAAGAAATTGTTCACGCCCGCCGGCCGACATACCTCAATCTAATAACCAGTTTTTCCTTCGGAAAACCTGGTTAAATTTAGTAAATTTGTTGATATAATAGTTTTAAATCTCTATGAATAGGTTTGCTTCCAAAAACATACTTCCATTGAAATGGTCTTTAAGAGGGCAATAAGGTTCCATCAATGTCTTTGCTTCAAATTTTGCAACATGATTAATAATAAGATGAAAATTCATTCAATTCCAATCAACCCGAAGGTAACTGACACCATAACATAATAAAGCTGTGTAAGTCACTAGCTCAAAGTGAAGATGTGATTTCCTTACAGAACATCTTAGATAAATTAATAGCCTTATAGAACGTCATAAAATGTGATAACATGACAGCCTTAAAGAACATCTTAAAACAGGATATCCTTCATATAGAAAGTATTAAAACGTGAAAACATGATAGCCTTAATGAACTTTTCAACTTATAGATTATCTAGCAATGCGATAACATGATAGGCGTGATACAATGAGAGCCTTATAGAACAAGAGCTGTCCGTAAGACAGCGCGCTCGACTTTTTTATTGCTTGCCAATAAAAAAAGTTTTTGCAGTAAAAGGCAATACAAGAATCTCTGTATTTTTAAAGTGAACAATGGCCATGAGCATTAAGATATTTAGTGAAGAATTATTATGAACCAAGAATACACTTTTATCAAACTGTCAAACTAGATTATCTTGTCTAATGAGTATATAACAGTATTAAGTGCCATTTAGGGTACGAAATACAAGTACAATGAGAGCCCCTTTTATAGAAATACTTATAAATGTGATAACATGATTTCCTTACAGAATATCATACAACATGATAGCCTTAATATAGAAAGTCTTAAAATGTGATAACATGATAATCTTATAGAACATCTTAGAAAACACACTTTCCTATTACAACATCTTAAGACATGATAACATGATGGCCACAAAGAGCATCTTAAAACATGATGACCTTATAGAACATCTTAAAATGTGATAACATGATAGCCTAACACAACATGATAGCCTTATTGAACAACTTAGGATGTGAAAACATGTAAGCCTTATTAACTAAAGACATGATAACATGACGATATTGAAGGCCTAAAAACAGTTGTGTTTGTATTTGTAAAAACTGCATAGCACACTTAACAAAAAAAAAACCCAGAAACTATGTATAGTCATAGGCTTAACAATTATATTTTTTACTTGATCTGGGACTATACATTGTTTATAGACTTTTAATAGTACCGATTCAATACCATAAAAGACAACTGCCCGTAAAACAGCATGCTCAACTATTGTCAGTGCTTGACAATAAGAAAAGGGGCATAACTCTGAGCTAAGGTAACTCAGAGTCAAAGGACATGTGCCCATCTTGTTAGATAATTACAAGAGAACAAGTTTGTGAGTTTTCAATCTATCTACTGCAGCAGTTTTGGACATACAACTTGCAGGTAAAAACTTAACCAAAGTGTGATGGGTTAGTACAACAGCTATTGCTATGCTTTCAATAATAAATCTACAAATGTAAAAGTGAATGGTCCAAGGACTGACTTTCTAAGTTTCTAGTAAAAATTTCTTGTAACTTCCAATAATAGTTCATTTTTTTTTATAGTAAATTACATAAAGCAAATATAACAACAAATAACATCTTGAATGTGTCGACATATCGTCACCCAAGTGCAGTAACAGGTTAAGTCCTTCTAAATTTAATAGGAGTTAAGCAGTTATTGCATTAAGGTGACAATATCAAATGTTTAATATCATGCTGGGTACAACATGATCTTTCTCATATAATAATAATTGAGCCGCGTCACGACAAAACCAACATAATGGGTTTGCGACCAGCATGGATCCAGACCAGCCTGCGCATCCGCGCAGTCTGATCAGGATCCATGCTGTTCGCTATCAGTTTCTCTACATGTTATAGGGTTTGTAAGCAAACAGAATGGATCCTGATCAGACTGCGCTATGTTGGTTTTGTCGTGATGCGGCTCATAATATAATGCCCTATAACTTCAATGACTTGGTATACTCAAGTCTTAAATAGGGGTACAGCAAAGCGCTTATTTGATCACAAGAAAATTTTTTACATTCATTGCAGCAGGGTTTAAAGGTTAATGCATACTATAATACATTGTAATTGAGAATACATAACATAGATCAGTAATTAAATCAACAAAAAAATAGCACATTCACTGCAACAGGACTAAAAATTTAGGTTGGTATGTAAATTAATGTAGACTACATGTACCTTAATTCATTTAACCGGTTGTGCTGAAATCATTACAAGATCATTTTTACTGTCTGTAAATTATAATTAAATTGACACCATCAAAATTTATGATAATATGGTTCATACCTTTAACAAGAAATTTAGTGATTCAGAGGGTATTGTTTGGTTGATAGAATACACAACATCCAATGTAACATCATCACCTGAGTGCAATAACTGTTTAACTCCTATTAAATCTAGAATTAACCTGTTACTGCACTAAGGTGACAATATGACACATTAAAAGAAACTGTAATAGTTTACAGTTAAAAAATTACTATCATGCAACAAGACCTACACTTAAGTGACTATGACCGAACATAAACACATGTCATGACTTGAAGTACATTTGAATTGATGTGTAGGCCAGCCTGGTTCTATGCCGTTGGCATTGACAAGTCATTATAGCCACTGGTGTTCAAACTTTCAAAAAAATCATTTTGTATATTTAATCCGATAAAGGAAATAAATGTATCAAGCTATTCAAGATGTAGAATTAATTACCCCTGAGCCTAAAGGTAACAGCAGATTCTACCCATAGGACCAGTGCATAATAAGATCCGCCTGCATGTCCCTGGCATACTATTCAGTCATTACATATTTTGTAATTTCCCTAAAATGACAATTGGTTTTGTCCAGATTGGAAGATGGACAAGTTCATTTCCAGATATTTAACATGGTAAGGGGAAATTAAGAACTATACAGTGTATTTATTTTACTTTCTTGGGAAATTTTGTTTAAATATTAGATTGAGTATACTTAAAAGCTGTTTAAAAAAAGCTGTTAAAAAAAAAGAAGAAGAAGCTCATTTGTAGACAGTGACATGCAGTTCTTCAAATTGTACAAAACATATGACAAGTACAAATTTTAATGGTCAATGAAAGTTTTAACACAGTAATGTTATAGCTACAAATATTGTCTATTTCACACTTTCTTTCTTAACAATGAAAAGAAACAGCTGGGAAGTATCTTCAAAAGAAGGATATCACTTTAACTTATTTAATTAAAATCCACTAAAACATGCATATTTTAGTGAAGTATTCATTTCTTAAACCTCGCAAGCAAAATTAATTAATCATTTACAAGTATTTTACGTACTTCATTTCTATTTTAAACAAGGTCATGCCACATTCAATTTAAAAGAGTTCACATGGTATAGTGAGATATTAAAAAAAAAACAGGAATGTATACCCGTTGCTAGTGATTTTATTAAATTTTCCAAATCTTTTCATTGTGCACTTCTTATTAATGGTACAAATAGTGATTTTCAATTAAAATGTGTGAAAAATAAATATGTTATATGTATAGTTGAGGTAACAAATGGTCACAAATGTGTTATCTTATCATTAAAATAACATGCACATTTCATAAAATATCTTTTTTAAAATGATCATTTAATACCTTTTGAGAGAAAATCACAATCAGGGGCAACAACTCAGTTCATGCTATGTTGATTAATAATTGTTAATCTTTAGTCAAAACAAGCACCTAAATTAGGCTTCAAAAGAATGGAAATTATCTTTTTTTTTCTCTCGATAAGTTAAAAATTACACAAACAGTGATAATGTTGTTTTACTGGAGGAGAAAGACTCCAATGCATGTTTGTGCATTGGTTTGATTTATACCGATTTTTTGTTTGTTCTACGATAAGGAAGCTGTAACCTTTCTAGACTCACACTCTAGTATATTCCTGAAACCAACCACTTTGAAGCAATGAGATTAAAGTTCTTTGGTCAAGGATATAATGGGCTTCCCCCTCACATGGTTTGAACACACATACAGCCAGCAACATGCATTAGTTTGTTTATGGTTGGCCACCTACATAGAGCCAGAATGAGAATTGATTTACTATGCTATAAATGTAGTGAATAACATGCTTATTTATACTTCATACATGGGGGGGATTAAATGTTAAAATGGAAAAGTTAATGGCTTGAAACAATTTAGACACAATTTTATGACTGTAAACTGCTTGAAATAACAATAAAAACACACACATATCCATCACACTGAATACTAGAAACTTATAACATGCACTTAGTGCAAAACTTTTATATCTTAATAGCAATAATATATTAAAATTAGATATTTTCAATTTTCCAGAACTTTAAGCATCCATTCATTCTTATAATGTTTGACAAGATACATTGTTCTAGATCTTAGTATGGCATTTAAACAAAAACTCTCCACTCAAATCAAATTAAAATTAGGGGCTTTTGTACACTAACTAAGGGGCCTTTGTTTGTGTTGCAATTTCTATTGAGGGGCTTTTGGGTGTTATTTTTGGGGGGGTTTTTTTTTTCAATAAATTAACTGAAAGGCTTTTGAAAATTTTTCAACAAATAAAATGAGGGTTTTTTAGTCAAAGGAGATGTCCTATACTCATTCTTAATACCTAAAAATAACGATATTCAATGGCTGACGAGCCCTATTTCAATATAAAACTAAAAAGAATTAGTACCAAGCGGAAGAATATGATGCCTAATAAATGTAACAAAATTACTTCACAATTCGTAAGAGTAAATGAACTTACATAACCATTTTTACTAACTTATCTTTCATTTTGTTCAATAATAGAAGTTAACCCTTAACCTGCTGAATTTTTGTAATGAAATTGCCCCGTTTTTTAATTGGGAACAGTCCATTCAAAGTTTAAGGGATATCAGTATCGAAACTGAATTACCAAAAATATACTGACCAGACTGCATGGCTGTGACTAATGACCTGTCCTGACTCTATTCAAGTGACATAGAATTATCGCTTTTGGTACCAGCAGGTTGTTTAATACTTATAAATAATATAGCTTTTATAAAACTATCTTCTTTACAGGGATTAAAGAAAGCACAGCCATTAGCATTGCAAAAAAGTGTCAATAAAAGAGACATAAACAATAAACCTTGAAAAAAACTTTTAATTCATGCACATTTAGCCAGAAAAAAAAAACAACATAAGATAGCACTGTAATGCACAGAAGACAATGTTATCTATAACAAATAAAATGTACAGTAAAACAATATGATCATATCAGTCTATTAAACTATTCTATGAGTTATACATGGTCAAAGCTGAAGGAATGCAATTAATCTTACATAATAAGTTACAATGTTGCAATGATCTGCCATTTTTTCTATATACTTAATTTGATTTACAGAATATTAAGATTTTATTTAGAACATTAATATTATCCTTTACAGATGCCTTAAGCATCTCGAATATCTACAATTCCTAAAAGAAAAGCAGAAATCTTTCTTAAGTACTGGATATAAAGAGAAAATAGAGGCTAACCTGAGCAAAACTACTATAAGCATTACATTTGTCGACTTTATCATGCATGACCATTTTGTTACCATTTAATAACCATAGTTTTATGCAATCCTAGCTATTCTTTTTTATTTTAACTCAGAGCAGGATAACTTGTTTCGCTGCAACAAATTCAAGACTTATCTAACCACAGGGTCAATTAACTGTACTGCATTATATATGTGGCAGAAGACATTAACAGACATACTATAAAACTCTACTCCATTAACAAGGCTAAAATAATAATAAAATCACGACCAATGAATTCAGCACAAGAATCATCTAACAATACTGTTTAAATTGCATCTGACACTCCTTCATCTACAACATGATCAGCTCTCTAAAATTATGCATCTTCATAATATTAAACTTGTCAAAACCCAACAATAACCAGAATATATTCAAATTGTACCTTACACCTGAAATGTATAACTTATAAAATCTCAACTCTCTAAATATCCCAGACTTTATTCATTATTTGGCCTTCTTGCAACTCAATAAACAGTTACATAAAACGCTGTCGAGATAGAATCGTTTACAACCCCTTTGTGGACAATGCACAGTGATAATGATAAAACCTAATTTACATTACGTTCCATTACCGGTACATTTATTATTTCATTTATTACTCTAGAAGACAAAATATTTTCTATAAAGCAAAATCAGCAGAATACAATGTATATATTACAGATCAAAAACTCTTATGAGCAAAGATGTAATAAAGATAGAATCACTCTCAATAAAATGCTTGCATCCAAAACAAACCTCTAGAAAACAAAATTTTATATAACTGACAATTAACCAGTTCTCAAATTGATGTTTTTCAAAACATTCTTTCTCCAATCTTTTATTCATCAAAAAATATATAATTCTTCATTCATACTACTATTAGTACAAATGTACCTATTTTCTTCACTTTCAAACAAACATTATTTGAGCCGCGTCATGACAAAACCAACATAGTGCATTTGCGACCAGCATGGATCAAGACCAGCCTGCGCATCCGCGCAGTCTGATCAAGATCCATGCCGTTCGCTATCAGTTTCTCTACTTGTAAGCAAACAGCATGGATCCTGACCAGTCTGCGCGGATGCACAGGCTGGTTTGGATCCATGCTGATCGCAAATGCATTACGTTGGTTTTGTCGTGACGCGGCTCATTTTTCTTTTTATTTATAAATCTATGTAAAACAACATCGCTTTCATCTCCAGCCTGACTCATTAAATACTGAAGCCTACAAGCAAAAAGCATGAGAAACATTCATTAATAGTACTTAGTCTGAAATCAAGCTGCATTTCAGTGAAATAGTTAAGCCAAAGTGTGTAACTGGAACTTTAATTTCTACTTAGAACTATGGTGAATTTGTATATTATTTATGCTAATATAGCACTTGAATTTTCACCTTATCAAAACAAGGTATACTAAGCATAATGTTACAAAATATAGTCCCTAAAGTACTTTATATCAGATAAAAAATCTAATTCACAAAAGTTTGAATCTTTCTAAAATGCGGGTGACCATGGAATTCACAATAGCCTGTCATTCATGTATATGTACCTGTATAAGCAAATCGTCATTAACGCTTCACGGTTTGGTCATTATATATCTATACATGTAAGTATTTACATGAAATCCAGACATTGTAAAAGCCACAGTACATGTATTTCACTGTTACTAATACATAATTTCTATAACATTAAAGAAATATAGTATATCTAAATTTTAGATATAAAACACTAACAACAGTAATGGATAAAGAACATCTACTGATTTCCATAATAATGCCAGTTGTGTTTTAAGATATTAAACTATTTCAAACTATATATCTTAACGCAGATTTTTAATGAAATTTACTGGTACAGTAAACTCTTCAGTAAAAGCCAGCAACTTCAAACTTGAGAAGTATTGATAAATGCTAGGCGTAGAATTCATTAAAAGGGTTATTCTAATAGAAACATGTAAAGTCTAATCATCATCATCAAGGTTAAAGGTTGGTAGTTGTAGTGTACAGTATCCTACTCCAGTCAAACTACGTGGTAGTCCACCTATAGTCTCCCATATACCACTATACACATCGTACCGGGACACCAATTTCTGCCCCGTTTTGGTTTGAACGTTATATCCACCAAGCACATAAATTTGATCATTGTATACAACACACGATGCCTCTTTGTGCGATATCGACAATGGTGCTATGATTGTCCACTGATCAGCCTCCGGATCGTAGCATTCCGACTGCACAACAGGCTGTGCCTGCTGATTTACATTCAGATTGCATCCCCCGAATACGAACAACTTATCCTGTGCCGTGCACATAACATGCCAGCCCCTAGGGGTCAGCATTGGTGCCATATCCTCCCATTGGTTTGTGTCGGGATCATAGCGCTGCATGTCTGGCGTGAAATGATTATTGCTATACCCTCCGGAGACAAATATGTGACCAGCATATACGGCTCCTGCATGCGCGTGATAAGACATCGGCATATTTGCAATATGATCCCATGTATTTTCTGCTGGATCGTACACTTCAGCCGTAGCTAAGCTACCATCTTTAAACTTTCCACCCACAGCATATATTTTATTGTTCAACACACCAGCAAAGAAATACGCTCTTTTATTCATCATTGAGGCAACCTGAAACCAGGCATCAAACCTTGGATCGTAACGTAGCACTGAGTTAACAGCAGATTCTCCATGTGCACACTGTGTGGTACAACCGCCTAGCACATAGAGGAAATTGTTAAATACTACTACTTGCATATGACTTAAAGCACTTGGTAAAGTCGCTACTTCACTTCTATTTAATAAACTATTTGCTGTAATTTTACTGTCAAATACTAGAATCTCATCATGTAGGCAAGGATTTGGGTGAATTTCCCTACCTCCTACACTGATCAACCTTACAGTGAAGGAACGTAACTGCGTGGAGAGATTATTTAACAAAGGTTGTGAATGGGGCACAACATGATAATTCAGGGCTGACAGCACCATTTCCCGTAACTCTGGTAGCGTCATCATCGCCTCTACTTGCTGGACTTGCTGCACGAGATCTCGAGGGTTAATCAGCGGGAATCTGATAAGTTTCATAAGAAACACGCCATGCTCTTCACGAAACACATCTTGTTTAAGCCAGTCCCAGGTAATTTTGAAAATGTCTATCTCACGAATACATAGTTTATCATTCTTCAAACAGTTTATCATTTGATCGTAAGTCAAAAGTGAAAGGGTTCCGTCTTTCGATATCTGCATCAGGTTTTTAGCAATAAATACATCAATTTGTTTAAGAGCATTGTTCATACTATACAACTTAGCTGTATTGATGAAGTCATAGAAATTAGTGGTTGTCATCCCACTTAAAAAGTTTCTCTCACAAAATTCTATCACAGGTGTCACTTGGAGGTGTGTTGCCGCGGCAATGACGTCAAATATATCATCACCCTCTAGTGTCGTAGTTGATGTGTAGATGATTTCAAGGACCTTTTCAAGGCCCTTGCTTGTAATGCCTTTCAACTCTATCTCACGCTGGTGACTCTCTCTCATACCGGATGTAAACATGGATCTAAAATAATCCGAGGCCGATACCAGGATAACTCTGTGTGCCTCAAACTTTTTACCTGTAAGTATAATATCACTGTTAAAATATGTGAAAATACATAATTATACATTATAATTCAAAAGCTATATTAATGAACATTTTTTTTAGTTTAATATTTCAAGACAATGGTATAAGTGAAACAGATGTTATCCTGAACTTGGCCAATGTGGGTTTTTCCAAACTAATCCCCAGGTACAAACTTTTACCTTTATAACTTCACAATGTACTACTGGTCACAATAGATTAAATCAACCTGTTGTGCTAATTTTCGAAGCTGTCACTGTAAAAGTTTGTTTATACCCCTTGCATTAGCTGGGAAAAAACCTAAAATATTCCAGAGTAAGCCTATTACTGTATTAGTGTAGAGGTTAACATTAAATTTTGCAACACTTTGCATTTCGTCATTTAACAATTTATGGAGTGTGCAATCAAAGATCATGATTATATACTATATATTTGGATTCCAAAATCTAAACACTTACACAAATAAACCTAAAACCATTTCTATATTTAAGAATTGATGAACCCTGTAATTTATTACTTTTTTCTGTAACTAGAAGGAAAACTGGCAAAAGAAAAGAATAAAATTTATTCTAAAGTAATTAAGACACTCTAAGTTCTAACACAAATCTATAGCAACTTTCTACATTGCATTCAAAAAGAAATAAGATTCTAGAAACTCTTCTTTGCATTATTTTGGACTCAAACAGGCAACTGAGTGTATTACACCAACCTTTCTAAATATACCCCCTTATGCAATGGCTAACACTATAGTGTTCACGAAATAAAAATTTTTCTTACTTTCAGCAATAAGTGTGACATCACAGAGTATCTTATCCGTTTTCAGTTTGTTAAGAGCGTGCAATATTCGCATGCCGTGTTCCGGTCTCTCCTCCACCCGGTACACCTCATTACTGCAACCAGCACCGTTCCCTTTACTTGGACTGTGGTAGGACTCCGACTCTGCCATCTTTACCAAGCAAAGAACGTTTCACACTGTGTTTCAAGTCATTGTTTTTGTTAAGATTTTTTACTCTAAACCTGAAAATATATATGTACGCATTCGCAATATGTTAAGGAGACATACTTAAGAGTATCTTAATAGTAGATTAATGCTGGTTTTACATTGTAAATAGCAATGGTACTTATTACATTATTGTGGTACCATGCTGCTTTTCTGTTATGCAGAATGTAACTAAATTAAATGTCCAAATAGAGAGCATTTGAATTTGTAATTAAATACAAAATGTAGCTTTAAAATTTCAGAAATATTATTAATAGAATAATAATATAAGAATCAGCTTCAAAAAGAGGGGACCTTGAATATCATTTCTATGCCATTAACAATATGATTTTTGCTCTGTTTGCTTGTTTGGTTTTACACTAATTTCAGCACATTTCTGGTCATATCTAATCTATCAGTTCACCTAACTGTCTTTCCAGGAAAACTGACCAGTATTTAGCAATTTCTCTGCAAGTGACGGACTACCAAGCCCACATTTTCTGAATCAGAGATTTCATACAAATGACAGTATAAATGTAATTAAAAAGCCATACCAAATATTACACACTTTATTACTTAGATGGTTTATTCTAAACAACACTTTATATTTATTTAATCAAGTTTTATAAAGATATTAATGATAAATTCAATAAGAATTTAGTTTATACCTGGGAATTCAATCTTGTTCTAATACTAATTTTTTATATAACATTCTACACTAATTTAGTTTACGCTTAAACGATTTAACTTCATGTTTATTTATGCTATCAGAATCTTTGCATTATTTTCTGTACTTCCTGGTCATGTTGTCATAATACATTTTGTACATGTATGGTCAATTATAACTTAATTTCAAGTATTATTAACATATACTTTTTATTCCTTACTTTTAAAAAGATTTTGATTCTTGTTCATATAAAGAATAAAAATATAGTTATAAACAAATGTAAATGCTCATAAAAAGACATTAAACAAGTCTTTGTTTTGTTTCTTTTCACTCATACTTAGATAGCAGCAATTCAATCACATGTACTTTTATTTTCTTTTAATGTGTTATTTGTGCATGACTAGTGTTTCATTTTAAACTTGTTTTGCATATTAAGATCAATTGTAATTTACTATCATAAAGTATTGTCCACTTTCCACCTAGTTGTAAAAAGGAGTATTTTATAGACCAAATCATGTTAACTGTTGAAATAAATATGTAAATAAAATAAAAAATGAGCATGATGCATTAAATAATAGTAAACAAATTCAAATAAATGAATGAAAGGGAAGAAAAATGAATAACCACAAGCAATAAACCTAATGAATTCATAAACATTGATAATAAAATGTACCTATCAAGTCCAGAAAGATACTAATATTTTTCTGTTTTAGCCTCAATTTCAAAAGATCTTAAATTACATAATGCAATTCAATTGAAAACTTTTAATTTGTTTCTTGTTCATTAAATGTCTATAAAATTACATTATACTTTCTAGACATTGTCCACATAAAATGTAATTTAAGATAATAAAAATATGTAAAACTCAAATATTTGTGATATACCGGTTTAATAGCACAAATAAACACATTAATAGATAATTAATGTTATCATGTAACAGTAAGTAAACATGGAAGCTAAGAATTTAACAATAGTGCTTAGCCCTACTTTTATGGTTCTATATCTAAACTTTAAAAGAGAGAGAGAGCTACTTCTTATACTACAGGTATTGACTAGTCTATATATATATATCCAGATAATAACAAATGTACAAGCTATCATCTGAATAAGATAAAACCATTTTCTATCATTTTTCTGAGGGTCTTGGGGTTATTTATTTACAGGGGCTATTGATAACTCGAGTGACATTTATTATGTAATTGGAAACATAACATGATAAACTAGAAATGTGTCATCATGCCACGGATGCCCCCGCATGCAGCCAAAATTTCAGATGGTGCATTAATTATTTTTTTCATTTTAAGTTCAAAAGCCCTTAAAACTTTTCAATGTTAACACAAACCATTTTCATACAATGTTCAAGGCACTGAAATTATTCAGTCTTAACCTTTTAAAAATAGCATATTGCATATTTGTAGCCAAAATAATGGCTAAAAGTATGAGTGCTGAAACTGAAAGTTCAAAAGTTTTCCAACATTCAGGAAAGATAAGTTTGTCTAAAATCATTGAACCACAACCAAATTCAAACCTAAACTGCTTATTCCTAAGATGTATCTATATTATTTTCAAAGTGAAAGGGACATAACTCTGCCAAAAAATCATCAAACCATGACCAAATTCCAACTTGACCTGCCCATTCCTTTGACATATCCATATGTCAAATTTAAGTTGAATATGTAACACTGTTGGGTAGATAATGAACAGAAACTGTAAATTTCATATTATTTTCAAAGTGAAAAGGGGCATTACTCTGCCAAAAATCATTGAACCATGACCAAATCTGAACTTGACCTGCGCATTCCTTTGACGTATCCATATGTCAAGTTTGAGTTGAATGTGTTGTACCTTTGGGGAGATAATGAATGGAAACTGAAAATTTCATATTATTTTCAAAGTAAAAGGGGCATAACTCTGCCAAAAATCATCGAACCATGACCAAATTCGAACTTGACCTGTATTTTCTCATGACATATCCATATGTCAAGTTGGAGTTGAATGTGTTGTACCGTTGGGGAGATAATGAACGGAAACTGAAAATTTCATATTATTTTCAAAGTAAAAGGGGCATAACTCTGCCAAAAATCATCGAACCATGACCAAATTCGAACATGACCTGTATTTTCTCATGACATATCCATATGTCAAGTTTGAGTTGAATGTGTTGTACCTTTGGGGAGATAATGAACGGAAACTGAAATTTCATATTATTTTCAAAGTAAAAGGGGCATAACTCTGCCAAAAATCATCGAACCATGACCAAATTCGAACTTGACCTGTATTTTCTCATGACATATCCATATGTCAAATTTGAGTTGAATGTGTGCAACCATTCTTAAGATAATGAACGGAAACTGATGATGACGGAATGACAGAAGGACGGAATGACGGAACAGGGTAACACTATATGCCCCGGCCATTACATGGCGGGGGCATAAAAATACAGCTTAGTTATCTTAATGTTACAGGAACACTTACAATGTTCCCTTTACTCTTGAACTTTAATCAAGAACAACACTTCTTGCTATATACATGTGTTGCATGCTTAAAGGGACTCCACTGAGGTTTTTTTACATGACGGGACTGGAAATATTTTTTGAGATTATTACTCCATTTGATGAAGATCTATACTAATAACTTATGTGCAAAATTTCAGATCAATAGCTCGCTCGGTTTTTCCAGAATAATTATTATGATTGAGAATAGCACAAACATATGCTTTTCAATGCATTTCTTGTATATTTCTTAGTTAAATTTAATTTATATTTCTGTTTAAAGTGCTCATGTTTATCTATGTGAAAAATTAAAATGTTATGTTTTTAGGCTTATAAACCTCAGTGGAGTTCCTTTAATAACAGATAAATACCTTTAATGTTACCATGCAAAATGTTTGTTTTTCAGATATGTTTTAGAATAAGCATTAAAGAAAGCCTAATATTCTTAAGTTATCTCATCATAATTATGTCATTGTCTATCACAAAATAGAAACTTTGAAACCTTTATTTTTCATGTAGATAATAATGGACAAAAATTATAGTCACTGTTCCTTGGCAGTTGCTCTAACACTTAACAAATGATTTACAAAAAAATGTACATCAATTGAAACAAGGAAATAAATTCCAATTTAAACCAAGATGACCCAAAATTATTTATCACTTAAAAAAGAGCCAGTTATCATATTCAAAGATCATGAAAAGGTTAAAACAATTCTAACATATAGTTAAAATTCTTCTAATTGTCTATATATCAAATGACCCTTCCTTATACCTTTAACGCCCGTTATGTCCTAGAAATGCTATTATTCTTATTTCTTAAAATCATTTTCATATTTCATTTTATATTAATTGGCCTGTTACAGTTTCAAAAAAGTTACTCATTGGCCAATTAAATGAACCATATTTGGCTTCTGTTTCTTTCAGGCAATTAGTACAGTTAAATTACAGGGATTCAATATTTTGAATGTAAGTTACTTTGTTTATATTTTACTACCTTTTATCACAAATAATCTTTCGCAAACCATTATTTAAACATTGTAAAATGCTTCCCCTTTCTAAAGAATGAAAAAATTATTCATTTTTGAGAAATAATGTTAAATAAGGACAAAATAATTATAAGAATTTCAACTTTGTTGTTTATTGTTAATAACCCAGAATTTACAGCAGTTACCATAAACTCTTAAATAAAAAAAAAACATTTTTTTTTCTATAAGGTCTATATATTTTATCTGATCATAATACATCAGGGTCTTTCAAATAGAATGGTCTGGAGTCCGACCAATTTTATAAAAAAAAGATGTCTCGGCTGAGTCACATGATTAGGTTATCTATACCGCGTAATCTGGCATAGTATATCATTCTAGTTAAAAAATAAATTATAAAATAATGTTTTGTTATACTGATAAAAAAATTACTGTAAAATAATCCTGGCTTCATTACAATATCAGTTTTTACTTTAACAAGAGCTGTCTGTAGGACAGCACGCTCGACTATTCTAAGTGCTTGATAGTAAAAGAGCCTTGCATGATAATGTTAAATTTTTTAAGTTTACAAAAGGGCTAATTTTTTTATAAATTCTTGTTATAGGCCTTAGAGAGAGTCTAATTAAACAGTATTGGCTTGACTATTCGGAAGGTAATGTCACAAGGGTGTTTTATTGAGTATAATAATACTAATTACCTATGAATACATAAATTTGACAGAAAAGGTACAAAGGCTTGTTATTAAGATGTTTTATCAAGTAAATCACTGCTTTATTATTATGAATGCATAAAATTGTCCCAAAAAAGGCACAAACCCTTCAGTAATTATTGAGATAACAGCTTACAAGCAAAACTTTACCATGAATTTCTAAATTGAAAAAGGGGAGAAAAATCAGCCTAAATGCAAGATAGAATTATGGATCTTTGTCAGTGACCTACAATTATGACCCTAAATGCATATGTGAAGTTTTAAATAAATATCTTTAATAGTTATTGAGATATGTAAAACTTGCATGTAAACATTAACCAAGAGACTAAGTAGAAAAGGGGATATGAATCAGCTTTAACGCAAGATAGAGTTATGGAACTTGGTCAGTGACATACAATTATGACCCTCCAATTATGACCCTAAGTGTATGTGTAAAGTTTCAAGTAAATATCTTTGAAGACCTTTAACCTTTAACCACATTCTAAGTTTCAAAGGGGCAAATAATTCTGCAAATATTACAGGCAGAGTTATGCAATTTTGCAAACTGATGTACATTGTTACTATAAAAAAGTATTTTAATTTTCAATTAAATATCTCAAGCAATAATTGAGATATTTGACTTTACAAAAAAACTTAAACCAAAATTTCTAAGTTCCAAAGGGGCAAAATTCTGTCAATATTGTAGGCAGAGTTATCCAACTTGTCAATCTGATGTACCTTGTCACTATAAATAAGTATTGTAAGTTTCAATTGAATATCTCAAGCAATAATTGAGATATTTGACTTTACAAAAAACTTTAACCAAAATTTCTAAGTTAAAAAGGGGCATAATTCTGTCAATATTGTAGGCAGAGTTATCCAACTTGTCAATCTGATGTACCTTGTTACTATAAATAAGTATTGTAAGTTTCAATTGAATATCTCAAGCAATAATTGAGATATTTGACTGTACAAAAAACTTTAACCAAAATTTCTAAGTTAAAAAGGGGCATAATTCTGTCAATATTGTAGGCAGAGTTATCAAACTTGTCTATCTGATGTACCTTGTTACTATAAATAAGTATTGTAAGTTTCAATTGAATATCTCAAGTAATAATTGAGATATTTGACTTTACAAAAAACTTTAACCAACGCAGACGCCGACGCGGACGCTGACGCCGACGCCGGGGCGACTACAATAGCTCTCATATTCTTCGAATAGTCGAGCTAAAAAGTAACAATTTTATAGATTTGCCTTGAAATTAGGAATTTTTTTTGTTCCCGGTGTCAAGGTAAAAATCTACTGCTCATATTTGCAAAATAGGTCCCAGTTTCATAAGCTTTTTTTAAATTTATGCATTGTTCAACGACAAAATAGAAATTGATTTTACAGAGAAAAAAAGTTATTTTATCGTATCATGTAAAGAATTTGTAATATTTCACGATGTTATTTACAAATATTTGATGTTTCATTTGGTGTATTTTCAAAATGTTGCTGTTTATTGGCAAATATTATGACCAAGCAACAGATCATAGCTTTAAAAACATTATTTTTTGAAATATTTATCTTTTTTTCACAAGATTAAATTTTAAAGAACATCGATCATGTTGTTCGAATTTTCATTTTTGCTCTTGTATTTAATTTTCGCCGTTTTGTTTAACAGTTACATAATTTGCTTATAGTAAATTATAATGAGTTATACCGAGACATGTTTAATTGTAGCGTGAAGATTTTAAATAGCGTGTTTCCAGACCATTCTATTTGAAAGACCCTTATAAATACATTGAATCATTAAAAATGTCTCAACATTATCTCTGAAATGATTTGAAAAATAATATAGACCTAATTATATTCATATGGAATGTAATTAAAACATGCAAGTTATTTTGAACTTCAAAACTTATTTTTTTTCATTTTCATTGCTATCAATATTACGCTTACAAAAACGGCTAGCCATTCTTCCCTGTGTAGTGTGGTTATAAGGATAGTTGAAATTGGAAACCATACAAATTTAGCCTCTTTTTTCCATTTTTTTAAAAAAAAAAAATCCTTTCAAATTTAACTGTTTTTAGTGTTATCATTGATCAAATGCACCAGAACCTTGTACCCAAACATCATATTACAAAATATGATATATATGCTGATAAAATGCTACTTAAATGCCTTGGTTATATGTTATAAAAGGCTGCCAAAAGTACAGTTATATATAAACACTTTCAAAATTAAGATCAAAAATAATTTTCATATTTCCATAATTTCTAACATGCATAATTATACTGAACATCAACTAAAGGACGTTCATTGCAATGATTCAAAATGACAAAGAGACTTTTACTTAACTAACAAACACACTGGAAACTGCACAAGTCTCTGCCAAACCACAATTATGAATATGATCACGATTTATCTCCCTTTGTAAAATAAACTTATGTTTCACAACGGTAATGGTGAAAATCAAGGTAAGTATGTGTAAATTTTAAATAAAAGGACCTTGAAATATCAAGTCATTGATACTTGAACTCGTATAAAACTTGTCTTCACCATCTGTGTAATGAAAAACCAAAGAAATTACCAAATCCAATTTTTTAGCATTCTCACTATTTCCCGGGAAGAAATTGTACATTCCCTTTGGCATGCGCTACGGGGAATTTCGTCGTTTTTACATCTTGTTTGATTACTTGGATTGTTCAAATTTAGCGGGGTTTTTTTGCTTTTTTTAACCAAAGGGAGATTATTTTTTCATTGACCTGAAAGAAATTCTAATTATTTTTTGCATTTACAATTTATGTAGAACTGAACCTGCTTCGTTCATTTAAATATTTGTTGGTTAAATTTTTAAATTTTTTCGATTTTTAATTTTTGGGCGTTGTACGAGAATAAAAGAAAAACACGTGTCAAAATGACTTTTAATTTAAAATTGAAGAATTTTAGCTTTTTTTATTGACCCGGGGCCAGGGGGTTAAAAGTGTTATTTTTTGGGGTCTTGGGTGGAAGGACCCTGTTGGGGTGAGTTCAAATCATGAAGATGGCTGTTCTTTTTTTTTCTTTCAATATTTTCTTTTTTCATAATTATCAATATTAAAGCAGTGATTCCATCTGACCTGCTTATTTTATTACTGAACATTTTTTAACAAATAACTTGGACAAAAATAATAGTTTTTTTCATAATAATTATCGTTGAGTTGTCCTAGCTTAATTAATTTGAGTCTGAGACTGATTCCCTGAATGTCAACTGAACAAAAATTCTATTTCTGTCCCATGGTCTTGTCAGATGTCTTTCAAGAAAGGAATCAGTGTGATATTTATAAACGTCAAAGTGAGTTTTTTGTAGATCTCTGAATGCATAATTACTTTAGTACTGTGCTGTATAGCAGTTTGAATTATAATAGAAAATATAAGCCATATAAATGTATCATTTTAGCTAGAACTGTAAAAATATTTAGGATGCAGTAAAGTGTCATGGGCCAGTGTGAATTATAGTCATTTTAATTGTTGTTAAAGAAGGTTAGCTTTTAATCTACATTTTTTTTTAGAAATTGATTTAAAATATTTTTTAGTACATTTTACTTCAATTTTTTTTTTCCATTAGCATAATTGGAAACATTTATCGATACATTTGAAGTAAAAAATCACATAGGAAGTTCTTGTTGTTTGTTAATGACCGGACATCTCTCATACTCTTATGTTAGAAAAAACAACATTGTCTATAGTAGCTGTTATTTAGTATTCAGTACAGAAGTTGCCAGAATCAATGTTCCCATCTCAGAACCTAAGATAAAGAGACAGATAAAGAGTTAACATGGAATTTTATGGATAAATTATCATTTGTTTACTGAATATCTTTTAATAATAAATTATAAAATTATATAGTAATAATATAGATACAAGTCATAAAAATCAGACAGTCAATTCTTTTTCCTATTTTTATTTTATGAAATCTTCCATAATTTTCCTTGTACCTTTTATACAGTTTTTACAGTTTTATGTAATTTTATATTATATCATAAGTATTGTAGCTCAAAGAATATTTTGTCTATGAATATGGATAAGTTCTAGCTATCCCGTAATTGCATAGTGCCATGCAACTTAATAAGAAGTCACTTGACAATGCATGCTGGATCTTTGTGATATATGAAATCAGTGCCACAAGAATTATTGAAAACCTGTAGCCAGTCATCAAGGTACATGTACCGGCATGCATGGCAAAGGTGTACTATTTTGTTATTCCTAGCTTAGTGTGCAATAAACTTACTGTAAAACACTTATTTTTCGCGAGAACCTTATTTCGCAAATTTGAGGCAAAATGTCCAAAATAATTGTTTCGCGTCAACATGAATTCGCGTCTTCCAGTAAAACCTGAAACAAAATGTAGAAATACCATTAAAAATTGTTGAGACGCATTAATTTGTTTATACTTAATTCTAGTGCAAGTCACAGTTACCTTCCTTGACATGGGTAATACGCAGCGAAGAAGTTTTTTTTCCAATTCCTCAATAATACCAAATTGTTACAGGTAAATATTTCATACTAGTAATCTGTACGATGTGTATATGCTGCAACACTTGAATAGCTACATGATGTAACTAGAACTGGTTTCGATACTTTCCCGCAGATATATATCCATGTGTACGCATTTTTGGATAGTGTTCATTTTCGGACAAGTGTATAGACAAAATGAAATATTCGCGAGAAATATGAATTCGCGTCTTAGAAAACTCGCGAATATTAGCGAAAATTAGAGCTGTCATCGATATCGACAATATCGATGTATCGTTGATATTTTTTGTCGATCAATAATCGATACACATTTTGAAAAATCAATACTTTTGACTAATAAATTAAATGTCTAGAAATTATAAAATTCACCAAAAATATATACAGAAGCAGTAATTTATATCTAATGTTATGCTTTTGTTATATAGTGGAATTATTTCATAGCAATGGTGACAAAAATATTGTCTGGAAAAAATCATGCAGTGGACAAGACACTGTACAGAACATGTTTTTGACTGAAATCATTGAAACAGGTATGAAAGTGAATGACAGACAAGTGAGTATAGGATATTATCGATATATCGGTGTATCGTTGATTTTAGTCACTTGATATCGATATCGTTGATATGCTTTGCACTGAATCAATGACAGCACTAGCGAAAATAAATTTCTCGCGAATAATAAGTGTTTTACAGTATTTCCAAGATTCCAAGAACAGCAGGACAACCAATTGATTTGCTCTCACTAATCAATTTGATACTGAATTTACTTAAGAATTATAATCAATTTGTCAAGTTGTTAAGACTGCTTTTTCCAGAATGATATTTTTTAATACTTTCATATTCAAACATTCAGAGAAAAATATTATGTCTTAGATATGAAAATTTTTGTTTCAATAAAAAAAACTCAATTTAGCAAGAGATGTATAATTTTATTAATGAAGATTTTTTTTTTTTAGTGCAAAGAAGACAATAAGCAAAAGAAAATGTCAAGTCGTATGTGCAACCAGTGTGGTTGCACTGACATTGATATAGACTCAACAAGAGGGGATGCAGTATGTACAGGCTGTGGTTCCGTTCTGGAAGATCAGATCATCGTGTCAGAGGTCCAGTTCCAGGAAAACTCTGGCGGTGGTTCATCATTGATTGGACAGTTTGTATCTTCAGAAGGTAGATTGATTTGAGCTGCTCCATGACAAAACCAGCATAGTGCGTTTGTGACCAGCATGGATCCTGCGCGTCCACCCAGTCTGATCAGGATCCATGCTGTTCACTTACCAACTCTATTACAAGTAGAGAAACTGATAGCGAACAGCATGGATCCTGATCAGACTGCGCGGATGCGCAGGCTGGTCTGGATCCATGCTGGTCACAAACGCACTATGTTGGTTTTGTGATAGCGCGGCTCAAATTTGTTTGTTTTTCAGCTCATCATTAAAGCAGCATGCCTCCAGATTCATGCTATATTTTATGAAAATTTTTAAAATGTATATTTAAATGTAAAATACTGTCAAGTAAACAAAGAAAGTAATTTAAATTAAAAAACATTAAATTAATTACCCTTAAAGGTAGAAAATGTGAAAAAAAGGCCCCTTTCTGTGTTAGTGCGCCCAAATTTTTAATAAGTATTTTTTGTAAAAACAGTATAAAAAAATAATGTAGGGTTTTCGGGGGGGTATTCGGGTCCCCGGTACCTGTTTTTTACAGCTGCGCAAAAAATCAGAGAAGGTTCAGTCGTTAAATTTTTCCGGGGACGCATAAAAATTACCGATTTTTTCAACCAAAATACAAATGCTTCGGGGCGTGTCGTCTTGGGAGGGCGGTCCATGCCTGACCCCTGAAAACAAATTGCCAAAACCATAAATTTCCCGCAAATTTTTATCAGACTAATTATACAGCGCTGTACAGTACTACACGAGGTATAAATTTTTTTATCTTTGATCAAAAATTTTATTGGAAATTAGCAAATTTTACCGACAAAAGGATAAAATTATCGACTATTTACGCCGCAAGTTTAAAGACTGTTTTCTCAAATTACAAATGAGTGTAATTTTGAATGATTGTCGAATATTTTCGGCATTTTCTAGGCACAATTTTGCTTTAGTTTCATTCTTGCAAAAACTTTCGATAAGACTATTAAGAATTTAAGATATTGTGCCGAAATGCCAGGACAACAAACCAAAATACACATACGCTTTTCTTTAATATTTATATTCTATCCGAAAACTGATCCCGAAAATCGGCGATTTCACGTTCGCCAGAAACCCTAAAATTTCGCAAAAATTTCTCGGTTTCCAAGCCAAACATGCGAATGAATTGTTCCTTTATTATTCAATCAACATTAAATCTTTAAATATCGATCTTCAATTTGCCCCTTTTGAAGATATTTGCTAAAATAATTGTCGATCGGATGAATCTCTTACACACTGTTTGAAGCTGTACACGATTTTCCTATTCATTCCGCTAAACGCTGCCTATACTGGTATACATTTACGGGTTTTTTTTACAAATATAAACTTTTTGTCTTTAGAGTGGACTTATTTAACCAGAATAAAATTTGATTTGGTATAAAAGTGAAAAAAAAAAAAACGATTTCCATGTGTTGATGCATTATAATGAAATAATTTCATAATAAATATCAACAACAAAACAATAATTATACTATGTAGTTCAGAGTTTCTTTTGAATAACTATACATTTTGGAAGTCTCTTGAAGATTCAATATATCAGCAATGCTATTGTTAGCATTGAATGACTAATCTGTAAACATATTAATTGCGACGCGCTTTTGGACTCCAACTTTTTCAGGGTTGGGAGTCCATGGACTCCATGTTTTAAAGTCCTAGTGAGAACCCTGCATGTATAACATGTACATTATTTCTTGAATCTTTTTACTTTTCCTGAAAAAAAAATCTTAGTACATAAAAGTCATTTTTCTCAAGTTGGATATTTTTGTACAATGTTTTGGCTCACCTGGAGACATGCAGCTTTAATGTGATTGAAAGTCCAAATATAGATCTAATTGTTATAAATTTTGATTAAAAGCGTTGGTAGCAGTAGTTAGAAGGATATAATAGATAAACATGTATACAATTTTTATAAGAACTAGGATACAATAAATATTTTACTTTGTATAGAGTTATTTATGGAGCAGGTGATTATATATTTACCTTTTACAAAAAAAATGTAACTGTTTGCTGTCTTTTAACTCATATGCAAATGGGTACAAATCATACAGGCAATAATACATATATCTGATAAAATTAAATATGATTTTGTCTTTGAAATAAGTTTTCTAGATAGAAAAAGAAATTGACAGTGGATGGTTTTTTTCAGGACCAGGTAAATCATTCTCCATTGGAGGAAGTTTTCCACATGGAATGCAAAAAGAATCAAGGACAGTAACTCTTCAGAATGGTAAGGCATTTTTCTAATTTCACGAATTTTGATCTTCATTTATGAAATAATATCTTTAATGTGACAGTTTCGTTATATTGCATCTCAAGTGTTATGAAGGCTCTGTGTATAGGTAGGAATACAAGTTTTTTACAGCCAATTAAAGTGATAGAAAGCATGCAATACTCCCTGTATAAATATTCAGCTGTATGTTACATGCAGAATACTGTAATTGTTTCAACCATGATAAGAATAATTCTAAAAGACCTTTATTGAAAGAATGGTGTTTGTAAATGTTGATGAAAGTGTGTGTTGAATGCTCAGAATCATAGTTAAAGTGACATTATGCTCATATTTTCATAGTGAAGTTGTGCTGAATTGACTTTATATTTCAAAAGATTGACTGTCAAAATGGTGTTTGACCAACAGTTGATATTGGAAAATGTTTAGGATAAAATTATAAATCTGCCTAAAATTTAAAAAGACTGCCCCACTCTTTTTATAAACTAAGCGTTATACGTAAATTCTAACGGACATTTACAGAAATTTCATTCGGATCTGTATGTTATTTATTGTTTATGCGAACTTAATTATTAAATTAAAAGGGATTATGGCAAAATGAAAACATATTTTGATCTTCACCCGTTCACTCACTATATACCCTTGGATGGGCATAATGTCACTTTAAACTGCTGAAAATAGATGTGAGAGCACTGATAGCTATGCAGTATGGAATAGTGCTTTTTAAAGTTATTTTTATATCCTGTTTAAATTTAATATTCATGTATGTCCTAAATAACAGGCTTTCTTTGAGGAATGACTTTTATGTTTGAAGCAGTGTGATTTTATAAATTTTGAATACTTAATTCACTATTTTGTCACTTGTAACTTATTCACCTATAAAGTGTTAAATATAATGAAAAATGAATCGTATTTTTCAGGCAAGAAAAGAATACAACAGCTAGCCAGTCAAATGAATCTGAATCAGCACTGTATTGATACTGCATTTAATTTCTTTAAAATGGCAGTGTCGAAACGTATGACACGGGGTCGTAAAACATCAAACGTGATAGCGGCCTGTTTGTATCTGGTTTGTCGATCAGAAAGAACACCTCGTATCCTTAAATCATTTAATTTGACATATAAGATTTGAGGTTTAAACCCAGTCTGTTAATATTTTATATTCTTTACTGTATGATGCTGGCAGACATATTGATATCATTGACTTTGAATCACTCTACACTCACTATATTTGGTTTGAATCACACCAAGGATGCTGTAATTCATTCATATAGGGAAACTGTCCAGCTAACTAATAGAAGTTGGTGGTACTTCCTATGTACCTTCTTAAATCTTTACTATAAATACTTTTTGAGTTGCCCTCGTATTAATGATATGATTCACTTAAATTTCCAGTTTTGACATATTCAAATAATATGTTAACTTTGCTTAAAGTAGATATAAGCTGCGTTAATAAATACATGTATATAAAATTTGTAACTGAATTTATTTTAGGATAATTTCCTTGATTGATAACTTTATCAGATATGCTACTAGACTTCAGTGATGCATTACAGGTAGGTCAGCTGAATTTTTTTATAGCTTAAGAGTGCTTAGTTCACAACCAATGATGAATAAACATTCTATACATTTTTTCTTTGAATCTATTTTTTACATGGTATACAGCATTTTTTTTAAAGTAATTGAATAGTGGTTTATGGAAGATGGTAAATTTTGACAAAAGGCCTTGTGAAGAAACTGTTTATGGTCTGTCAGTGGTTTTTTGCTCACTTAATAGAGAAGAGGCTATGGCTTCTTGATTTTAGGGAAAAATGTCAATAAAATTGCTTATTTGGAAAGCAAAAAATATGTATTTTGGAAAAACTGTATGATTTTGGAAAGAGGCATTTTATAGGCCTCGGTTATATCAGGTAAAAAATCACTGGGCCTTGTGATTCATTTGAGGAAGCTTTCCAACTATCATTAACCTAAAATAATTAGGACTTATTTTCCTCCACCATAAAATATTCAAGTCACCACATGACCATATATGATAGAAACCCTGACAAGAATTTTTGATAAACAAGAAAAAGATAAACATGTGTATACATAATTGTAGAAAACAATCTCGTTACAGGTTATGCCTTTTTTCTTCAAGTTCTTAATGTTAAAGATTTCCCTCTACATAGCTTGAAAATGTGAGACTTTATCCTAATTTTTTGTAATTTCATATCTGCACATAGCTTTGATTTTGAGTAAAAATGGTTACTTTACATTAAGACAAAGTTATTTTATTTCTGGTAAGTCTGTATGAAACTTAGAATTTCTTTGAAATGACCTAAAAAGTTTAAAACATGTAAAAAAATTCAAAATACATGGTATGACCCTATCTTGTCATTCATATATCATAGACTTGCATTTTAGCAAATTCAACCATACATGTATATTACACATGTTTTTTTTTCCAGGTGAATGTCTACAGTTTAGGAAGGACGTATCTTCATCTGTCTAGAGAACTATGTATCAACTTGCCAGATATTGGTGAGTTTTTTTGTCATTAATGTAGGAAAAACGCAGCAAAAATTATGAATTTATAGATTTATAGTGTTCTATTGTTGATAAAAAGGTGAGATATTTTTTTTTTTTGTAAAATCATTTAACATTTTTTGCTTGTGTACATTTGACAATGGCATTCATTTTAGAGTGGTTAAGGCCAATGACTTGCATGTACCTTGGAAAACAAAATTATGCCATGTTTTGTGTTTTGTTGGGTTTTTTTCGGTGGGGGGGGGGGGGGGGGGGGGGGGGGGGGGTGTTTGCGTGCTAGTATAAGATTGATATATAATGCAAGAAAAAATAAAAGTCAGTACAGTTATTGGATGTGCACAGTATTTTATAAAGAATTCTAGCAACATCGCCACAGAGAATTTCTATATATTCTTTGTAGCAAGGGAGATAAATGTAATTTTGGTTCTCAAAAAGAGGTTATATTTTTGCACATTTGTGTTGAAAATAGGTTTTTATCAACTTGATCAAGTTGTCTGCCAGTCAACCTAGGGGTCATGGTTTTGAACTTCCAGATTGGTTCAGTGGTTAAGTTGAGCTAAAACTTAAATTAATGTTCGGTTTATAAAAACATTGGGGGACTCTTTATATTTTGGGCAGTTGTTATATTTTATCCATAATATTTTTCATTATTGATTACAGATCAATGACCATTATAAATAGACCAAAGGCTAATTAATATTATATTTTATTTGTACAAAATAATTGTAAACAGTACATGGTATTATTAAACTACATGAAAACAATCAAGCTTATATCTTTATTATAATTGCACCTATTAATTGTTCAACACAATACTTGTTTAAACTGAGGGAAATTTCTTTTTGAAAAAGCTAACAGCAATAGTTACTGGCATGATAAATATCACAAATAAAGAATTGGACCAGCTTGGAAGTTGGTCATAAATTTTAGTATTTTGCATTCATTATCACAGCAAATGATAGTAAATTACTTGATTAAAGCAAGGAAATGCAATTATACAAGTTTAAGCACTGTATAAGTTGATACATATATTAATATTGTTGCTTGCTTGATATTTTAAAGGGACTCCACTGAGGTTTTTTTTAGACACGAAGGGACTGGCAATCATTTTCCAAAATTAATGTTCCATTTGATACATATATTAATATTGTTGCTTGCTGTAACAAAATTCAGATCATGCCCTTGCTCCATATTTCCAGAATAATTATTCTAATTAACTGTGAAAACTGATCAAAAATTGAAAAGGTTAGACTTTTCAATAAAATCGGGCGAAGAATAGCACTAATATTCGATTTTCAATTTATTTCTGAGTATATTTCTTAACTATCCTTTGCATATATTTCTGTTTTAAATGCCACAGATGATCTTTGTAAGAAATTCAAATCTTTCTGACCTCAGTCAGTCAGTGGAGTTCCTTTAACATATACCCAAAATAACATATGGACAATTACAAATTTAAAGCTTAGGAAGTTCCTTATACAATACAGCAGAGCATGCTTATAGTGAGTTATTATGAACCCTCAATTAAGAAACTGAAATGATGTCAAGAGTAAATTCCCACTAAATGTTTCCCATTTCTTATGAAGATGTTATAATAAATGTGATGCATTTTATAGCATAAAAAGATATTTACATTGTATAGTAAATTCAGATATAAAACAGACTAAACAGTTTTACTGACATAACAATACAGTAACTGTTGTCTGTCTTAAATTATCATATAAAAATACAATATACCAGTACATTGGTTTAAAATATTAATATTCAAAGTATATAGTTTTGTGTAATATGGGATTTTAAAGATGAAAATTGAACACTTTCTAGGAGTTAGTATTATGTGAAAAGGATAGCATTTTCTTTTAATAATGCTTGAGAGGAATTGTCAGTTCAATGCTTTGAAGTGTATAAAGATTTTAGGAGTAGAAAATAATTTCTGGAATTTGCCCTCCTTGCACACCTGTGCCATTTGTACTGTCAGATGAACACTGGAATTGAAATGTCACTTTTCCACACTGTATCTCTGCCATCCCTTCTTGTCCAAAATAGCTGAGCTCTGGTCCGTCTAGAATTGCGCTAGCAGTGTAGAATGTTTCTGGCTCCACTTGAATTGGATTATCAAACATGACTGGAAATGTATTACTGGAACCGTCTGAGAAAAATCTTAAGAAACTCTGCCCTAAAATTATGCCGTCCTTTTTGAGTTCAACTTTCACCTGGTATTCCATTGCACCATTGCTAGAACCATAGAGTCCAAACCCAGCAATGAATACCCTGCGGTCAACAGCAAATTGTATACTGTCACAACGACCCCTGTAACGCCATTGATTGCTGCGATAGGCAGATGATTGAAATCTGTGACATTTTTGTGGTAACAGGCCAGATCTCGACTTGCGTTTAAATGGAAGTTCAGGTTTATTGTTTGCGGTAAAGTAGAGAAATATATCTGTAGTCTCCTTATGGGAAAGGATCCCAGACTGGGCTGGGCCGTTAGCAAATTCTTCCAATGACATGGAAGGAATTCTTATCAAATTGAAAGACTCTCCAAGAACTTTCCTCTTGTTTTCTGCAGAAGGTTCAACTTCGCGTCTACGGCACTGTGCTTCTGCCCATCGACAAGCTGCATTGAAAACTGTAACTTCCCGTGCATTGAGAGTTTCGCGTAATAATACACTTTCCAGAGTGCTAAAGTCAATGTCAACAAAACCATCTGAAGCAAGCGCTTCTTCTGCCTGAGCATCAATCACTTCCCAGCATTGTTCCATGAGTTCTTGCTCCTCAAACAGTCTTCCCTGACACAGTAGAATGCATGCATTCCTTGCACTGAGGCTTGTCTCCAGATACTGTACACAGGCACGGGCTAGGAATGGAACTATGTACTTTTTAGCAACATACAATGTAGATAAAACATTGTCAGCTGCCAAGTTTATCTCATCACAATAAAGGTACCTGAAAACAGAAAAGTGACATATATTTATTCAAGTGAAAAAAGCTTAATTCAAACAAAACAAAATAAAAGACATGAGGATTAAAAATTTTTAAAGTTGTCAGTAGACTCAAAAAAAAATTCAACAAGGATCAGGTACAAATTTATATTTGTGTGTGTCAGTTTCTCTTTGAAAGACAAACCTTGATATGGATTGGTGACCAATAGACCCCTTAATGACAGGTTTGTCTGTTATTGAGGTCTTACAAAATTTGAAAGTGGTTTGACTTTAAATTTCATTCAGTTGACTATAAAATTTTGACCTGGTATGTCGGATTTATTTCTGTAAAAAGTATACAATGTAACTTTGAACAGTTCTGGTTTTTACGTATACTGTAAAAAATATTAAAATGATATTTAGTTTTGATTAAAAAATTATAGATTATAAATACCTAAGAAGATTTTGGAAAGCTACAGGTTCAACATCCGGTAAATCAATGTCATCCTTCTGATCTGCCAGTCCACCATAAAACATGGCATAGAACACAGAGCTACCAGTGGCTAGCACATACTTGTGTGCAGCAATTCTCTGCTTGTTGTTGCCAGATCCAACTGTGAAATAAACATCGGCCATAAGTGGATTGTTGTACATGACAGAATTTTTCTCCCTCACTGAGGTCATGTTACCCTGCCAGTTGTATTCTCGGCTTGCTTGTGAAGTTGGCAAGGAGATCTGAGGTGGTGCTGGGGGATTCCGCGGAGTCTTCCAGACCGGGTCTGTCATGGACCGAGGTGCACGCTGGATGGGTTTCTGGGCAGTCTGGTTCCCAGCATAGTTTGAGGGAACCTCCTGGTTAACTTCTTCATCAGAATCACTTCTGAATTTGGGGACACAACTTTTTGTAGCCATTCTAAATGCACTCTGCATATTTCTTGTGATTACATCTTAATGTTTTGTTCTGGAAGAGAAGCAGACATTTCTCAATATGGATTAATTAAGAAAATATGCAAAAATAACTTAAATTTAATGTAATATTAATTAGTGATTATATTTCTTTACAATTTCATCACAGTGAATCACCATTTTTTCTATGAAATTTATCCACAGTAAATTGCTTTTTGCATATGTTGAACTGTTGATTGTATATTCAAATAAATATTAACTATTTAAAGCAAGGTTAAATTTTTACATTCCTATACTGACACAGTGCTCTGAGTGCAAATGAACAAAAGTTGCAGGATAGTCATACGAATTAACTGTTACTTCTACCAAACCATGATAAATGAAAGATAAACGCTATGCGACTAACATATCAACTGGTTACTTTAAAATTTACAGAGAGCAGTGTGCTATTAAACCTTGTATTTCACATTTTCCAATAAAAAAATTGCACTATTGTGAATCTGGAGGCTTGTATTACAATGAAATTGAGCTTATATTGCAGCAATCTGCTATGTTATCATTTGCTAGTAAAAATGTTCAGGAATAAGAATAGAAAAATCATGGTTGGTCTAGTAAATATCAGAGCCAAATGATAATATAGTTAGGCCTAATTTATTTATAGCTCATGTGATTTGACACTTGAATGAATTTTTTATGCAAAACATATTATAATTATCAATAGTTAACTTTATGAACATAATTATAGCGGACAATAGAAACTTAACAATAGTATAAAAATATATTCAGCAACTGTCAAAATGCAAACCAATATGTATAACAAAAGTTTAAAAAAAATAATATTTTTTTTTATTTTCCCCACCCACTCTATGATCCACAAATGGCTGAGAATAAACTGTTTCTACACTGTTATAACATTGCTTTTTAATGTGTTGCATAGTTTCAATAGTTTCATGTTGTTGCAATAATTTCACAATTTAAACTTACATGATAATGTTTTTTTAAACTGCTCAAATGCTATAGTTTTCACATATTTCCTGCACTTTGTTTTCTTGACATATTTCCCACAATGCCTATTGTTAACTGGGTCACAAGAAGAGAAACAACTGTGTATAGAATCAAAATGAAATATATTGATTTACAAGAGTTGTTTCCCTTGTGAATGTATCTTTCATGAAAATATGCTATACTGTATTTCAGTCTTGAAATGATTTCAGTTCCCAATCAATACAGTCAGACATTTTTTATAGAAAAAATATTGTTCTGCATGTTCAACACTGCTCATATTCTTACCATAATCAACATAACTATGTTATTTACTTTACCACAAGTGACATTAATTTTGTAATTTATTCCCAACAAAATGAAGTTTACTAAGTATGTTCTGAGTACACAATGTACAAGTGGAACAAACAGTCAACTTAAGGTTTGTTTAATGATGTTCAACGATGTTTCAACTCTCCATAGGTCTTCATAGGGTTATGAATATTTTTCTCTACTTTAAACATAACAGCCTCTGTTAGTTTTGTGAAAATATTTATTTCTTAGAAATATTCAAGTATCATGTTTTATAAAATATGTTTATTATTTCAGATCCAGCATTGTACATATCGAGGTTTGCCCATAATCTAGAGTTTGGAGAGAAGACTCATGAAGTATCCATGACTGCTATGAGACTTGTACAGCGGATGAAGCGTGACTGGATGTCCACTGGTAGACGACCCAGTGGTCTCTGCGGCGCAGGTATTATAGCCCATTGCTGTCAATGAATGAGAAAATATTCAAATTAGTTTTTAAAACACACTGGTAAAAAAGATAATTTTGGCAAAATTCAGTTGTTCATTCATAATTGCTATCTTGTTTTATTAATGAGCATCTTATGTAAGTAAGATTTGGCTTATTATTTTTGCTGACACATTGTCTTACTTGCTGGTATTTAATTTGAAATAATATTGTTTTAGCTGCAGTCTTCTTACATGATTACTGGTAAACAGAAAATTAAGATTAAATATGAACAAAAAACCCGTCTTCAAATTGTTTAAGACTTTAATCCCTCATTTGTTTTAGCTTGACAAAAATAACTTATAAATTGTACATGTAGTTAATAGCGAGTTTGAATGCCTTGTTTACTTAAACTTATTCACTGTTAATATGGTAATGACAAGTTACTTTTGGCACCAACAATACAATAATGAATATCATGGCTGTTCAGATTTACTGAATGTAAAAGGGATTTCATGTACATGTATGTGTATAATATGAAATGAATATAAACTTCAGATAAAACTGATATTGTTTCAGCATTGTTAGTGGCTGCCAGAATTCATGATTTCTCCCGGTCTATTAAGGAGATTATAAAGGTGGTGAAAGTATGTCAGTCAACATTAAGGAAAAGGTACACACTAATTCACTTTCCTGTTTATTTTGCTTTTATTCGACACATGATAAGAATATGTCTGAGGCCATTTATTCTAGGTCAGAGTATTTATATTGAGAAAGTGGGGGTTACTTGTGGGAAATCAGAATCTTGCAGCAGTTGTTGAATTATTGCAAAACTGACATTTGATAAATTCAACTGTGACCTTGACCGTCAATGTCAAATATTAAATTTGAGTTATGTTTTGTATAAAAGTATAATGTTTTCCAGGAGTATTTTTCACTACAATATTCTTGTAACAGTGGCATCATTGACTTTAGAAATAAGAAAAAGTCAAGAATGGCATCTGCTATGCCTGTGGCCTTTGTTTTAATATTTGACAAGGTCAAGCTTAAATGCACCTTACATATACTATCCTCTAGTCTGCTGCCAGTGACTGAATCTACACATGCAACCAGTGCAGACCATGATCAGCCCACATATTTGTGCCATCTGATTCTGGTCTGCACTTTTCACTATTTTGTCAGTAATATTTTGAAATCTTCCCTAAAAATATTGAATAGTCCAAATTGAAAAATAGGTAGAGTTAAAGGCTGTTTTTATAAAGACATGTTTGTTTGTTTGTACAAAGGAAATTATGAAGATTTACATTGTTTTGAAAGCTATGATTTTCAACTTTTAATGTTTGAATGTTTTAGATTGGTTGAGTTTGAAGAGACACCTTCAAGTCAGTTGACAATTGAAGAATTCCAGACTATAGATTTAGAACAAGAAGCAGATCCACCATCATTTACTGAGGGAAAACGTAGAGCAAAAAAGGTTGGTATGTTTAAGTAATTCTACCATTCAATAATGTTTGCTCACATTTTATACAGTTGCATCATCTATATATTCAGGTGCTAACAGAACATCATCTACAGGCTATTTGAAATGATGAATACATTGTATTGGTATTGTTTTAGTCGAAAAAAAATAATTATTCATCTGGACAAATCCAGCTTTAAGTACTGACAGACAAATCAATCGTAATTTTATTATTTTTGGCAAAAGAAAAATTATTCACTCATAGATAGATAATCTTGTATTTACACTGTTGTAAAAATATGTTAGAATTGATTAAGTTAACCATATTGAATTATATATCAGATACAGGAACAAAGCAAGCTGCCAGAGTATGCATCAGAAGTTTCCAAGCTTCAGGAGGAGATAGAGCAAACATTACTTAATCAAAAACCAAGAGGAATATGGGCACATTATGCTAGTGAGTAATCTGTCCGCTGAATCTTTTAACTAACTATGTTTAAGTTATATGATGGTGGACTTGCCAGCATTATAATATTAGTTATAAAGATTTTTGACAGGTTAAATGGCCCTATATAAGCGGTTGATTGGAAATATGTCAGGAATGTTTATGGTAAGTATATAATACAGCAAACTTTCTCTTTGAGTAAGAAAAATTTCTTCATACATGTATGTCAATATTGACAGCAGCCTTGTATATAAAACTATATAGATGTCACGATTATCCAATGAAAAGCAACCTTACAAATGTGCAGTATTATAAAGATTGATCAGATTGCACAGCAATCCAGGTTTGCCTGACTTTATACTGGTGTCAAAGAAAAGTTGTTATTGCTGCTAGCATTCTAAGAGGATACTTATACAGTGGCCATTTTAAAAACAGGAATAGCTGTGCAATTACATGTACTCAGTTGTTTGGTTAAGTTTAGACAATGTTAATGCCAGTCTGTACTGATAGATTAATTAAATAATGTAAATATATGTTGCCTTGGTGATGTTAAAAAATATCTATTACCTGTATTATTTATGTTATAGAAATGGCAGATGATTGTGGCTCTGTGGACTCGGAAGCATCTCGACTGAGTGACCTCACAGAATCTGAAGAGAGCATTAATGAAGCCAAGAGAAACTCTAGCCTAGACTCTCTCTCAGATCTAAGTACTGGTAAAAATGAAATAATTAAATCAGAATCTCCTCAAGAACCTAAAACAGAAAACTCCACTCAAGAAGTGTTTGATAGTGGAGGGCCAAAATTAGAAAACTCCACTCAAGAGGTGTTTGATAGTGGAGGGACAAAAAACAGTGAAACAGATGATTTACAATCTGATGATCTCGTAGAAACAAGTAAATTAACAGCAGATACTATTGGTAATGAGTTAGTTATTGGAAGTGATTTAAATGTACTCGATGATAAGAATGTGAAGGAGGTAACTGGAGCTCTAGGTGTGCCAGCTATAGGAACAGAGATGGAGACACTAGTCAGTGATTGTATGAAGGAAGGAAGTGAAAATTCTAGGGATAGTGTTGTGGATGAGGAACTTGATCTAACTGGTATTGATGATGCTGAGATTAATAAGGTATGTGTACTTGTTTCTGCAGTCATGCTTAGGTATTAACAGGGTTGATATGAATTGATAGGTGACTGTTTTGCTCCATATTCTTAAAAATGGATTTGATATTTGTTCAGGTTTGTTAATGGTAATGAAATGGAAGAGCTGTTTTTTTTTGCCCAAAATTTTAGAAAAGAATTGAATGCTCTTAAAGGAAGATGTGACTTATTATTGATAAAATATAGTAGAATGTTGTTGGCGATCCTATTTTTTCTTACATTTCACATTTATTTGCATTTGAGATAAGATTCCTCTGTTATTGTGTTATTGCAAAAGACAAAGATGGTAATACTTGTTCAGATTATCTTGTACAAAATGACAAAAAATTATCAAATTAATTACCAAGTATTTCAAGTCAAATACCCATTACATATAACTCAATTTAGTAGCTAACATAGATGGAATTAACAAGTAAATCAAGAGAAGGAGAGAACACACATCAAACATCAGGATGGTTTGTAACTGGTTTATTCAAGGATCTACCAGTTTCAGTCTTTCAAAACCTTCATCGTGATGGAATTAGTTCAGTATTCTATATGTGCAACTGTCCTTACATGTTTCTCCAGGAATAAAAAAAAACAACTTGTAAAAATATTTGATGTAAATAAGTAACAGATTTACTGAATTCAGCTCAACTTGACAATGAAAAAAAGGAGCATAATGTCACTTAAATTTTCAATGGAAATGACATGTATATAGTATTTAAATTTACATGATTGTGTTTTTTGTCATCACTAATTATATATCAGTAGTTCTAATATGATTGATATACATGTAATAGTTTTCTTTTATCATTCAGTACTTATTGGCAGACAAAGAGGTATTACTGAAAACTAGGATCTGGATGGCAGAAAATGCTGAATTCCTTGAAGAAATGAGATGTAAGTGTTTTAAGTTAATCTTTGCAGACCATGAGATACTGTTATTATCATTTGCAATCCTTGGAATTGGTTAAAACATCATATCTGAGGTGAACATAATCAATACCAATATGACCAATTTCTGTTCATTGCATCCCACCCCTATATTTTACAATGGACTTGTCCTGCTTTGAATTTTAAATTGTCCTTTTATAATGTTACAGACTTGGATTTTGCTGGTCATTTTCCTAGCTTAGTACTGGTGGTTCTATCTTGGTTAGAAAAAAATGCAGGCCATACACCACATGGTTTTTATGATATGAGAACTTACATACTAAATATCTTACTTGTGGTTTGTTTCAGTAAAAGAAGAAAAGAAAGCAAAAGAGGCTGAAGAAGAAGCTAAGAAACCACCAGAAAAAAGAGTAGGTTTTAACTTAATTTGTAGGGGGGGGGGGGGGGGTAAATGTTTTTTGAGGAGGGTAAATGTTTTTAGAGGAATTCCTTCATCTGAAGATCTTTGGTTTTACCAAGTTGGCAGCTACATCACTCATGCTTTCAAACTAGAAGTTTACCTGGTCCCGCACTAGGGTGACAATGTGTGTGTATAATATAAAGCAGGAATATGACATGTGATCATGATAAGATTTATTATTTTTATGTAAAATTAACTTATGCTTCTTCTAAAAAAGTTTGATAGTCCAAATGACTTCTAGACAACACTTAAGAGCTGAGCAAGAAAAGGACACTGTGTCTTGAAAATGGTTATGCAAATTAACATACACTTTCATTTTAAGATATAAGACACTATTTTAAATTTAGTCTGCAGTATGTTTTCCATGCTGCCTTTATAGCACTAGGTTTTAAGAGTTAAAAGCTTTTTTTACAAATTTATGAACATTACATATTATATTTTTTCCAAATTTTTAGTAAAATAGTATTGTCATAGTCTTACAAATATATTACTGTGTATTGTAGAAAAAATATACTAAGAGGAAGAGGAAAGCACCAATGCAAGAGGCAGCCACTGCTCAAGAGGCAATACAGAAAATTATGCAAGAGAAGAAAATATCGTGTAAAATTAACTATGATGTATTGAACGATTTAAATGTTAAGTCTACATTAACTACAAACAGTCCAGTGAAGGGAGAGAACAGTGTTTTAGGTAGTGCACAAGATAACAGTGCTCTGATATCGAGATTTAGAAAACCAAGTGTCAGTTTGGATTTTAGACCAGCAGAGGTATGTGTATTATTTCTTCCTTTTAAGGTTCACTTTGGAAGATGTAATGTACCAAGATCATAAAAAATGCATTGTGGCTCTCCATTAGTAGAAAGATCCAATGAATGTTTAACAATTAATATTCCAAACAATGATTTTAACAACAAACAGTGAATAGTCAAGCAATAAAATCACTGCTTGGGAAATATTATTTTGATTCTAACACAACATCAACAAAAGATACTGCTGTAACAGAACCAAGCTAAATTGTGTCTTATTTGTTTCCGTACCATGCATCATACATGGTTATGTCATATGTCTAAGAATATTTGTCAATGGTGATTTACGCACACTTTCGATCTTCAATAGGGAAAAATTTCATGTCATGTTAGAATGATCATTTATTGTTCATAATTATAAAATTTATAGCCAGCTCTTCTTCTTCTTCTTAATATAAATAATATAGTTTAATGTTTATTGTAAAGACAAAGTGTGAACAATGAGGTTTTCTTTTTTTATTTACATTCTTTAAAGATCAATCAACAACATATTACAATAATGATACATTTCATAAAGAATATTCAAGTACACTTTCATTTCTGTAAGCACATTCATAGATATATTGTCTGTCTATAACTCCCTGGTCATGGGAAAGTCTTCAAAGCCAGAGTCAAGAAAGTTCCTATAAAAAATGTTCATATCTGGAAATGTTGGACTTCCTGGTGGTGATGGGACTAAATCCTCCAAGTCTCTAATTGGTGTGAGCACTGATGGAATCATGTGAATACTAATATCGTCATCTGACCACTCCATATCACTAAATGTCTCGGAACTGTCTGACATAGATGGGGACCGTACATCTCCGTAGATGATCTCCTCTAGAGATATTGCGCTCTGTTTCTGTAACTGTGTCCATTTCTGATCCCTGTACTGTTCATACATGTGAATCACTCCCTCTAGTGTGCTGATCTTGAACTGGATATAATCAAACTCAGACTGGTTACCATTCATTGACATCTGCTTCTGTTTCTCTAGAAGTTCTCTAAGTTTTGATTCTGTAAAGTAGAAAAAACATACAGTTATTTTACATAATAAAAACATTTTATGAAACAATACAATCTAAAGAACAGTTATTTTACATAATAAAAACATTTTATGAAATAATACAATCTAAAGAATTGAATTTCAGAAATAACTTAAACTTTAATGTTTTCAGCCTTTTCTTGAATTCTTGACGTGTGTGGCATGTTTATGAGGATAAATGTCTTGAAATTGTCTCTCAGTTAATTAACTTGATTAAAATTTCACTGTATTAGAACACAGAATTATTTACATTTTGATAAAACCTTCGTTTTGCCTCTTTAAATAAAGTGGATAAATTTCTTTAAATAGGACTTGAATAAAACATATTTTGCAGTATACTGAATAGATAAATGTTTTACTTCTGAATAAATATATACTTTACCTAGAACTTCAATTTGAACTTGAGCCTGATCATATAGATTCCTAAGTTCCATCAAATCCATTTCTGATTTTACTATTTTGTTATTATACAAGTTTATGTAAATGTAATACAAGATTTTTTTTTCTATTTGAAACAGGTAATTTTTTATCAGTGCTATTTTACTTTCAATTCTAAGAAATGCAATAGTAATATGTCTGAAATTTGAAAATTGTCTAATATATATATGAAATTTTATTGACATGATATACTCAAATTAATTAAGCAAACTGTAACACTTTAATTGTATTAATTAAAGATTAAGAATTACAAACTTTAGGGTAACAATAGATAATAATCACACCATTTTAATGTTGTTTGAAATTTCCTTTAATCAGGGTAGATCAATTTAATTAATTTTAAAAAGGTGTTAATTATCTAATCCTTTGAAGTTGTTTTAATATATTTGATTGTTTGATTGGTTTATAACACTTTTCTCTGATTAAAAAGTTGCTTTGATCATGTATTTATTTGGTTTGATAAACATATTTTTTTGTATTAATTACATGAAAAAATTAAGGTAAATAATCTTTCTTTCTTTTATAATGTATATACATGTATATGATACATAATAAAATATGATATATAATATAATGCCCAGTGACAATTTCAAGGCCAAAATTAATTCTTTAACATATTACACTGAAAAACTTGAGGAAAGCAAGTATGCAATTATTGGTTTTATCAAATGTTATGTACTTATAAATATAATGGGCATTTTATGGGACAGATTATGGATAGCAAAATGGACATGAATTATTTTTATTTTTTCTAGGCCTATAGGTAGAATATTTGGTTGACATTAAATGCTGTTGATATTTTGGTAAATTACATTAAAAACATTGATAATTATATTTCCAGACAAAACCAGTTGTAAAGAAGGCAAAGAAGGCAGATCTTGCCCCACCACCCATGCTACCTCAAATGGATGAGAAATCCAAGGTTGATGTTGTTGTAGAATCGGGACCAGTGCAATATGACCAGAAAGGTTTGTTAGAGATATATTTGATAGTCCGACCATCATTTTGATATGATTATTTTATAGAACAAGAGAGATTACTTTGTCTTTTATTCCCATTTCATTGATCGCTTTTTTTCTGTTTTCCTTAGTTTATTGTGTCGCCTTGAAAAGGTGACATATAGGGGTTACTTTTGTCGGCGGCGTCGTTGTCGGCGTCCCCTAAAGCTTGTCCGGAGCATAACTCAGTCACTATAAGTCTGATTGACTTCAAACTTGGTATGCATGCTTCTTTCAATAACCCAGTGCACAAGGACCGGTACTCTGCAGTTCTTATTTTTTGAGTTATTGCCCTTTGTTAATTTTCATACTTTAATTTTGTCCAGGCCATTTCTCTTCAACTAAAAAAGCTATGGACTTGAAACTTCATAGGATGATAGATCTTATTAAGAAGAAGTGCAGTGCACAAGAACCGGTACTCTGCACTTCCTAATTTTTGAGTTATTGCCCTTTGTTAATTTTCATACTTTATTTTTGTCCGGGCCATTTCTCCTAATGTATAAAAGCCATGGACTTGAAACTTCATAGGATGATAGGTCTCATTAAGAAGAAGTGCAGTGCACAAGAACAGGTACTCTGCATTTCTTATTTTTTGAGTTATTGCCCTTTGTTTATTTTCATACTTTAATTTTGTCCGGGCCATTTCTCCTTAAGTATAAAAGCTATGGACTTGAAACTTCATAGGATGATAGATCTCATTAAGAAGAAGTGCAGTGTACAAGAACCAGTACTCTGCATTTCTTAATTTTTGAGTAATGGCCCTTTGTTAATTTTCATACTTAATTTTTGTCCAGGCCATTTCTTCAAAAGTATAAAAGTTATGGACTTGAAACTTCATAGGATGATAGATCTCATTAAGAAAAAGTGCAGTGCATAAGAACTGATACTCTGCATTTCTTATTTTTAGCTCACCTGTCACAAAGTGACAGGGTGAGCTTTTGTGATCGCTTTTCGTCCGGCGTCCGTCCGTCGTCCGTCCGTCGGTCGTCCGTCCGTAAACTTTTACTTTAAATGACATCTCCTCATAAACCACTAAGCCAATTTCATCCAAACTTCACAGGAATGTTCCTTTGGTGGTCACCTTTAAAAATTGTTCAAAGAATTTAATTCCATGCAGAACTCTGGTTGCCATGGCAACCAAAAGAAAAAACTTTAAATATCTTCTTTTAAAAAACCCAAAGAGCTAGAGCTTAGATATTTGGCATGAAACATCTTCTAGTGAGTGTCTACCAAGTTTGTTCAAATAACAGCCCTGGGGTCAAAATTGGTCCCGCCCCAGTGGGTCATTGATTTTCCCTATATGCATATAGTAAAAACTTAAAAAATCTTCTTTTAAAGAACCCATAGAGCTAGAGCTAAGATATTTAGCATGAAACATCTTCTAATGGGTGTCTACAAAGTTTGTTCAAATAAAAGCCCTGGGGTAAAAATTGGCCCATCCCCAGGGGGTCATTGATTTTCCCTATATGCATATAGTAAAAACTTAAAAAATCTTCTTTTAAAGAACCCAAAGAGCTAGAGCTAAGATATTTAGCATGAAACATGTTCTAATGGGTGTCTACAAAGTTTGTTCAAATAAAAGCCCTGGGGTCAAAATTGGCCCCGCCCCGGGGGTCATTGATTTTCCTTATATGTGTATAGCAAAAACTTAAAAAATCTTCTTTGAAAAAACCCATATAGCTAGAGTTTAGATATTAAGCATGAAACATCTTCTAGTGAGTGTCTACAAAGTTTGTTCAAATAAAAGCCCTGGGGTCAAAATTGGCCCCGCCCCAGGGGGTCATTGATTTTCCCTATATGCAATATAGTAAAAACTTAAAAAATCTTCTTTAAGAGCTAGAGCTAAGATATTTAGCATGAAACATGTTCTAATGGTTGTCTACAAAGTTTGTTCAAATAAAAGCTCTGGGGTCAAAATTGGCCCCGCCCCGGGGGTCATTGATTTTCCTTATATGTGTATAGCAAAAACTTAAAAAATCTTCTTTGAAAAAACCCAAATAGCTAGAGTTTAGATATTAAGCATGAAACATCTTCTAGTGAGTGTCTACCAAGTTTGTTCAAATAAAAGCCATGGGGTCAAAATTGGCCCCGCCCCAGGGGGTCATTGATTTTCCCTATATGCATATAGTAAAAACTTAAAAAATCTTCTTTTAAAGAACCCATAGAGGTAGAGCTAAGATATTTAGCATGAAACATGTTCTAATGGGTGTCTACAAAGTTTGTTCAAATAAAAGCCCTGGGGTCAAAATTGGCCCCGCCCCAGGGGGTCATTGATTTTCCTTATATGTGTATGGCAAAAACTTAAAAATCTTCTTTGAAAAAACCCAAATAGCTAGAGTTTAGATATTAAGAATGAAATGTCTTCTAGTAAGTGTCTACAAAGTTTGTTCAAATAAAAGCCCTGGGGTTAAAACTGGCCCCACCCCAGAGGTGTCATTGTTTTTTAACTATATGTGTATAGTAAAAACTTAAAAAATCTTCTTTTAAAAAACTCAATGAGCTAGAGGTTAGATTTTAAGCAGGAAACATCTTTTTGTTGGTGTCTACCAAGTTTGTCCAAATAAAAGCCCTTGGGTTTAAATTGGCCCTGCCAAAGGGGGGGGGGGACGGAGGTCATTGTTTTTCATTATATGTGTGTAGTAAAAACTTAACATCATGAAACATCTTCTAATGGGTTTCTTCCAAGTTTGCTCAAATAAAAGCCCTGGGGTTTAAACTGGCCCCGCTCCGGGGGCCTATATACAGGTGAGCGACCTCAGGGCTATCATGGCCCTCTCGTTTGAGTTATTGCCCTTTGTTGATTTTCTTACTTTATTTTTGTCCTGGTCATTTCTCCTAAAGTATAAAAGCTATGGACTTGAAACATCATAGAATGATAGATCTTAATGATAAGAAGTGCAGTGCACAGAAACTGCTGCTCTGCACTTATTATTTTTTAGTTATTGCCCTTTGTTATTTTTCATATTTCATTTTTGTCCTGGCCATTTCTCCTAAACTACATTGTTTACAAGGCGACACATCCGACTCGCGGAGTTCTAGTTTAGAATTTAAGTGGCAGCATAACCAAGTGGTTGACACATCAGACTAGTGATCTAATGATCGAGCAAGAAACTTGACACTCATTGCTCAGTACTGTTTGGTTTCAGGAACAAATTCAAAGTGTGTCTATTAGTTTATAGCTTCCTACACAATGGAACTAAAATAAATTCTGTAGAAACCAAATTTTACATTAAGTACTTACATAGTTAAACAAAAATGACCAAGTTAAACAACAAGCAAGGATTCTTCATCAATTTTGTGTCTGGTCAAACCGTGTAATGTCATTTTAACAGGACCGTTGTAAGTAAGTCAGATACATGATGTAATAGATTTAATGTTACAGATGATGTATATGATGAAGAGGAGGCAGAAGATTACTTTGAGGAAGAAGAACATCATCTTAGTGCAGCACGCTTGTTTGGAAATACAGGTATACCCTACAATACTGCAAAATCATTATTATGCGTAGGGCACTTATTTCCCCTGTATCACATTATTAACATTTTACCTTTTGGAAAAATAAATGTTCCACTTGAAAAAATTTTGTGACATATCTGCATAATTTCATGCCCACTAAATTAAGTGAATCTATTGAAACATCTTAATGTTAGGCTACCAAGAATTAAAAGTTTTTATAATTTAATTGAAATTTTTTTAAGAAAATGAGAAAAATGTTGCTGTTTGACTCTTTGTTGATTATATATTTATTTTGTGTAAGAGATTTCTTTTCCTGATGATCCTTAACCCTTGGTCTGCTTACAGCAACTGAATCTACCCATAACCTACACTGTTGGCTATTCAGTCAGTACTTATTCTTAAATTTCCCCCAAAAAGATGAATGATTTTGTCCAGATAGATTGACCATTTATGATATTAAGAGTGGTAAAAGTTAAATTAACAAAAAAAAGGGACAGAATATAGCTTGTTTTAAGTCTGAATTGCAATTCTTCTGGACATATAAATAAGGAAAACACATGTGATGTATTGTTATCAAATATATGTTATCTTTAACATGTATGTTAACAAATAGATATGGTTGCTAACAATGAATTACTTGCCTTCTTTTTTGCTGGAAGTTTAAATCCCACAGTGGATATTGAATTCATTAATGTCAAGAACTATCAAGGTAGATTTTGGAACACGCCACAGATTTGACGTCAATGGGACCGAAAAACACAAACAAAACATCAACAAAAAAACGTTGTAAAAAAGATACATGTCAGTAAATAAATTGGAATATTGAATTTATTTTTCAGGTGTGGAGGTAGAGGAGTATGATTATGACATGGACTGAACAGTCGACATAAGATCCTATTTTTATAGTGAATCCAAGTAAACCATGAGAAATGTCTACTATCACGCCATAGTTACAATATACTACATTGTACATACTAAAATACAGTGCCAAACTTTAAATATAAACATTTTGTATTAGATTACTCTGTACTCTTGAAATCTTACAATAATTATTATAATGTATTTTCAGAGAATATTGCGAGAGACAATTTATGTTCTTAAATTATGATTATGATTTCTTTGTCATAGTGATATTGAACAGTTTAACAAATCCATTACAATGATTTTTTAAAAGATAACTGGTTAAATTAATAAGAAAGAGTTGCATAATGAAATTATTTGTCCAAACATACTATGTATTCTATTACACATGTACATGTTAACAATTATTTATAGAAAGGTGTTCATTTTATAATTTAAATGGCAGTTTTTTTGCTTGCATTTTAAGTACTACTTATTATGTGTCTCGAACTGTTTATATAAGTAATAAGGTCTCTGACATTTGTGTACTTACCCTTGTTTATGATAGAATGTACTTTTTAGTCAAAAGTTTTGTCTGTGAGTAAAATTTGATAGTTTCAGGATAAGGAGTATGAAAAATATATAATATACAATGTATGTATAAAGCATGCTAAATTTCTATTGGATGTTTATATTGTTAAATGGTTTGAATGTTAAGCTGCAGTAATAGTTTGACTGTATCACCAGTATAGAAACAGGCTACAGTCTGAACATCAGTGGAATTTTACAAAGACTATACTTTTACCAACTCATACATAGAATTTTGAAACAAACTTAAATATCACAACATGAAATAACCATGTCAAAGTGGTATGGCTGTTATACAAATTCACCAGGGAAATGAAATTATATTCAATTTGGTGCAGTGCAGCTATATCTAAAAATTAAAGAAAAAGAATGATCCCTCGGAGGAATTTATCACATGAAAATTGCAGACTCGGTTTGATTGAGAAAATCAAGTAAAATATTATGTTAAAAACTATATTGTTAATAAGTAAGTCAAATTGTGAAATTATCACCATGAATTTATTGTCTTATTTACAAACAGGGTGCATATACATGCAATTATTCAGATATTAGGTTACATGGTAATAATTTAATTTTCATCAAATATTCTTAAATCAAAGTAAAGCTTTAGCTTTATTAAAAAATTCTTTATCTTTCCTCATTTAAAGCATCAAGTATTTATGAGGGGAAAAACCTAAGAGAACAATATTACGGAAACAACAGATGAGTTATGTTGACACAATGAAATTGTTGACCAAATCACTGGTTTTGGCAGCATTTATTTACAAACATGTAAAATGTAATAATCCCATTTTTGTTTTAATATAATTGAACAAAAAGCACATTTTATTTAATTTTGGGATATCAAACAACTTTTTGTTACTGGTATTAGTAACTTTAAAAACTGCAGCAAACTTCTTGATAGCATGTGACCATTGTGCCAGGGTAAAATTGACATTTGTTTAAAATTCTTAATTGTAAAAAGTTATTCCAAAGAGTGGAGAAGGGCAAATTGTTTAACAAATATACCTAGAAGTTATTCTAGGTTTTAATAATTCCAGCTATTTATTTATATTCTCAGGAATACATTTGACTTTAATCATGTAAATACCCAAGTTTTCATGTTTTAAATGAAGAATGAAAGATGATTTTAAGATAAATTGTTAAGTTTTATGTTTCCAACAATCTATAAAAGGGCATTATCTTTTCTTGGCATCTTTTATTTACTTGAAACAGTTTGTGTATTTGATGACAGGTTGAATGTAAACAATTTATTTATTGTATTTATACATGTGAATGTCTCACCTTAATGAAGATTAGCTTGAAATAAAGAGCAGAAAAAAATATTGTGTTGTTTTGTTATGACATTGCTAATTGTTACATCTGAATGATGAATAAGTTTAGATGCTTATTCTGTTCAGCACGTAGCAATTGTTATAAGGGAACAAGAAATGCCAAGTACCAGGCAGGTATAAGACTGGTCCTTGGTTTTCACATCTTTGATAAAAGATTGGTTCTCAGTTTTCAATTTTTGATAACAGACTGGTACTCACATCCATGACTTTCCTTCTACAAATCCCTCCAGAGGTGTGCACATCACGGAGAAGGCACACAGCAGGTCAAGGTCAAGTCATTTCAAGTACCAGAGATGATTGGTTGACCTGTCGTGACTAACTGGAGGGTGGCGTTAACAAGGGTAGTTTTTGTTACCATTTGTTGGAAAGATGATGATGCCTTGGCAGTATTGTTGTCTCCTTCACCACCATCGAAGGAAAAACAGGCTCCAGGAAGATTCGTTATGAAAAAGACGTCCCCGAAGCAACTACATAGTGGACCGGAACTGATGCTAATAATCTCAAACATATGGTTATTCTGGAGCCGAGTATCAACAAACTTAAACACACATGACATGGCTAAATTTTAAACCAACAAACTTGTACGCTGAAAGCACGCAGTCTTTAAGTAAGCACTAGAGCTAGTTTGATTTGATTATATAAAAGTGATTTTGATACTTTCAGCTTCATTAAGTGGTGTCTAACATGAAATCCAACTTAGCGTGAAATTATTTGTAGTATGATCTTAAGGGACATCATTGGGGGTGCAAAAACAACAATACATTAAGATTAATTTGGCAAAATATTTTATTCCAATTTGGAAGAAAAGATTATCTCTTGTTAAAACAAAACTAGCAAACCTCCAATTGATACTGTTTAACAAGTAAATGAGTACTAGTTCATTATAATATACATGGTAACAACACAGCACAAATATTAGTTTTATAAGTATAAGCAACATATAAATACATAACATACCTGTGTAATATAAATAAATCTACATTATCGTATATATATTAATCTGCATAATGTTAAATCAGAAAAAATCTTTTAAATGTAGAATTCAGCATCATTTTCTAGCTCTAGCCTTAAATTTATTTGGGGTGAAAATTGAAAAGGGGTATGTTCGTAGGTAAGAAAAAAAACAAGCAATTATCATAGTATTGCAAGCAATCCATAAGTCCCCTACCGGTTAGAACCCCAGCAACATTCTGAAGGGCCATTGGCCATTCACTTATGTTTCTATTTTAAGTAAATTTGTTGAAAAAGTTCTTTAAAAGTGATCACAGGAAACAATTTTATGTACAGACGGACTGAAGGACACTCTAAAGTTATTTTTTAAACATCCCTGTTATCAAAATATAACATTTTAAAAGCAAAATTTTTAAAAAGGAGATAACTCTTGAAATAAAGATGCAAGATGTCATACATGATGTGAGTGTAACAAAGAACAATTAGAAATGAAGGTATGAATAATGAATGTTTATTTTGAATTTGAAGTAAATGAAAGTTAAAAGAACGAATAGGAAAAATTAAAAGTTTAAGGAGGAGAAAATTCTGGAAATATGGATGCTAGATTTATAAGCCTTGTCATATTATTATTATGATGTGGGAGTTTGAAGAAAATCCTATCATGATTGAAGAAGTTGGAGTAAAAATTACCAATTTCTCAAAAAAAAGTCCAAGTTCAAAAGGGGCATAATTCTGGAAATAGTCTTGCTAGAGTATTGAACTTTCTCACAAATGTTGAGTGATAATAAGAAACATTTATATGAAGTTTGAAGTAGATACATTCAGAAAAAAAGAAGTTATTAAAAAAAACAATATTTTTTTCATGAAAATTTTAAGTTCAAGGGAGGTAATTCTGATAAATTTTGTGCTAGAGTTGTAAACCTTGTCACATATGATGTGGTTGATGACTAGCAACTTATATTTAAAGTTTGAAGAAAATACCTTAAGAAATAAAGAACTTATAGTGAAAAAACTTAAAAACTAGAATCAGAAATCTTAAAATTCAGTCTATTTGTTGCCATAGCAACCAGAATTTTCAACATAGGAAGATAAGAAAAGGATGTGCATAATTTCATTACTGCCATCTACCCATATGTCAAGTTTCATAAAAATATTTTCAGTACTTTTTGCGTTATCACTGGATCCAGGTTATGTGTAAAATTTGCCATATTTTCAGTCTATTTGTTGCCATAGCAACCAGAATTTTCAACATAGGAAGAAAAGAAAAAGACGTGCATAATCTCCATAATGTCATCTATCCATATATCAAGTTTCATAAAAATATTTTTAGTACTTTTTGCGTTATCGCGGGATCCAGGTTATGTGTAAAATTTGCCATATTTTCAGTCTATTTGTTGCCATAGCAACCAGAATTTTCAACATAGGAAGAAAAGAAAAAGACGTGCATAATTTCCATACTGCCATCTATCCATATATCTAGTTTCATTAAAATATTTTCAGTACTTTTTGCGTTATCGCGGGATCCAGTTTTGTGGACTGACGGACGGACATACCAAAATTTGATGTTTATGAGGCAAATGAGCTCATAAACACCACCTGGACCAACGTCCATAAGCAAAATAAGCTCATAAAAACAAAAAATAGCTCTTAATTTTAAATTTTATGAGTTTATGTTCTTTATTTAACTACGGACTGAAGCTCATAATAATCAAATGTTGGCTCGGTCAGACTGACGGACGGACAGACGGACGGAGGGTAAACCTAAAGTCCCCTCCGGTAAACCGGTAGGGGACTAAAAATTGGTTTGGCTCCATATTGGTAGGCTATCTAGCATTCATAATAATAGATAAACATAAAAATTTCATAGCAAAAAACCTTTAATACTTGTGCTTGTTGCATTTATCCCAGTTTCTTTATTTCCATATATTATAAATTCTATCAAAATAGCAGTCTATACAAAGATATATTAAGAGTTAAACTGTCAAATTAAGGAAAATATATTTTTGTTCAGCTGACCCTTAGAAAAAGATTTGTCTATGCCACCAGCATACAGCCAGAACTGCAGTTTAGTCCGGGTCTTTATTGTTTGACTATAAAGAATTTATTTTTGTTGGACTGTGTAGAAGCTAAAAGCTTATAGAAACACTAGAATCTGTTTCTTGAACAGACCAGTACTGAGCAATGAGTGCAAAGTTTCTTGCTAAAGTAAAGGATGGCTTCCCCTTGATGGGGGTTGAAGTTGAATCCACATGGCTAGCCATCCTTAGATTACTAGTCTGATGTTTTAACAACTAGGCCAAAATTTTTCGCCAGTCTTAACTGTTAGAGTCAGGCTGCTCAATTTTATCTCTCTGACATTAAAAACTTTCAACTTTACAATAAACGGATCCAAATTCAAAGCCATACAAGTACATTACACACATACAGCAGTGGAAAGGATAAGTCTCTTATTGTACATTACACAAATCTAAAACGCTAAACATAATATGGGTATCTTTTGTCTTATAGCAGGTATGCATAAAATTAATGTAATGAAATACAAAATGTATGAAAATGCAAGATCAAAATGTACAGTATTATGCAGTCTGGCAGGAATTCAGTATAAACTGTTATAGCGTCTGAATAGGCCTATATAAAAACATTAAATTTTCTATACATGCTTGTTAAAATTAAGTCCATTATTAACAATATAGAGATCTAAGACTGAGAATATGAGATGTATTTCTTCTCTAATCTCTTACAATGATAAGGACTAACCTTGCCAAGCCAGTCACTATATCTTTGCAGTCTAACATACAGGTCCTATACATGTTTAAACTGTATATAAAATAAATTAAATGATATTATATCTATTAAATGGACATTAACCAGTTCCAACTTTTAGACTGTGAGCACAAGTCTAATACATAAATTTAGCATGAAACTGTTCAACAGCAACTTTTCATATAATCACCTTTCCATTAAATTAATTTTGCTGATTTGCTAATAAAAATGAAATGAAATAACAGGTATTTTTTCCTCTTTATATAGATTAAAACAAAGACTATTAACTCTTCAAGCATACCCATGATAGGGGTTCTGCTTGATTTATATACATGCAAAATTTTTATGAATGTCAATTAGGTGTTTGCAGTAAAAGGTAAAAAGAGATTCAAGAACACAGATAATTGAAAAATATGTAAGGAATACAACTTTCTAGCTTAAAAATATGCAATATTTCTTTTATTCCCATCATGTTTCTATCAACCAAATCACTTGTAAATATTGATTTTTATGAAATTAAGAAAACAACACAAAAATATACTCTGTGACAGTAAGAAAATA